CCAACTGCAGCCCCAATGTTCGTTCAGTAGGTAGAGGATTAACGGCAATATCTTACAACACCAGAGGAACTTTCAGTCGCATAAACGACCGATAATATACGCCGGTCATTAGACGCCCAGTTCCGCGTACAAAAACCATATTGAGAGAGGAGTTTACAAATTTCCCCCACAGAATGTTTGGCCGAGTCGACATCACATAACGAGATCAGACAATCATCAATGTATATACTCGGGTGAATCGCTCTGCAAGTTGATGAGGAGTAAGGTGAAGCGAAATTTTCAACAGTTTTTTTGTAACGCAAAGGTGGCACAAAAGGGCGAAGAAGTCAGTCCGAATGGGTGAGGTGTCCACTGAAACTCAACTGGCTGTCCTCCAAACTCGTCACTTTCCCACCACAAGAATTTCAGAGCAGGTCATCAATCGGGTCCACGTTCACTTACAGGAACATTTCCCCTATTTCCCTTGTCACTGCAATACGTTCAAGTCGGAAACCCGACAGCACACTTAATAGCTTGGCGTTTAGTTCAGGCCCTTGGTATAGATTGTCATTCAGAGACGCGGCCTGCACTTGGTTGCACAGTCAAACACAACAGAAATTTTTCTTGGTTTTCGGGGATTGACAACGGGATGGTGAGGTAATTGCCAGTGTCTCGTAACTGGAAGCGCCTTGTTGCCGTCAACTCGCTTACCTCATCCCTTCTCCATGTACGAACGGAATGTTTGCTCATATTTCCGACGTGATCCGGGCTCTCGACCTAACTTACTCATGAGATAAGTTAGTCATTTACGCGCCAACCGGAAATTGTCCGGCAAATTTAGCGTACCGATTCGCCAAGGGAGTGACGGCTGATAATGCCCTTTTACGAGTCAACGGAGGATCGTACAATAGCCAGTGCTCGTTAATCCTCCAATGAGTGACTCGCAGTCGTTGCTGAAGTGTCCGCGAACTCCGAGTCGTATAGCCTCTTAATATTGTGCGTCACCTCATTTTCTTGATTTCCAATGCAGTGACAGACAGCGTTTTGTTTTTGCCTGCCACGTGCAGATCAAAGCAGCATCCAGCCCAACAGTGTTTTCACGGTGAACGGTTCCCTTTCGCCACATAGACGTTGGTCAAGTACCTAATGAGCTTCCGCAATATCATTCCCAATGAGTATGTCAACCTCGCAGTCAGTGAGCTCGTCGAGCATTTTACCGCTCAGGTGTGGCCACAAAGAGGCTATCCTTTTAATTGTCGATTCTGCAAGGAAGGGCACATCTTCAACCGTTAATGCCCCTTCAATCTCAACTGACTCTGCTCCATTCATGGGCAGCACACTTAGACTTCTTACTTCCGAGCTGCATTTGATTGAACCACTTAAGGTGTTTATTGTCAATGTCGTTGGCGTTGTGAATATTCCATTTCCAACGAGAAGCTATCGTTTAATCAGAGTGACACCCGAGTCATCGTCTAAAAATGCGTAAGTCTTGACTTTTCCTGTTGGAGTTGCCAACTTGACAGGGATAACTCCCATTCGTGATTGTACATACGCAATTCCAGCCAGGACAATAAGCCCTTCATCATGTATTGTTCGTTGATTATTTTCCGATGACATAACATGTTGAAGCGTTTAATGGCGTTTTGCGTACCCAGACTCGCTTCAAATTTCCCTGGAGATGCACACCTTGGCAAAATGAGAGTTACCAAAACGAACAAAGCCCGCTTTGTGTTCCCGCATACAATTCCCCCGGTCTGCAACACCCATTGAAAGTAAACGTGGATAATTTGCCACTTCATGTGCTTAAGAACATCTGTTACATGGTCGTCGATCTGATTCGATACTTGAAATGACAAACTTATCGGAGTTCTCCCGTTTTTGACGTTGGGATGTGGCGGTAAAGGGATGTTGCTAGCGCTTGACATCCCCATCTGGAGATATTTGTCCGAAACAACTTCTTGCTACCTTATCTTGTGTAGTTACGAATTCCGTGAGTTCTGCGAAATCTGAACCTCACCATTCATTTATACTTTGTAAGCCACTTCAGCCCACTGGATTTGCATAAAAAGCGGTAAAAAGCGCACTATTCGCTCTAGAATATTCAGCGATTGTAGGTCGGAAACGTAGTTCATTTATGTGAGCCCTATTTCACAACTTTTCATTTTTATGCCATTGCGGTCTGGTTACCTTGGTGTGCCTCCCTGAAGACACCACCCAGAAGGGCACGAGCCACTACATATGGCTGGCCAAATAAGCTGCTCAATATTTCCCGTGCTCTTGAATAAGCCAACGGTGAGAGCAGCATGATGCACTCTCCTATTGACGCTCTCCTATCACTTCTGCAATAGTGGATCAATTACAGGAGCCTCTGCCCAGCATCTTCAACTTTGCTCTCCATGTACACTTCAAACTGTCGTATAAAACTCCAGTAGTAAACTGAGTTTCCGTCAAACCAGGACAACTCAACCTTGGGCGATTCTAAACTGCCAACTGAAAGACGCCTCGCACTTGCTTAGGGTATACCAACATTCTCACGTTGGCAGTGATTACTCTCTTCAGGAGCAATTTCATTCAGTGTGCATTGCTTTAAACATCGGCCTCAAGTTTAAATCGCCTCTCTTCCATTTCGGCTGCTCTTAAGGCTTTAGATGTTTTAATGAAAATACGACTACTAATAGAAACGTTTTCACGACAGCCGGACTTGACGGGCTTTTTCAGCTCTCCTTATACTCCGAAGGCACCTGGTTTGTCTAGTCCGAGAGACTTTTCCGTACCGTCCGATTCATCCTTCATAGAATGAGTCTGCATTTGAGGAAATTAATTTTTTCCAATTTATGATACGATGTTTAGTAAATTGAGTCACGCGTATAAGCCAAAACAGATTTCGGTGTATATACGGTACTATTGATAGAATGAGGTAATAATAAAAAACGAACAAACCTCAACAATGGATACCCTAGACAAAGAATTCCTTTGTTACTGTTCAAGCAAATCGAATTCCTAGCTTAAGGTCAGAATACAAAAAATAGTTAATTAAATAACCGCCGATCACGCTCGAAAGAGGGTTACAAAAAAGGAGAAGGAGAATGTCAGCAGAGATCAAATGTGGAAGCACTTGTGTAGATGGCATGGAGAATCCCAAACGTTAAGCAACTGGATACAACAATATGTCTGTGTTATGTTTGGACTGAGATCAGTTTGAACATACCACAAAAAACAGAAAACAATTAAGAGCAAGTGGCAACAGAAAGGGAGACGCCAAACAATAGGCACATGCGAGCAACGACGTGGAATAAGATGGAGATACCACCCAGGAGTGCGTGCGCAAAGAGCAGGCGCGTCATACGATCTATTGCCTTCCCAATGTGCGCGCATTCGGTCGTCCTATTATCGGCGGCCGTAAATATGATAAGTCCACCTTTCGACATTTTCCCACCTATCTGTTTCGTTGTATGTTTTTATTTATGTAGTTTTACAGTTTCGTTACTTCTTCCAGTTTTCCACGCCCATGTTTTGCGTATATACTTTTACCCGCCGAGTTGTCAATATTTTTGTCCTTGACTATTGTCCTATCGTTCGTTTTTGTCAATCTGTTTATAAGATCAACGCCTAATTATGCGTCGCCTCTCTCATTTAAATAAATTGCTCGCATTTTCCATCCGTCGTTTAATCCTTACCACTTATTCGTTTGTCTGTGTGCGAATGTCTATGTGATGGATGCTTTAGGTAAGAACGCTCAAGAACCGGAGTCTCTGACCAAGAAACGGAAGTTTTACTCAGATTCGCGTGATCCTCAGTCTGTTCCCTACCCCCACCCCCCGAGTACGCAGTATATAATAGTTTGACCTCAAGCAGGAACGGTTTGTTGGTTTTATGAACCGCCCTCTTGGTTATTTCGCTGAGCGACTGTCGATCAACGGTCCGTCGGACTCTTTTAATTGTTTGCTCCGTTTTTACAACTGAACCACCGTTAGTCTTTATTTTCTGATATGACAGTACTTGTCTTTGGGACCAAATAATTTAAGAACGAAAATGTTGGGAAGAACCGCAGCTTTTAGCTTTTTTAGGATGATCAGCTCCCTTGTAGCAAGAGTATATCGCCTCGATAGCGGGTAGACAGCGTTTTTTCGATATAGGTATATCGAGTGGATAGCGTTTTTGTCCGGCGGTTGTATATCGAGTAGATATCGAATTTTCGATATACTCGAAAAACGACCGCAGCAGCACATAGAGCAATTTACATGACTCTACACTATAGCTAATCATACTAATATTAAAATGCTGACATAATTCCCGCATGTACTAATTAGTTGGCGTTATAGGCCACAGATCCGTTGATCGTGGTTCCCTACAGCCCCTGAACCTCCTGTTTATGGAATGCCTCATTGTATGGTTCGCGAGCAAGGTCAACCGTGGTTGGCTCATCCCCGGCAGTTAAGGGAAAACATCTGAATCTAGAGGAAAGTCGGGAACAGGTCGGATATTGCACGACAGCAATGACAGAGCACTTTCTCTGGTCTCCGTTTGATACTCGCTCCAAATCCGTAACGTTCAATCCTGCTCTGACAAACCATGTTAAATCCCTACAGAGAACACACTGTCGCTTGTTGGTTTTATAATTCTCCTTAAGGTGGGCCAGGGTTCACTTTTTCACGTACAACTAATCGGTATGCCATCTATAGCAGTGCTCATTGTAAATTCCGATGTACGTTCTTACATATGCGAGGACTCCGCATGCTTTTTACCCCGAAAATTGTGTACTTAACCCTTGTCCTTACTGTCGTGCTTTCGAATCGCACCAACACTGCTGAGTTTGTTACAAGTGGATCAAATAAATCATACGAATTTACCAAAAAGCCTATCAATTAAAAGCAGAGCTGTTTGTAAGTTTTATCAGCCTTCGTACCGTCGACTGAAATCCGTTCTTTCGTTATATTCGGACATTCTCCAAACACATGTCAGACTTCTATTTCCTCTTCCGATCAGTCCTTTCATTTGCGTGATTTAGGCTGACCGTTAAGATGACCGAGCCATCCACAACCAAAGAAGTCGACGATCTTTATCTTCAAATGTCACCATGGGGCGACTTCTTCGTATGGACTTCACGGCGTACGTCTTACTTCTGGAGACCAACCAAAACAATTTCCTTTGACGCTTTTCTTCCCTACTTCCCAAAGCACATTCCCCTACCCGTTAGGCCTCCTAAGATGCGATGAACTGCGCACTAGTGTGAAGATAAAAATTCCGTAAATGAGGTATCATGTCGCGTCAGAATACTAATCGTGGTGATAAATTCCACATTCATCCTTTAAACGCGCCAATAAGTACGTGGGATGCACTGGCGTATACGCGTGGTGTCCAAGTTAGGACACGGGATAGGGAACCCCATGGAATTTGGCGCGAGACTACCCGTAATACTGGGGACCCATATTCCCGTGTCCGACCATTTATGCAATCTTTGACTTCGAAATACACAAGAAACGGGTGCAAATGCACGCTGAGTGCATCAGCACTAGCCTTTGAAAACACAAATCTCCGATTGCACTATCCCCGAGATAGTCTTCAAGCCACAAGGCGCTGTGGTTATAGAAATATTTGCTCAGGATTAGGTTGAAAACTTCTCGAGCCTTGTTCTTTGCACGGGGAGGGCGTAGGCCCTAAACGTATCCCAGTCTCCGACATTCGACTGGCATTTGCGACACAGTAACGCAGGAGTCGCGCTCTCCATAACCTTTCACTTTAGCTTGTGTTAATGCTAATAGACCCTGCTATCGTCCTCTCCCACATCAGCCCCTCCAGGACACAACTGCTATCTGCTCATTGTTCCCAAGTCAGTATTAACTTCGTCATGGCGCTAAAACTGCTACTGAATTTCCGTCATTACTATAGTCTGGGTGACGTTTTCTTTCAGAAGATTCCTTAATGAGCTGTCTCGAATTTCCTGGGCGAAGGCGGATCTATTTCGCACAACAAAGATAAACTGATAGATTGTGTACCTATTTCTATGTCCAAGAGTAGCGGTCACCGTCTGCCTTTTTTTAAATCCGCAAATACAAATGCCCGCGTTGTAACCCTTCATTTTTTGCATGGAATGCTGGTTGTACAAATTCCAATTTAGCTAACTGCAATTTCTAGTGCTTTTAAGCGTACTTCATCCCTTCACCATCAAAGATATCTTAAATTCCGTTTGTTCTGGCTGGTTGCCCTGTAACTGTTGGCCCTAGTAACGACCAACCAGGCTAAATTCACTGTCCGGATGTACTTTTCGTATCTATTTGGCCAAAACCAGCATAGTCATTATTTATGCCTGTACATAAACTCCGTTTGACACAATCTACGGCGTCCGCTTCTGCCAGAGTAGTCCCAGTGGTGATTTCATAGTGGAGCAGGCTGCCGATGCACCCAACTCACACACCTACCACCCCTAACATATTCCGTTGGCAGCACGACCGAGGGTGGGCGCGGACGCCGTGGCCGACAACGCCAAAGTGAAGTCTTTGCGTGCCGCGCAGACGTTAGTCCATAACCCCTTCCTAACCAGTCTCCGATGAGGGGGTCTCGGATCTCTCACTAAAGAGTGTTGCCTTTAAACTCTCTTTAACAGAGTCTTTGCAGTCAACCCATCATTCCTGGGAAGGACCTAGTTGTACCGTCAGTTGGCAATCTTCCAACTCTGGACTATTAGCGCACCTGGTAACAAGGAACTTAGTCATTGGATCCGAGCTGGGTCGATCTTTATCTTTAATACCTCCCCCATCTTTCAGTAACTTTTACAAATTAGGCCGACTGAATATGATATTGGTCGCAGGATCGCGTGAAGTCCTACCTAATGCTTGTTACACGCATCATCTTACCTAAAATTACACACTACGCATTATCTTGGACGACGGAGACCCCCAGATTGCCAACTTATTAGCCGATTTTGACGAACAGTCGACATTTGCAGCTGGTTTTCTCGCCCAGTCTTAGCCTTAAAGAACAAGCTTTGAAGACTGATCTGTAACTTTGCTCTTTGCTGTCTGCACGACAATGAGTTTCCCAAAATCCAACGCTCTCTTCTGTTTCCCTATGCATTATGTTCAGATGTACAGTGGCTCCGTAGGCGGCACCGTATTTTTGGTCGCCTACTATCACAAACTGGCATTCGGTCTTCCTCTTCTGTGACCTCTGCCAAGACTACGTTGGCCGCGATCCCGTCAGTCCGCCTCCCGCTGTGCCTGTCGCTGGAAGAGACTAGCCTTATACTCTACCAAAGGATAGCAAAGGGCCTTGATATTGTCAGACCTCTGACTGACCTCCAGCCCCCGCTGGTTAGCGACCTCGTCCTCTACGATGAAGCCCTTGCGACTCACTTCGAAGAAATGGTAATTTTTTCATGACTTCACGCCTATCTCCAGTACGCTTACCACCTCTCTCTTTTTCCTTTTCTATCTTCATCTTGACCACCACTGGTTTATCTTCCTTATACAAGCGTTGCGTGATTCGCCGACCCTTAAGATAAGTTCGGACTTTGGAGCTATAAGGACAGATCCTCGTGAGTGACTTGCTGACTGTGTGGATTACGGCTCATCCGGACTTTTGTTTGAGATGGCCAAAGTCCGCCAAGACAAAAACGTTATCTAAATGCTACGTGCAAGGACAAGGACGACTGGACTGGCCATTTATGTTGTTGTCGGCCGGCTATATCCCAACCCCGACCGAGAGGACTTGCGGTCTCAACCCTGGTCATCTGTCATCAAACATTTGAGGCGGACGTGCAAAGAGACTGAGGAGGCTACGGGCTGGAGCTCAGAGGCAAAACGAACTGAGCGTGTGCTTTCTTTCAGTCAAATCAGTCAAACACAGCTCAGGTAAACTAAGGGGTTGGTGTGCGCTTGTTACCGCATGTGTGCGTACCCCATGGTCAAAGAGGTCTGAAAGCGTGTGCTATGCCAGTATCAGCGAACCATGGCCCTCACAGCCTAATATGCGCTGCCAGTTCCCTGACACCTGGTTCCCTGTCGGTAGATGCGCTCGCGATCCCGCTGGGCATACATGTGATGGGTATGGCTGCCCAATTATCCTCGTCCTTCTGACCCCTGTTGGGGTATTTTTCGCTGCTGTTGGTCAAAAACTTGGTCGTTTGCTGTGTGGATCAGGGAGTGCGGGGTGGAGCGCCAAGGCGCGGGCTCGACCGCGCCATCCATCTGCGCCCTCCTCCACCTCCGGTCATATTGACTCTGTCTTGACACGGGGTCTAGGTAGGGAGTGGAAAAGTGAGAGCGAGGTAGATTCTGCGCAAGCTTTCTATCAACATAAACTAATTCGCTCATAAGTAACCGTGCATGCTGCACCTTGCTGTATAGCACACGGTGGACAACGTCGGAAATGACGGTCGAACTGTCGTACGCACCTGAGCCCCAACGGCAGATAATACCGATCGGCAAGGTGCTGATTGACCTCGGTCCGATAAAGTGCCTACAGCACATTTAACAAACCTCCACCTATGGAACGTCAGCGCCGGGTTTGCGTATATATTTGTGTTCTTGGTCCTCATCCGGACTCACCTCTGGTCGCTTTGATGTTATCTTGCGGTCGTAGAAGGGTGAGTGAGGGAGGAGAACGTGCGGCGGATGCTGCGCAGGACCGTCCCATCGCAAAATAATTCACCAGTGCTGCGCCCACTCCGTGAGAGGCACGCGGTGGGCGCCGTCGTCCGCGACGGTCAAACTGTCGTCCCTGGTGCCCACAACGGTTTGCATTGCAGATGCGCTGTACCAGAACGAGAGCCAGACTGGCTCATGTAATGTATTTATTGGGTTACACAGAGTTTGCTCGAGTCCAGTTCAGTTCAGTCTTATTAAGGGAATATAGGCGAGCGTCTTTAAACTCCCTATTGGTTACAAGTCGTTGGAGAAAAACAGTGATAAATGGAAAGTTGAAAAAAAGATTTTGTACATAGTTGCTGAAAGCTGCCAGATAGTCGAAAAAGAATAATCATGAACGGCTACTCACTGATTGCAAGTAGTATAAACGTGTATATGTTGATGTCAGTTATGTTAGTTGGTGTGAGGCTGGTAGTTGGGAAGCCTGATAGGCGTCGAATCTACACCTAAAGGAATTCACACAGAAGGAGAGTACAACATCGGTAGGCAGGACATTCCACGCTGCAACCACTCTGTTACTGAAAAAGAACTTTGCTCCATTGATCCTTGCTTTCCCTGGGCGCAGTTTCAGGGGACGACCGCGCAAAGTAGGCTTCTTAGCTGGAGTGGAGAGTAATCAGTGGGATCTAACTAACAGTCCACGCCGTTGATAATGCGAAATGTTAATATAAGCATTACCAGTCCCATCACGCAGTCGGACGGTCGACTGGTGTATGAGAGAGAGGGAAGAGACTTGCGAGCCCATCTTACCGGCAGGTCACCGCATTCCTCATCTGACGCGATTAAATCCGTCAGGACGCGATAGGAGGCGTGGCTTGGAAGGTTGTCAATTGAGGAGATAACTGGGCCCTCATCGAAGTACGCGGGTGTGTGTATTTGGTCGTGTGAGGCACGTGTCAACGGGCTGCTTAACGTTTCGAGCCCCTCGCGCCCACATCTCATCGTCGTGCCATTTTCTTGCCACCGCAGCAAGGTGGGTGAGGGACGTCTGTGAGCGCACCAGACGTTGCGCGAGTTTAATTCACTATAAACTCATTTAGGAGCAATTCACCCTTTGCTGCGCCCAGTCCGTGGCACGCGCAGTGGACACCGACCTTTTGACGGTCCATCTGTCAATTCTGGCCGGTGTCGTGATTTCTGAAGTAGAAGCAAGCGGCCTCGAATCAGCGCCGTCTCAGCCCACGCGTATTTTTACCAAGATCACTCAGACCCCAAAGTCTTCACGTGGTACTTTTCCTTACGAATCTTCATGAAAATTATTACCCAGTTTAGACCATATGAATGCAAACGGAATGGAATCTTTGCTGTGCTTCTATGGAATTCTCCTCGATAAGTAACTTTTGGCGTCTTGGAGGAGCACCCCCATGATTTTTTTGAAAGTAGAGTTGCAGTGGGCAATGTTTCCACCTTGTATGCACATCAGCCGCAAGATTTTTAAGATGCACATGCCAAAAACCAAACTCCTTGTGTTCTTTCGCACTCTCCCGCAGACGGAGGTTTACAAGGCCCAGAAACGACAGCGAATGCTTAGTTACTATGGCGAAATGCTTGCTGGGCAAAGAAAACGGCGGACACGTCGCTCTGGACAGCACCCATCCAACACCGAGCCTGTTGACAAGGAGGAGACACAGAACGATACTCAGGTCGATGAATTTGGTAAGTCCCAACTATCACCAACATCAGCATAAAATAGAACTCATTTACGAGTCCGACATATGACTCCAGCCGTCTCTCACGGGTAATTGAAGTAGGAACAGGACGCTAGAGATTAAAAGAACCGTTGGGTTTTGGGCAGTTAACCACAGTGGGAGAGAAGGAGTGGAGGTGCGGAACTGGCAAAGGATGTGGGAGTCAGCAAATTATTGGGCTTACAACTGAAGCCGGCCGTGAGGTTAATTTACAGTATTTTCTGCCGGTTGCCGTCGGTACTTGCACGCTTAAAAAACTGGGAAGTTCAAAGCCTATAGTGTCGACTGGGGAGGTCAATCGAAGTCTTGCCATTTACCTGACGGACACTAAGCCGAAAACTGAAATAGATTGGGCCTAACAAGTTGGCGAAGTAACGCTAAGGCTAGCTGTCTTGCCTCGAGCGCATGCACCCAGAAAACAAAAGCATTTGTACGTAGCTTTTTAGATGCTTCAATTGCGTGCACAACCATTTGTTAAAACTTTTCATCGCTATTCAACTGCTTGTTATTATCGTAATTTGGGTCTCAGAGTGCACTCATACCTGTTGACATCAGTCATTCTAATGAAAAGAACGGCCGGATTACCAAGATCGCAGAGGAAGTTGTGAGCATTCGTAGAAGTTTCTGAGGGATCAGATAGCGGCGAGGTCTCCTGTTCCGTACAAAGAAAGTGCCTCACACGACTCACTTGGGACCTACAGTTTCGAGTAAGAGCGCCCGTGACCTACTCAGCTTCAGTGGGAAAGAAGGTTGAGAATATGTGAAACTATGACCAAATCCATCCAGCTCGATGACTTGATGAACTGTTGGCCCGAGAAGGATCAGTGTTTTGGACAACTGATGCCTCTAGACTACGTCTTGAACGTGGAATCTTACCACCAATTGGTGTCGACACAGTGAAAGCCTGTTGTCCCAACTGGTTCAACCCCGCACTCCTTCTGCCTGAGGTAGAGCTCATCCCTGACACCGGTTCCCCCAACCCCTGCTTGTCTTTGCGCTGACAACTCGGTGGCCAGGTTAAGAGTTTCCGAGGTGTGGATTCGGACTCGGAGAAGACACTTATGTGGCCCCACTGGGCAAACGGGAGCCAAGGCCTCCTGTAATACGTCAATGGCAGTAATAAGAGTTTCATGGGTAGAGTAAATGAAACCGACGGATAGCTGTTTTCGGGCAGCAAGAGTAAAAGACCTGCATCTACACCATTGGCATGTTTGAATACACTAATGAAGCGTTGAAGTTGAAGCTCGCAATTCGAAATACAGGAAGTTAGGAGATGTTAACGGGCGGAAAAAATGAAAGCCGAAGGTATTGGCTAGATATTCTGGGTGAATTGATATCAGTCCGTGATGGAAAATCATATTTAAGGAGAAAGTGTGAAGAATATGCCGTTAAATCCAATTCGTGATGACCGCGGCTGAAGAAATTACTAAATTTGACAATGTTGATAGCCTACCCCCGAACCTAAACCCAACCTCTCATTCTAACCTTCGACCGTAACACTAACCTCCAACCGAAATGCCAACCCATAACCTCCTAACCCTAAGCCGAACGCTGTCCCTAATGGCAACACGTTAGAGAGGCGTGGCCGGAAATGAGCGAAAGAAGGGGGTTTAAATTAAGTCTACACAAATGACACACGTAGGTATTTCATAAAGATAAGGACTACGCTTGGCCACATATTTGGTCATCACCGACACTCTACCCGACGGTCATCGGCATTTAACGGTGAAACATCACCCAGACGTTGCTTGATAAAGACCCTGTCGGGGATCGCAGGATAGGGGCTCCGATGGTTCATGATGTAAATGACTCTGGAGCCGGCTAAACCAGCATTGGTGACTGGAAAAGATTATTTAATGAGGGTTGTTATTATTAATTATCGTGCAGCATAATCCTAAGATATTTCATTCACGCCAGAATGCCGGTTTTTGAATAAGTTCTTCGGCCGTCTGCAAAAACTACATCGTAAAACTACTACTTAAGTAGTGTGTTTTCCCCATTGATTTCCGATGCCCTTATGAATTTAAACATGCTATATAGAAAACATGGACAAAAATACTCTTCATTCTACTTATTTGGTAGCAAATTGGGTCTTTTTAAAATTTTATTTTTGAGGGGAGCGTATCTTAAAATACTTTTTTGCCCCACCAACATTCAAGGCTAACAAACTGCATGCCGTATACATTTCATCAAAGGAATGTCACACATTTCCATGCGCTGTTAGGAAGGCGTCATGTAGCACTAATAAAACTGTGTAATGCTACTTTACAAGTAGCATTGATAAACGTGCTGGCGCGATGCTGCGTGAATAGACATTTCACGGTCTTAGAAAATCGGTATGACTGACTTATGTGCCCCCCCCCCCAAGCAGGGCATAGGAATAGGTACGCCCCACCCAAGTAATAAAGGTGAGCCTGCGCATAATTCCGGAAAAAGCAAAATATTCCCGGGGATACAGTAGACCTATAGTCACATCCTGAAGTAATTATCTCATCCAGGTGTTCGAATCTCCAAGAAGCGCCTGAAGAAACTTCTACGTCGTCGGAAGCGTCGGCGAACGCAATTGGAAGACCATTCTATCGATTATATGGATGACGAAAGCAGCGAGAGCGCCTTCGATTCGCCTGAGCAGCAGGATGAAGAGGAGGCGGTTAAGGGAGAAAACTCCTTACTCGGGACGCGGCAGCCGACCTTGGACGAGTTGATCACCGACAGCTACGCTAGCGGTAGCCAATCTTCGATCGAACAGCTGCATGCCTATGTCCCCATCCACCGGCCCCGACCTACTCCACGGGAATGGCGGCGCCATGGTGAACATCAACAGGTGGATGTGCCTGAACATCTGCACGCCGAAGGCCTCCCCGCAAGTAGGAAAAGCCATTTATGACACTTGACACACCTCTTTGCACTTTTTTAAATTGTCGTGCAGCCAACTAGTTCCTCTGATTACAATCTACCTTAGGTTCTAGCTGAAACCTCACTTCATTCGCATGAAATTGTTTGGCGTTTTCAGTTGTACGCTGGCTCATCGCACTGTCCTCAAAGGCCCGAACGGGTGCTGCCTGCTCCTCGGACTCAGCGGCACCTGAAGTGGATGAAGAAAAGGTCATTTTAAAGTGTCGCGTCTTCGCGGATCTCTGGTCCAGGGGCTTCTGCGTGACCGGCTCGGCCATGAAAATGGGTGGGGACTTTCTTCTGTACCCAGGTAAGGACTGCGATCTGACTGTGATTTGGTAGAGCAGCCGGCAAGAACGCAGTTTACGATCCCACTCGGAACAAAAGCTAGGTCATCAGGGCATACTGCGTCCTCGCATTTTCGATAATTGACGCTTCCGCACTTTCGTAACTAGGTGAAATGTAATTTACTTTTATTGTGAAAACAAACTGGAAGAACCGGGAAAAGTGCTCGACTTTTGCCTACACAGTCAGATATAGTGACAATCTCATCAGTCCTCGCGGATCGGGTTCTTTTGTAGGAATCTGTAGAGAAATTTAATGCGAAGACACAATATGCCACCTCAGCATTTATCCCAATGTTTAACTACTATCGCGCTCTCTTTTCCGCCGCTTAGCCCCACCCATAAAACCCGTGTTACACGATGTTCTAGTTTTTGTTCCCTAACTGGGGTCTCATGCTGCGTCATTGCCAAGCAGCCAGTGTTAGTGGTTTTTCTGAATTATGAGTTACGAGTGATCTTATCAGCATACCTCTTCTTACCATGCCTGCGTAGTCTACTTCACCTTCCGGCCTCGGGTTAATGCCAGCCAATCAGACTGCCGTGGCGCCCCTAAGGGTGAGACTTTGCGAAAACTGTATGGTTTGACGTCACTTGTGTGAAATGTTTTGCCTAGCGATCATGTACAGTGCGTGAACGATCTCAGGAAATGTTGGCCGAAACTCTGAAATGCATTTTTGATTAGAAAGGATTACCCAGGTAGGGTTGTAATGTTGCTTATCAAACAACAAAATCCCATAGTATTTTAGACTCACCATGAAGTCGGCTTTTAAATGCCCTTCCTGTCGACCTCCCATAACAGCCACACTTGGTAAAAAATGGCTACTTAAGTAGCATGCATTTTTCACATTTATTTTCGATGGTCATATAAATTCAAATATTTCTTATGGAAAACATGCACAACAATATGCTTTCTTTTACTTGTTTGGTAGAAAATAACATTGTCTTTACATTTTATGCCAGAAAAAGGTGTATATTTAGGTTCTAAAAGAGTTTCCTTATTCCCCACTAACTTTGGGTCAGAGCAGCCGTTGCATTACCATTTAGCAATTCCAGTCTACAAGCAGCATGCTCTCCGTACAAAAAAAGTAATATATTCCTCTATGCCTTTAAGAAGATACCATGTTGAGTTCATAAAATTTTGCAATGGATGTGGACTACGTTGTACGTTTCACGAGGAGCATTGGTAAACGGAGATGTGCGACGCTGTTTGTATGGATATCGCACGGTCTTAAAAATCTCATAATTAGAAACTTTTTTAAAACCTAAATATACACCTTTTTCTGGCATAAAATGTAAAGACAATGTTATTTTCTACCAAACAAGTAATAGAAAGCATACTTTTGTGCATGTTTTCCATGAGAAATATTTGGATTTGTATGACCATCGAAAATAAGTGCGAAGAACACATGCTAATTAAGTAGCCATTTTTTTACCAAGTGTGGCCTTTATGGTTGGTCGAAAAGAGGTGCATTCAAAAGCCGACATTCGGGCGAGTCTGGAATACTATCGGATTTTGTTGCTTGATAAGCAACATTACAACCCCACCGAGGTAATCCTTCCTAGTCGAAAACGCATTTCAGAATTTCGGCCAACATTTCATGAGATCGGTCACGCACTGTATCATGGAGGGACCATTACAAAAAAAGTTTCGCACACCTCACGAAGTCTGATAAATACGAATGGAAACTCAATGAAATCATGACTGAGATGCATCCAGAAGACTACCGTTGCATAACAGTATAAACCCTCGATACTACCGAAGATGCTAGTTGCATAGTTGCAGTTGAGAAGACGGAAAGGGGAACACTGGAACAAGAGTTTTATTCACTTAGCGTTTCGGATTCACAGTCGGACCCCTAATCAGAGACGGCATCAGACTGTCGCAGCACCTTAAGCCGCAGTGAGACCCTAGTCATTACGACCTTCAGACTCGGTCCCGAATAGAAAGAGAAGGAGTGGGACGTCATGTGCAAGAATAGTGTATTCTGCGCAGAATAACTGGAGACGGTATTGGAGAGAGTTGGCAGTCGAACAAGGATACGTCAGGCGCCGGGAGAGCGGCGTCCCGAATGAGAGCGGGATGTGCGTCACAGCACCTCAATCGAGAGCACATCTGATTCGGCCTCGATGATTGGCCAGTTGGAAAGCTGTGAGCGGGCGAAAAGACCATTATCTGTTGGTATGTCTAATTACGGTTTCGAGTGTGACAATCTGAGGTGTCAGTAGTCGAGAGGCATTAACAACCAGCTGCAGGTGCTATAGGCCGGAGCTCCAAGCTAGGACCGAATGGCTCTATTCCGCCCTGCAATCAGACCCAACCGATGGACGCCACTCCCACATGGCCCTAGCCGGCGGCGTGCTAGCTCGTCTTTTGCGGGTTAGTGTCTGTTTCAGTGACTAATTAATCTCGCGTCTGCGCAGCCGGAGGTTGGGGTTTGGCTGGCTGATGGACTGCGTTCAAACCGAAAGTGGTCATTTCACTTGTCCATGTTATCGCCAGTACGACTTCTCAATTACTTACCCACCTTCACTTCGATAAACCTCTTCTGAAGTCCGGGCAGGAATTCCAAGACAGAAAGGGACTTTCGCGGTTCGTCCTGCGGTCCTACTAGGTCGCTGTTTGGTACTCCTGCGTGGCCTAGATTATCAACTACTACAGTAGGTGGGATAACTCATGAAATGTCAGCCGAAATTTCGAAATGCGCTCCCGTTTCGAAAAGATTAATTAAGTAGGGTTGTAAAACTAATCATCATGCGACATAATTCTCCAATAATCCGGTTACCTCAGGGTATAGGCTTTCGAATGAACTTCTTTCCGACTGCATGCAAGAACTATACTCTGCGAAAAATGACTGCTTAAGTAGCATGCAATTTTGTCAATGATTTTCAATGCCCTAAAAAAGTCAATTATATTCCATTGAAATCATGCATAAAAATATGGATTATTTTGTTCATTCGGTGGGAAATTACGCCTTCTGCCAACTTTATACTCAAAGGAAGGGTATAATTCGGTTTTAAAAAAAGTTTCTGTGCGATTTTTAAATACCGTGAAATGGCCATTCATAAAACGTCATGTCTCTGCATTTACTAATGTGGCTTATAATGTTAACAATATGGCTCAAATCCACTGCTAAATTTTATGAACCCCACATGGTCTTCTCTTAATACCGTAGAGAAATGTATGGTTTTCCATGCGCAGAAAATATACGGCTCATAGTTTGGAAACCCTGAATGCAAGAGTAACGGCAGGTCGGGTTCAAAATTATTCGGGAATTGGAAGAGTTTTTGAAAACCGAATCATACCCTTCCTTCGAGTATAAAAATGGAAGAAGACGTAATTTTCTACCGAAAGAGTGAAAGAATGAATATTTTTATGCATGTTACCCATGAAATATAATTGACTATTTAAGGGCATTGAAAATCAATGACAAAATTGCATGCTACTTAAGCAGTTATTTTGGACAGACTATAGTTCTTGCATGCAGTCGGAAGGAAGTTCATTCGAAAGCCTACACCCTGTGGTAACCGAATTATTGTAGAATTATGCTGCATGATGATCAGTTTTACAACCCTACTCAATTAATCTTTTCGAAACGGGAACGCATTTCGAAATTTCGGCTGACATTTCATGAGTTAGCCCACCTACCGCAGAATGCTCTTCTGTTGAAAACGTTTTTTTCCTAAATACGAATGTTGCCCTTGTCAAATTTACACAATAGTCTTGTGCATGCGCGTGTCTGGCTGAATCGGCTTACCCCTTCTCCGACTAACCTGCTCACTCTCCCCTATCCCCTCCAAGGCGACCCCCTCTTCTACCATGCAAGCCATATCGTCTGTGTGGCCACCGCCACGAGCCAACTTAAACTCGCTCAACTTTCAACCTCCCTGCGGATAGCCAACAGTGTGCGCAAGGTGCTTCTTCTAGCAACATCGCCCCTCGAGGCGGAGGAGCAGCCGATCATGTATACTTCTTTATACTGGACCGGTTCAAATAGTCACATCAACCCCATTCTGTAAATAATTCCATGCACACGCACTAACAGGAGTCTATGCAGTAAAGCATTCGTCTATCCTGCTTCATTTTCTTTTCTGCTATCCCCCCCCCATCCCCATGCTGTTTGGCACTGTAAAGCATGACGCCTCGGCGGTACAGAATATGTACCTATGCTACTTGCATGCCTGAAGCATGCTGTCTCACTTGCTCTGCGTCTAAGAATGGACCTGATTGTAATAGACGCTGATCGACTTAAGTGACACCTCAGAACTAACCAACTACACCCTCTGGTTGTGGCGTCGCGAAAGCCAGAGCACTTGTGGGAGGACCATGGCCGGCTGTAGAAGGCGCTCTTCTACAACATCTGCCGTCTGTGTATACGCTGTCTTTGCCGGCTCCCTTGCACCGCCTGACAGCTAGCCGCTTATTTGCGACCCCCATCACCCAAGGGCGGCCTAGTTAACTTTGATAAAAGTCGGCAAGATGTGGTTTGGTAGCCCCACCTGATGGACACAATACTGTTGGGGTTATGGATTAGGGCAACTATTTTTCAACCACTCAAAGTACACCCTTGCATTCACAATAGCTTTTCTTTTGAATATAACTATGTGACCTCATCGCCTGTGCGTTCACCGGCCCCACTCGTAAAAAGCCGTTACCACCGGTCTCGTATTTGAGGTGACTGGGGTCTGATTACTTCAGGTGGGGCTACATAACCACATCTGACCTGTCACTTAGTTCAATCTTCGTCCATTCCAGTCTGAGTAAATACCCGATCTACCCCAATTAACACTGCCTGTAGATAGTCGGTATTACGGTCCTGCTGGCTAACCTAGCTGGCCTCCGTGAACCATGTGCTCCGTATGTATCCGCATCGGTTTCTATCCGGACGTAGGTCTTGTTCACGTTAATGACTGACCAAGTGTGAATAAACCTGAATCAGCGCCCACCTCCTGCATCCGTAAAAGTGTTCTGCCACTCCTTCCCCCTCATCTGCTCGTGCATCCCCAAGAGCGAAGAAGTCTAAGTGAGGCCGCCGACGTGTGGTATCATCATCATCATCATCATCATCATCATCATCATCATCATCATCATCATCATCATCATCATCATCATCAGTCTCCTATATGCTAGACGGGTGAAGTTGCCACTTTTACTGGCCTCCACCATTTACTCAGCTTGAGAGGGTGCGGATAGAGTCTACGAGTGCTGGTTTGTGTTTGCCGTCAGCGCATTTAACCAGAGGCGGGAGAGATCTTACTGACCAATGAGCTCTCTGAATCCACTCCGTTTCCCCACTGTGCATTTGGCTCTCTCTTATTAGTACCTGGCCATCATTCGTTCAGCCTACACTGACTTAAGCGATGGAAGTCCGCCTAAGTGACTTCCTCTCCACACATTTCTGCAATACGCCTTGACGGCGGTAGGGGACGATGACTGCCATTAACGTCGAGACTAACTGAATGCTATTTGGGAGTTCACATCTACTTTCAGACACTAACTACATCCAAAATTGACTTAATTTCTGCTCACTGTTTAGATAATCGCAGCAGCTTCCTAGAAAACACTGCCAAAAGCTCATCTCCCGTGGCCTTTGGGTAATAAATTATCTTTCCACGAAGTCGCTTATTCGAACGCACGAAATTTCTTTTTTCGGAAATTACTGCAATTAGCATTTCTCTTTTTAAATAAGAACTGTTAGTCAGTGGATATTCCAGGCCTGTTTGCCGAAAGTGCTCTCATTTTTCTTTTGATCCTTCCATGAATATTCCTGTGGAGACCAGTTAATACTGCAGCCTTCGGGGCAAGTGGTCCACTTCGTAAGTGAGGTTGGGAAACTTTTACATGAAAATTGTTATTCAAGCAATGTCCCAGAAAGAAACGCGGTGAAACTCCTGCGATCATCCAAAAAGACCTGAACAGTAGACACCAATAATCAGGAAGTTATCTGCAATCGTCTAGTAGGAAAGATTTAGCTAGGGCAAAGAATACGACGAAAGTGGCACTTAATGACGCCAAGAGATCCCAGGACTCCTTGTCTAACTTTGATCAGTAGAACAAATGGGGTTTAATAAATAGTAGGCCGCAGGAGACGGTGGTTTAGTCCTTGAGTTAGCCTACTAATCGGATGAGTGGAGGCAGACCAGAACAAGTGGTTCCCCCATACCACCGGCTGCCTGGGACTGAATTCCGAGAGTGGGGTACACTTATTGCTCAACCCCCCCCCCATGCAATTTAGCGCTAGACCACCTATGGTACGGCGGACCATATTTCCGTGCCCCACCGAACAAGTCAAAAGTGTTCAGTGATAAATCGCATGGAATTTTGATCAGACATTCGAGAACGCAACGCTAAATTTGAGGCGAATTGGAGAGAAGGGATCATTTAGCACATACGCGCTGTCGGGGCAGTTGGGGATTGAACGCAGGATCCAACTGTTTGCGCAGCCATGGTTCCCTCCTCACTGAGAAGGAAGAAGACATTGGAAGAGCTTATCGGAAGGGAAGGGACAAAATCCCTTCTGGAAAGTTACGTGATAGACGAAGGAATGGCTCTCTATGTAAAACCTCTGGACTCACATAATCCCAGGTTACGTGGACAGCCAACAGTCCATACGATTGATCTGTCACGACGGCCCCTTCTGGTAATCATGAATTTATCTACTTTGACCCAACTTTGAAAACTCGGTGGACTTCGAACCCACGACAGCAAGGGCAAGGCTTGAGCACAGCCAATGCTCTAGCCATCTGAGCTGCGGGGTCCCCCCGGGGGCGGCGATTTTAATCACATTTAGGTCAAGTTATCCGCCAAGCCTACTGCAACGTATGGAATCCACCAAATCTCTCAGAGTAGGCTGACTTCCCAAGCAGGAGTTTTGAAGCGATCAGATGATTACCAGACTGACGTAGTTATTAAGTTTTTGGCAGATTTTAAATAATTCATTTTGACCCGGCTGAGAAAAACTCAGTGACCTCGGTGGGATTCGAACCCAGGAGCACAAACTCATGCAATGACTTTAAGATATCGTTAGTAACCTTACTACACATACAAAGAAGGAAACTTCTGGTTTTGTCGTTTGACCAAAGGAGGTAGACGTACGAAACATACACTCATCCCCGGACGTGCTGAACCTGTTCATCATGTTCCTACTGGATGAGACTTTTAAGGAAATGTGTGAGAATGAACACGAAACCTGCTTGAAGGCATGACCTATGTGCACCAAGAACTTGCAAGTCCTTCGTTGTGGACAGATATACGAGCAGATTGATGGTGTAACTGATGATTATGACGTAGACCCTTTCCTGGCCTAGGAGTTAGCGTCATTTGAGGGTTCAGTTGGTGGTAGATTAGTTAGGAAGGGCGGTATTTAAATTTTGCGACAAAGAGAGAGGGAGACTCCGTTTTGTAGCTGCTTAGGCAGGCCGATAAGATGGAAGAAAAACTGGATTGTCTCAAAGACATCCCACGGAATAACGGGTATCTGAAATTCATTGAAAATTACCACAGTTCTGGGAGACAAAGATTGACGAAATTGTCAGTTTCGAAGAAACGAGCGAGATTTTGTCTGTCCTTCAAAGGAATTAGCGCCTCTAACGCGACTGAGCGAGAGCCGTCTGGCGCGATTGAACGCACACACACCGTCACTAACTCTTGACTTTGAAGTCGGCTCTATTTTCTGTCGATTTTTGATGCGTGTGTAAATGCGATCATGTCCGCTTGAAGGCATCTTGACCAGTCAGCATACCAATTTGAAGGCATCTAGACCAGTCATTATGCCAGTTTGGAGGCATTTGGAATATAATGGAAGACAGGCGGTGTTTCAACTTAGACATAACTGTAGGAAGTTCGAAACGTCGACTTTAGTACTGGTTTACTTCAGTATGCGCAGATTCAGCCAGTTAGCAAACGGAATATTCGACCTTGCCTACAATTACTGTACTGTTTAGTAAGCTTGACGAGGTCCCTTTCACCGGATGCGAGGAGAACGAGGAACTTTATTACAGAGGAAGCAGGCATTTGGACCTTTCAGTCGGATGAAAACGCAGCTTTTTTGAAAATAAATAGCGATTAAAAAGCTAGAGGTATTGCGGACTGAAGTGGCAGCTTCCGGTTCTTTTATTGTCTTATCAAACCCGGGACTGCAAAGACCGAAAATATTAAGAAATGTTTTTTGTTCCGTGCACTTCCACACCAGATTTCATGATGGTGTCATTTCCTGCTAGATGAAAAGACTAGAAACGATTTTCTGTGTGTATCCTCCACAGTAAATATTCTCCTATGCTGAAACACCGAAACTTCCTGTTTAAAATACGCCCTACTTCCATGGCGTTTTACCCCGAAAACGGGCCGGCTGTCATGCATGAATTCACTCACCATTATGCACCGCACTGAGCAGTATTCTCATCTCTACTTATGAAAGTTTTCTGCTCGAAAACACGTTCAAAGGTTCCAGTCACTGTTTAATGGTTCTCCACACTGTCGTAGGTGAATATGAAATTTTTTATTTAAATGCCAACATGTCATGTTATTTGACTTAACTTGAAATTAAGTTTCTTGCTTATTAACTTTGCAATCACACCCCAGCAGTTTTTGCATTATTCGGAAGCACACTTTTCTTATTCCGGTGAGTGAGTTTTAGCGCACGCTCGGATTATGCAGTTGCCTATGCCTCTCTGGGAAACCTGCGACGACGCAGTTCACTGCTAGTAGGGCGATGCTATTTTACTTCCACGAGGCTTCTCGTGCACTGACTTTTGAATTCTACTAGTCGGTTCACCTGTTCTGTCCTCAACAGTGGGATGCCGGCACGCACGTCGCCCCTATATATTGGGTAAGGGTCTAGCCGACGTCAAATACACCACCGAAGCATTTCGCCAACCGTAACGAGTTCCTGATTGGCAGCAAAAGGTCTCTACGACACGACTCATGCTTGGTGGGCAGCCAAGTAAAACAGTCCGCACTTGCGGGGACAATATAGCGGCAGCTTAAGTCACAGTCAGACCCCGTCTGCTGACCGACTTACATCTAGGTCTCAACTTTCCTTCTCTTCTAGGTCCATAATTTCCCCGTGGGATTCTGAGGAACCGAAAAATCCTCATTAATTTGCGAGATCAGTAATGGAAAAATAAGCATGGGCGACTTGGAAGGCAACCCCTACGGTCTCAATTACAACGACATTCTCACTTCCATGATGTCGGGCGAGGAGGAGGTGGAGGACCTCGGCCAGTTCGACTACGGTGACATTGCCGGTGAAGAATGGGAGGATGAGACGGGTAGATGGCATTTTCAGCCCTACCCCTCCTTGTCGCCTTCGTGGTGGGAGAACTTGTACTCCTTCGCCCAGAACATCCTTCATCAGGTCCTCCCCAATATGCTGTTCAGCTTGGCTCTCTGTCTACTGTGGCGAATTTCCTTCCTGATACTGACCCGTTGTCCGCCCGAACGCGGTGAAGGGGACCCTCAACAGCCTAAACGTCAACGTAAGAACTGGAGAAGAGGGAACTGTTTTTTAAAAAATCTATATTATTTCAGTACCTCCCACCGTGGAGACCGGGCCGGGTGATTGCTTAACTTAACGCTCTATTAGTTGGACAGCCTAGAGTCGGGTTCCCTCTGACTGATAAAGGCAAAAAGATCCGATCAGACCACATCAGTCTCTCTCATATGCCCCACCCCCCCAACACTTTGACTGTTGATGATTTTTGTCATGCGACTGTCTGCATGGGATCTAGATCAGTGCCGTGAAGTAAAACGGGTCGCCTATATTCCGTTTTGAGCTCAAACCAAATCACTGAATGTCACTTCCACCCGCAACAGACCTTGCTTTTTGGATCTTGGACAGAATACGGGTAAAAAAAAACAATTAGAGGGTCCGGACATTACGATGTACTGAACTTCGACAGGAACTGTATCCAAACCCTGTCGGATGTTTCGATTTCGCTATTAGTAGGTACTGATGGAAAGTGTCTCTGATGGATTTCTTCAACTAAACAAGAGCGCACAAAATTGGCAGAGCGGGAAAGAATAGTTTTTTGGATATACAGCTGTAAATTTTTTCGGTAATAATACGAAAATAAGGAAGGAGGTGGGGAGAATTGCAAGGGCCAGAAAGCGCACAGTGTAGTGGAAAGGATGCATAAAGCGCCAACTACCGGAGAATTTTAACATCGAGGTATTTAGAAAGAGGCTAGATGAGGCCACTGCATAAGAGCCTGAATGATAAGACTTTGCTTCCGATCATGGATAAAGGTGGCAATCTTAAGCCACACAAAGTGGCTGTTTTATTGCTGAGGACAGACCGAGTTCAGTTGACCATGCTAAGACAGGGTCCAAACAGTCCTATGAAACTCGCAAATTAAGGTGATTCATGTCTGGATAACCAAATCACAGGCTTGTCGTTGATTGACTGTCCAACTACAATGTCATTAGCATATCTGACCAATAAGGAGTTAATGACTGACCGAATGTCACCACTGTACAGACGAAATCGTTGGGGAAGCATTGGATGACACTTTTAAGAACAGCGTAGTCAATCCACGATTTTCCGCCTTTTGTAGACAATCCCCTTTAATGTAAGCTATCACTACTCAGGTCGCTCGTAGACTGAGTGCTTAATAAAATAACCATTTTTAGTATTTAAGTGGACTCACTTTTCGCCCTGGACAGGTGATTCTTACGTTGTTTTTTGTCCCCCTAACGTGGATATCTGACTCTTCACGGGCAGCAACAAAGAGCAACAACGGGTTCGGCTTTCCTGATTCGAAGGTGTTCCAGACTCTAGAATCCGTCAGAGAACTTCAGCGCTGTATGAGGACACCGCTTGGCCTCAGCGGCATACTTTTAAATTGGAACAGCCGGGGTTCACTTGTAATGACAAAACTCAAAATGCAACCACCTACTGTACTGATTTAACTCTATTTTTTTCGACTTTTCTAGCCAATATTGGGGCACTTTGCTGAGCCAAAGTCAACAGTAAACGTCCCATTTACCAGTAAGATCCCAGTCAGTGGGTGAAAGCCAGAAGTGTGGACATGAGCTACTGTATAATTCACAGTCGGCAAACGTACATTTGAGTTTGTCCATTATCAGGCCGGTACCGTAATTTCCATCACGTTAGGGCTGCGAAAGGCGAAGAACAGCCAATAAACAAAGTCCATGGAGGAGAGGGTTGGAGAAGTATAGACGTATCCGAAGAGGGGGTAACCTATGGTCTAGTCCTGCCGGAAAGGTCAGATAGGGTGCTAGTGGATTGTGAGTGTGTCAAAAGTGTGTTGGCCGTTCCATATCCAAGTGGTTAGTCTCCATCCAAAACTTCCCCAACGATGGAAATTTAAAGTTCTCATCCGGTGCTGGTATCTGTCTCACTTAAATACACCTTGGGAGACTAATTGTGGAACGGGATGTAGTATAGTATAGTATAATAGTAATATGTGTCTGCCTCTTGAATACGTTGCAGTTTGGTGACATTCTTGCCATTCCAGAGCAACGTCAAAGGGTTGGCCAGGAAGAATGCCATTAGTATCTCTAAAATTATCCTTAATTCCTCGTCAATGACATACAACCTTTCAGCCAAGTTTGTACGACCGTGGCTTCGATCCACCGCCAACTTACTGAACTTCCCTTCACCGGCTCGTATCTCCTATTGTCATATCCCTGAATACGCACAATAAATGCATGCTTTAGTTTCATATGGAGGTTTTGGACTGTCTCGCTGCTGTCCGATGGCGGGTTTGAACGCAAAGTTTTGAAGGAAGACAGAAAATCCGTATTCCAGTTTGTAATCGACGAACATCAACTCTTCGTACTTTTAACCATTTCTGATCGCAGTCGACAGAGCACAAGCCTGTGGGTCAATATAACAGGCATTAAACTATGCGGGCTTTGATTCAAATCTCGTTACTTCCTAGCCTGTTATCGGAGAATGGCCGCCTATCGATGGCAAGCCGGAGGCGACCTTCTAGACCTCATTTTATCAGTACTGCTTCTGAAACGCTGAAAATTAATCCCCACGCGACTCTCATCAGTTTGGGAATTTGAAGTAACTGAACCGAGTATAAATAGGAGTGGAAGGGAATATGCCGAGGCTACAGAACGCATTGCGTCAGAGTTAGGCGTGGGCATCGCTCATCATCCGGCGGCTACCATGCGTAGCAGGATCATGAAAATGAAGAATCGGCTGGACGCAGGTGAGCAGTCGGGCGTAGCCTATCAAATCCCGTGCCATGACTGTCCTTGCCACTACACAGGCCAAACAGGACTACGTGTCAGCTCACGAATACTTGAGCACAAACGGGCCGTTCGGAGAGGCAACCCACTATCTCAAGTCGCCACTCACACGCTGGAGGAAGGCCATGAGTCCGACTTCGCCAACACGCAGATATTGGCGCGAACCGGCAGCAAGACGGGGCGAGGACTGTTGGAGGCGTGGGTGTCGGACACCAACTCTATCAATAGACACATTGATTTGCCTGCGTGTTATCACGCATTCCGCCCACGCAGCCAGGTGGCGCAGCTCACATCACCGCGAAGTACAAACGCCGTCACCCTGCCGGGGGACCATTGTGGACTAGGCGGCACAAACCAGACCCAGCCACGGACGAAGTCCCCCCCATACGACACAACGATATAAATTTTCACAAGTTGCTGCACCCTAGCAGTCTCTGATGATAAACTCCCGTTCGAGTTCGAAAGCGAAGGCCAATAAATCTACCATCCCAGTGATCGTGCCTTCGTCTTCTTTTAAATATAGATAGGAGTGCCGAAAGTTTAGCGTCACTTCTCCTCAACTGAGCCGACACCTGAACGTACATTATGCGTATTTTCTCGGAGAGACGCCCATGTCTATCACCATTTCGGTAGTGTCCTCATCAAAGTCTTATAGCTGCAGATGTAGAATTTACCTGTCTTTTTGAATTTTCACACAGCTGTTGCCTGCCAGACCCCTGTTTTGGATTCATCAATCTTCTTTGCCGCGTTTCTCGAATGTGCTACCTCCTTGTTTTTTGTGTAAATTTCAGTACCTCTCTGGCGTGAAGCTCTTCTTCATGCACTGTCCGTTGCACTTGGTGAGTTAACGGAGGAGCAGTAGTTGTTAAATGCATACTTCTAAATCGCGCTGGCTCTTGGAAGACATATGGCCTAACCTTTACGTAAATATTAGTATGAGCAGGCGGAGACTACTAGATACAAATGAGTAGCTGTGTAAAAAAAGGATTTCTGAGCAATTAATGTTACCTTACCTGGTGGTACAACGCCGGCATGGGAACGGCGTTCCTGCCAATTGCAACAAACTAGCAAGTCTCGGGTAGCAATTTGATAGGGGCTTTCACTTCCGAAACACGCGATATCAGATTCGAATTCGAGCCCACCATCGGAAGCAGTAAGCGTCGAAAATGAAGCATTTGCCACTAACCGTGACATGCCCACAGACCGCCAGACCTTGTCTCCGATGTCGATCATGGCGATGGCTGATGTATGGTGGGCTGTTATATCTCGTCTATGTCCTACCCAACCGGCTTCGTTTCGTCGCCCGCTGGACTCCCTCCCGTCGCATCACGATTGAAACGGCAAATGCCTTCCCTGATTGTCTTGTACATACGTGGCCACGAAGTGTGCATCGTACAGTAAGCGATGGCTGAAGAATTCCTTAGTTGCACCGTTCCTTCCAGATAATCGAGGAGCGTAACCCGCAAAGGCGAGGTCGGTCCTAACTTAGTGGTTCTTATCAGACAGTAATACCCCAACCCCAGACTTCGAGCTCGAGGTCTGAACCCGGATCAATTGATCATTCAACAGAATTCTCACCACTGCAGTCAGCTGACATGGAGTTTTTGCTGCAATGGTGAGAGCGCTACTCCATTATCAACCGACTGAGAGCAAAACTTACAACTGGCAACTGGTGGAATGAGGTCTTAGTAGCTGAGGACTGCAAATTTGCTGAAAGTATTCATTCCAGTGCCCCCATATGGTCGGTAAGGGTTCCTATTTATCGTCAGTCACCATGCACCCACCTGCGTTATCAGCCATTCGTCAATTCTGAGACAGAGTGAAATGTGCGTTTCTATCCTACAGTCAGAATAAACCAGTTCATATCACTTCCACATGACTGGATGTTCTCGATCTCAGTCGAAATGTCTTTCAGGATGGTTTCAAAGAAGTTATGGTGGGCAAAGTCTGACGCCGCATCCTATCATGTTTACTTAAATGGCTTTAAACGGACCTACAATAGATGTGCTAACTCATGAAATGTTGACCGGAATTCTGAAATGTATTGTCGACTCGAAAATATTAATTAGGTGGCCTTGAAATACACATCTTGCAGCGTAATTTTAAGATAACTCAGTAATTTCAGGCTGTCAGCTTTTGGACGAACTTCTTTTCGGTTGCCTGCAAATACGACACTCAGTAAAAAATGGCTAATTAAGTAGCATCAATTTTTCTCATTGATTTTAGATGCCCCTTGTAAATTCTAGCATAGTTCATAATGCATGAAAATATTCATTCTTTTGCACATTTGGTAGAAAATTGCGTCTCCTTTAAATTTTGTGCTTGAAGAAAGGGTATAATTCGCTTTAAAAAAAACTTTTTGAACGAGCTGCACATTTTCCGTGTACAAAGCATTACTTCCATACGGTATTAAAAGAAAACCATAAGGAATTCATAACATTCAGCGGTGGATTTGAGCCATACTGTAAACTTAACGAGCAAAATTAGAAAACGCTGAGACGTGATGTTTTGTGAACGGCCATTCCGCGATCTTAAAAATCTCATAATGAGTAACCTTTTCAAACCGAATTATACCCTTTCTTCAAGTATAAAATTTACATAAGACGTAATTGTCTACCAAGTGAGTAAAAGACTGAGTATTTTATGCATGTTTTCTATGAAGTATATTTGAGTTTATGAGGGCATCGGAAATCAATTATAAAATTGGTGCTACTTAAATAGTCATTTTTTTACTGAGTGTCGTTTTTGCAGGTGGACGAAAAGAAGTTCGTTCAGAAGTTGACACCCTGAAGTAAATGAGTTATCTTGGGATTACGCTGCAAGGTGATGTTTTTTACAACCCTACTCAACTAATCTTTTCGAGTCGAAACCGCATTTCAAAATTCCGGTTAATGTTTTATGAGTTTGCATATCTACTGTACTTGCTATTCATTAGTAGCAAGGCAGTATACACTCGTATTTATCTTTCACAGGCATTTTGCTGCTGGGCCACTACTTTGGGGCTCACTGCACCCTTCCGATAGCCTTCATCATAACTCTGGGTCTCCTCCAATGCGGTCTACGCTACCTACCACACACTAACCTCGCGCCTATCGTCCATCACAGCACGTCCACCTCCCCAAGCAGCTGGAGTGGAGGGGTTGTCCTTATCACCCTAGCCTGTCTCTCCGTACAACTCTATGGGTTAGTGAATTTCCTAGAACGCCTTCACGGCTGTGTCAGCCTTTTCTCTTGCTTTTTTTACTATAAGTTTTCCTAGTTGATGTTCCATCCCGGGATTCGGAAAATTGGCCGACAGGCGCAGCACTTTGATGTCGAGTCAGGTCGGGAGAATCACCGACGCAGAAGTCGTAGATGCCGCTTTACAGCCTACAGCAAATAAGTAGCCTCCATGGTGTCCGGTCGCTGCGTCATACAGTCTCGTATACTCGTTACCCACATTTGAAATTAAAAGCGGTCTTTTGTCAGGATACAGTTAGATGAGCTGACGTGATAGTTATGCCGTACTCGTCTCCGTGAGGTCTAGGGGTAGTCGTGATCATCCCGTGCGCCTAAACAGACCGGACAAAGTTCTCTATTTTCTGCGTTTTTATCTCTCTCCCTTGACTGCCCTTCACTCCTCTTATTCGTATTTAGAAAAAGATTTTTAATCAAAGTACCTCTGATCATGATTCTGGTTCTCGACTTTGAGACATCCGAGGCGTTCCTGAAGAGGCCTACCGAATGACAGAAATCTTGCCTTATATCGACTGAAGTAGGGCAGAAGCATACCCCATCCCACAACCTACTTATTTGCTCACCGCCGCAACTTCGAAACCTATGGTCCGGGGCTCTGCGCCCCACTTTGCGCCCAGTTGACGTGCATATCAACCCTGCTCCTGAGTATTATGAGTACTTTTGACGGCTGGACTTGTCTTATCGTCTTTAAACTGAAAGCACACGTCTTTGGGAGCTGGTCCTTTTTTCGGAATATTACAAATAAATTTCGGTACACAGACTTTTTAGTTCCTGAGGTCACAAGCAAAAATGACCCTAAATCAAGAGACGCGAGTCTTCTGAAGAGGTAAAAAGGACGTAACGAGATGTGTCCTCCTGCTACGAAGGTTTCCGCCAAAGCACAGCACATATAATCTTCCTGATGCATAGAAAACATTGAATAAACTGGCGGATTCATAGTTGCTGTCTGCCATTGCCGATGCAACTATTAAAGGCTTACTTTTTGGCACAATCACTGAGCCTGTCGTAGAGGTCATCATTCTGACGTAGGTAGATCTGTGGTGTAGGCTAATCGTGCTCGGTTAACGGAGTTTTCAATCCAGATTACTCAGTCCAATTTCCCTGCCCGACACCCTGTAATCCATAATGAGCCGATCCTTCCCATTCAGAGGGGAGATTGTTTTACTTTTTGTACGACATTTACAAAATGGTTTGCATTGGCAAACATGCAAGTCCACTTTCATCGATTTTCTGGGTCTTTTTATTCGAAGCGGAGCACTTTGTTTTCAACAGAGTAATTACTGTGCTCACACCACTTTTGCCTTCCTTTGTCTAGTGAATTTTTTATGATCCCGGAAGACTGGCATGCAATTAGAGGTGAGCCCACGTTCCTCCCCATTTTTCGCTGCTTTGCTTTTTCCTCGCATTACGTTGGCAGTAGTATTAGTCATCGTTGTACATGGAGTGATGACACAAGCACATATTACAGACAGCTGTTGCATAACGCATTTACTTACTGGTCTGGAGGTCCTAGGCTGTCTGATGTCTGGTTACTGCGTGCTTTGTTTATGTGTGTCTGCTTGCCTGTGTGCTTTGGGTCCTTCAGAAGAGATTGCTTTGTGGTGTTATAGGTCAGTATATAGGTCAGTATATTTTAAGAGTAATAGGCAATGCCTTTGAAAACCCTATTGTAAACGGTACATGCAATATCTCACTATAAATAAACATGGTACTGAAATTTTGTCAGTAATATACACATTTAACAGAATATTTTGCGAAAAATGTAGAACCAAAACTTGTGAACATTCAGTTGTAGATGATTTCAGTAAAATGTTATGACAGTCATCCGCATTAGCGGTATGAGTATGCAAGGCGTTGGTTTAGCACCACAGAGCTGTTCTGTTCAGACAAGCGATAGTGTCCAAGCAAATATGCATCGAGTCTTTGCTTGAACGTCTCCGTGGTATCCGCCATTATTACGTCCTCGGGAAGCCCGTTCCAGGCACCGACGACTCGCTGTGAAAAACAGTATTTGCGAACGTCCAGGCGGCATTGGGATCCTCTAAGTTTTAGAGAGTTCCCACGCAGGTTTGTTGTTGTGGCCAGGGTGAAGAAATCGTCGGGGTTTAGGGCACATTCCCGGTTCCTCAATATCCGATAGGCCTGTATGAGATCTCCTCGAACCTGCCTGTACTCAAGAGGAAAAAGGTTACGTTCCCTAAGTCGGCAGTCGTAAGGTAAAGTCCTGAGGCCTTTTACAATTTTTGTTGCTCTCCTCTGAACTCTTTCTAGCAACTTATTGTCTTTTTTTAGCCACGGGCGCCACGCTTGGATTCCATATTCCAGATGCGAGCGAATGAACGCTCCGTATAATTTTCCAAATAACTCTTTGTCTATGTCCACGAAAGATCGTTTAATGGCAAAGAGAACACTAGTTGCTCTTTTGGACGCCCTAAGACACTGAGATGAAGGCTTAAGGGTCGACAGAATGTTAACCCCAAGATCTTTTTGTTCTGTTACATTTGAAAGGCACCTTCCACCAAGTTGGTAATGGTGATCCTCTCCGTCAGATCTTCCAGTCGTTTTGAGTCGCAGAGCGACGCACTTCTCTAGGTTAAACTTTAGCAGCCATTTGTCAGACCATTCGCATAGGCGATTCAGTCCTTCTTGCAGGGCCCGTTCATCATGTTCGCCGTTGATCGCTCGCCATAACTTGATTTCATCAGCAAATATGACTCCATTGCAGTCCAGTCCATTCATACAGTCGTTGACATAAATTAAAAATAGTACTGGTCCGAGTACGGAGCCCTGCGGAACTCCACTCACAACTGGCACTGGTGTTGACTTCGCACTACCAATACAAACAGATTGTGATCGACCAGTCAGAAAGTCCTTTACCCAGTTTAATAGGTTTCCCCTTATCCCTGACTCTCGGACCTTGTAAAGTAACCGGTGGTGTGGAACACTATCAAAGGCTTTCTTGAAATCTATGTAAACGATATCGACCTTTGTTCCTGCGTCTAACGAGCGAGACCAATGTTCTGTTGAATGAAGCATATTAGTTAGGCAGGAGTGATTTCGTCGAAAGCCATGCTGAGAACTAGCAAAGAAATTATTTTCTTCAAGGAACTTCATTATGGATTTTTTGACTATTCTCTCCATGACTTTGCAACAAATGCACGTTAGGCTCACCGGCCGATAATTGTTTGTACTTGTTCTGGATCCGCCCTTGTGAATGGGGTATATGTTCGCCACTTTCCAATCAGAGGGGAGAATGCCTCGGTCAAAGGAGGACCTAAAGATGTGCCAAAGCGGTTTGGCGAGTTCGCAAGACAACTCCTTCAGCACTTTTGCCGGAATTTGGTCTGGGCCCGGAGACTTGCCCTCCTTAAGCGCTAGAAGTTCCTTCCTCACATCTTCTTCCGTGAAGTCGATGTTTTCTATTACTTCGTCGGTTGTCCCAGCAGGAGATCCAGCCTCGTCAAAGTCCGTTTCATCGGTGAAAACCGATACGAAAAACCGGCTTAGATTTTCTGCCTTAGCGTCATTTTCGATGATATCCTCATTGTTTTCTCCTTTCAACACTGCAACCGTCTCCTTGTTCTTTAACCTACTGTTTATGTAACTGAAGAGCACTTTTGGCTTATCGACGGCCCGTTCCATAACTCGCATTTCATACTCCTTCCGCGACCTGCGGATAGCCCCCCTTACCTCGTTTCGCTTTCGACGAAATTGCTCGTAATGGGATGGTTGTTTTGTTGTTGCATACCTACGCCATAGTTTGTTTTTCCGGTTTACTTCTTTCTTTATATCCCGTGTTATCCAGGCAGGACGATTATTCTTTTTGACTCTCTTTGTCGGACAGTTTCGATGCATAATGACTGTTACAACTCCTTTCAGAGCGTTCCAATCAACGTCTGGATGTCCGGAAAGAAAGTCATCCCAGTCCACTGCCGATAATTCCCTTCTCATGGCGGCAAAATCTCCTCGCCAGAAATTCAGTCTAGGCTCAGTCGTATTCGCTTGTTGGCTGCATAGGCGGTATTCCCAAAACAGCATGACATGGTCACTCTTACCGAGCGGTGTTATGGACCTAAGTTCGCCAGGGCTAATCGGGTCTTTTGTAAGGACGAGGTCCAGACAATTTGCTCTTTGGTCCGCTCTGATCCTGGTTGGGAACGTGACGTTTTGAACCAGAAAGAGATTAGCCGTTAGTTTCAAGAGCCTGGAATCAAACGAATTTCGCGAGCCATTTACTAATAAATTGTTCCAGTCGACCATGGGTGCGTTGAAATCTCCGGTTATCAGTACCTCTTGGTTTTGTGACACCTCTTTAATTAGATCTCGACCGGAGCCAACCGTGCATGTGACGCCTATTAGACGGAGGCTTTTACGGCACCGGCCTGTGCTTTCTATAAACTACCACGACTCGCTAAAAGTCGTGACTTGAAAGACTCTCAACTGACGGGCTAATTCACACGGGCTGCAAGGAATTCGTCTTGATGTGACCTTCAGGGCAACTTTTGGCACCGTGAAATCCAAATTAATTAAATCGTGTTTCTTACACGTGCATGGATGTACACGAGTGAGGCAGGCACAGACGCGACCTTATTTTAGGTTGACCACCGCGTCCATTAATAGCCCTAGTCGTCTTTATTTTGTCACGCCGTTGGTAAGGCAGATGAGGTGCTGTGCAATTTTCCCCCTTCCGTCCTCCATTTCACGCCCAATTCGGCACTGCTCCCTCGGGGTCATGATGGTCATTGTCCTGTTTGACTGGAGAAATAAACTACTGCATACAGTCAGCTGGCTGGTTTTCTTTCGTACCATCCTTAACCTCCTGAAAACGAATAACAGGTCCGGCTGGCACTGAAGTTTTCGTTTTTTGTGCTGATTCCCACGTGCGTAGGGTGATTTTGTTCTGCTTGGCACCACAGGCACTGTCATGGTGATCATTATGAAGGCCATCTGTGCCACCTCCACCGCACAGACCAAGGGTTCCTTCGAACCCTCCGACGTCTTCCTGCAGTTTCTGTCCTGGTGCGGCTACGCTTTCTCACCTGGCAGTATCATTTTTGGCCCCTGGTTCGGTTATTGCGACTACCTCGACACCCTTCGCCTTCCCTATCAACCGAAATCTTCCGTAAGTCCCTTTTTTCAGTTATCAGGAGTTCTGTCCTTAAACGTATTCACAGTCAGCGGATCTGAAAATCCGCCTAACGTGACCTTATCGGCAGCCATCTACTTTTCCTAGAACCGCATACCCTCGATCTGAATCCGCCTAGCTGAACTAAATCAGCAAGATATGCGACGAAAAACATCTGGGCTCCATAGCGCGTCACCGACGCCTTGTGTTTGCTTATTTAGACTGCAGCCTGTGCCTGTGGTGTTCCTTTGGATTTATTTGAAGCAGAAAACAAAGTTCACGGAGTTAAGTAGACCTTGATTCTGGTGCGCCTTTCTTTTAGTTTTTAGGCGATATTTTGCGGACATGTGCTTCCTGTCTATGCTGTCTCGGTTGCATCATCTACTCCACCTACCTTTCGTCCATCGTCTACTCCAGTTACTGGACCACCTACAGGTGACTTCTGTTTTTGAACTCCTTTCTGCATCACGATGTGGTGTATAACATTCAAAGCGGTAAGGTTTTTTTTAAGAAACTGACCTTTCTAGGAAATGACCTTGCACTAACAAGGACGTTCGAGTCTGTTTAACTGTCAGACGTAATTCTTTCTCTTACCATTGAGCACAGTGTTCATTACTTGCATGTTCCTGCGATCCCACTGTAAAGGTACATAGGATGAACCTCGCAGCCTTAAAACAGTCCTCTTGTTCACTCATCCATGTGTCTGACGCGCTTTTCTGCCATGACATCCGCGACTTCTATGTCAAGTGTTTCACTTACGAATAAATTCAATAAATAACCTGGTAGTGGTGGCGGCGATGGTGGTCGTTTCACTTTCTGACTATTATATTAGCACTGATGGTACTCGTCCTTTACTGTGGGAGGATGCGTCCTGGGTGTCATTAGTAACCGTTTCTTCGCAGTTGGGAATATTGCATAGATCCCACTCCCCTGCTCAGATTCACAATATCCTTTAGCAGTTGGTAGTCACCTGTTTCGCGCCGTGGTCGAGCTCCTCGAACCCAATGGATATTCGAGCATTCAACAAGCTTGTGCTTATTCGTCTCAACTTTAACTTGGCATGATCGACAGGTATCATCTCTAATGCGGCATCTCTTCCTTCAGAAATGTTTGAGATCCGGTTAAATACCGGTTGCGGAGAATCTAGGCGCGTCTTGCGAGTACTGTTTTAGCACATCCTTTTGTTAACTCATGATACCCGCCATAGATCCTTATCAGGCGATATAGCACCTCGCAACGATTCAGCTGCTCTTCCACCTATCCACTTTGAGGATTCAATGTTACCGACTCGTGCTTTACGAGAACTGGGAACTTCTGTAGCTCCACAGTAAGTGGGCTTCCTCTTCGCCTGCTATACCAAAGTCGCCTAAACACCAGGTATCGGGCTGCGATAATTCCCGGTTTTCTTGTTTTTGTTAATTAATTGATGAATGCTGAGATATCGGAAGCGGTGGCTTCAACGCTGGACTGAGTTGTGCCCCCCCATCCTCGCGCTCATACGAAGGATCACAAAGTCCTTCTTTCAGGCCTATGGAATTGGTGTCGGTTTCGTGCTTTTATAGGCCTCCCCTTTATTTATCTACCTCCTAGTGCTCAAGCTCTTTCGAAATCAGTGCCTTACATATTTCTTTCTCTAAACTGTAGGTGGATCAACGCCTTTGTACAGTCGCAAAGCTTTCGTTTCAGTCACTACTTTGTCTGCTTCTTCAGCCAGTCGCTCCAAGAGCTCATAGGCTTCTCTACAATTACCGGACCGTCCTTTCAGTGAGTCCTCCTTCTTCCCCTGTCTTAGCCTTTCGGTTTTTTTCCTTCACATTTAACTTGAAGCCCTCTTCCCAAATGCCTCGTCGTTACCCGAAAGAAATCCAGTTCGGAAACCATCATGCCTAGATGCTGACTGGATTTTAACTTCTGTAGAGTTTAAAATCCTTGAACCCCTCCTCAACCGGCCTTATTTTGATTGTCTTCTATTGATTTTTACTGAAAACAGTGCAAAGGGTGCTCAGGTGATTTAACATTCTGCTTCTTTTTTCCGTTTCTTCAATGTACCCGGCAAAGTCGAGGCAGGAGATTTGCAAAGTGCGCGAATCCTGTTGCTGTCGAATTTCCACGGTCCTTAGTTGACGTCGTCATACACTGGAACTTTCCAATGCACATTTGGCTGAAGCAGTGTATGTTGCACATTCTTTTCTCTCCTTGAACTCGCAGTCCTTGCAGTTAATTGGTTGACGCGTTTTCGGCATGTTCATTTTCACGGAGGGCTAACTTACGGCGTCTAAACAGTGAGTGTACTCGCAACGCCACAATGATCACGGTTCAGTCGCGGTTTGGGAGAAAAAGGGAAAGGCACCAGTAGAAGTCGTTCATTCTGTACAGAAGCCCCGTGGTGGTCAGAACCTCGACGTGCGGACGGCTCTGGGTCTGCGCGCGCACCTGTCCGTTAAGGTTATGTTGGCATGAATGAATAGGCGTCATATGAGAGTCAATCATTGTCAGCTTCGTGAGTTGATTGGGCCATTGCGGAGCTTGTAGGCGCCTGTGATTGGCTCCCTGGAGGCCGCATATGCGCCTATGTTTCGGCCGCTCGGGGGTCGTTACTTGATGTTTACTAGTTCGGCCTATTTGCCAGGGGCGGGAGGTTTGAGGCGTTACAGCCCCAAAAATCCGACTTTTTAATTTTAGTAGTAGCAGTGGTAGTAGTAGTAGTAGTAGTAGTAGTAGTAGTAGTAGTAGTAGTAGTAGTAGTAGTAGTAGTAGCAGTAGTAGTGGTAGTGGTAGTAGTAGTAGTAGTAGCAGTAGTAGTGGTAGTGGTAGTAGTAGTAGTAGTAGCAGCAGCAGTAGTAGTAGTAGTAATAGTAGTAGCAGTAGTAGTAGTAGCAGCAGTAATAGTAGCAGTAGTAGTAGTAGTAGCAGCAGTAATAGTAGTAGTAGTAGTAGTAGTAGTAGTAGTAGTAGTAGTAGTAGCAGCAGTAGTAGTAGCAGCAGCAGCAGTAGTAGTAGTAGTAGTAGCAGCAGTAGTAGTAGTAGTAGTAGCCCATTGCAACTGATATAGGTGAAATATGGTCTCGACTATAGAGTAGGTCTTATTATGTCTCTGATTGTCTTTTCAGGCTAGCGTTCAGAGGTTGGCAGCCGATCATTGATGTTGACCAGTGCGTTATTTTATCTGGTACCCAAATTCCCCCCCCCCCCTCCAAGTACCTTCCTTTGGGATGACCTGTTCTAACAGATTACTATACCCAATGAAATTTGTGTTCATTATTTATTGCAAATGTGATTTCCTTTATGCAAGTGTCGAAATTCAGTAAACAAATTGCGCGTACTCGCGTAGCTACTGACTTTTCATGACTGCGGTCTACACAAGTGATTTTAAACGTGTTCAATCAAAATCCAGCAGGCGATCGAGCATGAAGTAACCTCCGATGGCGTTTACTGCCACCTAGAACTTCAACCCCTTCCAGGCAATATGTCATTAGTGAGAGCGTGTTCGGACTGTCTCGATCAATGTTTCGACAGCCTCTGTAATATTGGAAATCTTGACCTCAGTAGGCGCGGCTTTACTTTAAGACATTAAAATGACTTTTATGGGACTCCTGTTGCGCCTCTTTCTCAATTTTTTTGGGATCCTTTCATTTCCTTAAGTGTGGTAGAAGATAATTAAGTACTTCCTAGTTCCCACATCCTACATGTAGTGCAGTCAATTGGAATTTAGGTGACTCTTTCTCACCTCGTAAGCCATCCCTAGACTGGACTTATTGCAGTTATTAATGATGTCTTGCATTTTCCGATGTCACAAAACACAGCCAGTTTTTATCTATTTTTCTTCTAGTTGTTTACAAACCAACCCGAAAATTTGGACAGCTTCCAGCATTGCTACTAACCTACGCATTCAGTTCGCTGCTTCACGTGCGTTTATTCAAACATTTAGCTTCGTCGATCATTGACTTTTTTCAGTTGCCAACATGCATGACATTGTTAAGAGTTATGTATATTATTCTGCTCTCCTTAACTACACCCATTCTTGATGTGCCTATGTGCAGACCGCCTATAAATGAGAAACCGTTCATAAGGACCGAATCGCGACAGCCTTTATACTGCGATCCTGCCGTCTCTCGGAAAGTCGCCTTTTATTGGCCAGTCGAAGGTGGACTCACGCCCATTAGGTGCGCACTCCGCACACTCTGAGGTTAGGGGTGCGCCTCAACCACACCCTACTAAGTGTCCCCTGCTGATCAGCTGCCCGTAATATGGGGGCCGGTGGTAATAGGGGTATTTACAGGTGGGGCCGAGGAACGCACAGGCGACAAGGCCAAGTAATGTTATGCAAAAGAAAAGACATTGGGCATGCGTGGTTGTACTTTCATTGGTTGAGAAATAGTTGCCCTACGCCTAACCCCAACCCTAACATTAACCGCAGCCCTAAACCCTAACCCTGAAACATTCAACGCGAAAGTTAGAAGGAGACAAGAGGCTGAAGTCAAGAAGGACCACCGGCCTTGGGTCGAAAAGGTAGACACGGCAACAAAAGAAAACAAAGCCCTCAACAAAACACACACTGCAACGCACAACAACCCCATGCCAACGCAATTACACCAACTCAAAATAACCAAGTAGGTCAACAGCATTGAGTCCATCAGGCGCGGCTACATAAGCACATCTTACCGAAATATTTTCTGGCACGAAACGTGAAGACCTTTTTGGCTGCGGCCTTTACACAGTGTGGTCAGCGGACGCACTCAACGACTCAGCAGCACTATGAAGTCGCGGACGAGTCTCTGAGAGCAGGCTGAAGAAAACAGTTCATCACGTACTCGACTAGTGTTCATGAAGGCGCACACATCCCTGGCGGACGTTGGAAGAAGCCATTCTCTCGAACTCTGACCCGGGTTTTACGATAGTATCCCTGCCTCAGCAGGAGTAGTTTCACCGAATTGTCATCCCGAGGTCTGAGTTGTCACAGGGAGTCATGACTGACATGACCCACCCAATGTGGGTTTGTGGGTTGCTGCCAGTGGGATTTATATTCGCGAGTTCGGTGAAACCTATAGCGCTCATTTCCACAACCCTGCATTGCCCAGCAGCTGCGCAATTCACTTGTATCTCTTCATTTCGACCAAAAGAGGAAGAAATTCATGTCAGACCGTCGGATGCGGATGAAAAGACCCTTGCCCGCTATGTCCCTTTTTAAGCTTATTTTTGAGCCTTTAAAAGTCCACCCTAGAAGGTTCGCCGTTTTTGTGGTGTCCGGCCTTTAGGCTGCATTTTTTCTAAGTAGAGCTGGTTGGACGTGTTGTGTGTCGTTATACTGACCGTAAGCGCACGCGTCTCCTTATTCCTCTTAAAGTGACAAACTGCTGCGAAGCAACCGTAGAAAATTAACAGTACAGCAATCAACCAAACCGTGCTCTGCGACTTCATTAAATTTGATGACGCTCATCCATGTCAAGCCACGGCGACTAACGTTTTCTCTCATCTTCTAAGATGCACTTTTTCCGTACTTTTTTAACGAAGAGTGCACCTCTTGACACGTCTTCATCTGATGTTAAGCCAAATTGCGGGACAGTCATTTGTCAGGCCCTTTCCTCTTCCCCACCGTACAGGGTAGGATGCCGAACTTCAACTCGTCAGAGAAATTTAGAAAAAAATCACATTACGAACAAAGACAAGGGAGACTGAAATGGTCATTTCTGGCTCATTAGCCGTCGTCAGCCAGTCATACCCAACCCAGAAGTGAAGAGCAGCTGGTGCACGATCCTGCGACCTGTTGGTTAGAAGTCCAACACCTCTAACCACTGAGCCAGAGGTTCGTTGTCCTGTCGGTTTCGATCGGGAATATACAATGGTAGAAGGGCGCTCACTAATCGTTCTTACGGAACTCACTCGTTCTGTTGTGCCTTACGGGCTCTCTCTCTCGAGCTCAACCAGTAGCCGCACAGCGGCGCATGATATAGGCAGAATGGTATTACCGACAAAGACTAGAGAGACTGAGCCCGTGGCTGAGCGTTTAGAGGCGTTGGACTTCTAACCAACAGGTCGCGGCATCGAGCCCCAGGTGGTCCACGCTTCGGGGTTGGGTATGACTTACTGACGACGGCTAATAAGCCAAAAATGGCCACTCCAGTCTCCCTTGTCTTTGTCGGTAATGCTCTTCTGCCTATCTCATGCGCCGCTGTGCGGCTGCTGATCGGGCTAGAGAGCGAGAGCCCTAAGGCGTAACGGGACGAGTGAGTCCCGTAACAAAATCAGAACGAGTCATTCTAGGATTTACTACCGCGGGTTCCTCCAGGAGGCCGTCTACAGAAAATGGAAGTCCCGCACTGCGTGGGACGCCGTCGGGTCTCACGCCTGACCTGACCTCCAAGAACCACTTTTTAATCGTTCTTGTTCCCGATGCATTCTCGCCAAAAGTTTTCGAATTCTGCTTGGAGTCCCCGTTGCCTAGACTTGAACTGATAAAGTGCCAGAAGTCAAAAAGTACCCTCTAACAAATCCAATTACCGGGCAAAAAGTCAGCGTCGCAGTCAACATCCTCTGTTTGTAATTTCGAAAACAAAGAGAAGAACGGAGTCACGGAAAACGTCCAACAAATTTTGTACCGGGGAAGGTTCTGGCATCAAAGCAAGTTACCGCAAAAACAGTGCGAACTGTCAGGATGGCCATATAAGCGACTCTAGATTCCCACCGTGCTTCTTTCCCAGCTAGCCGCTTCAAAACTTTGAGATTTACTTTCCACACCTTCTTATTTTAGGGCCTCAACTTTCAACTCGCAGCCGTCCTCTTCTCCATCGGTATCTATGCCTACATTGAATTTGGTCAGTTGTAGCCGTAGCCTGTTATTCCGGTGTTGCTGACTTTGAGTCTAGCCTGGCAGTTTGCATGCGGCCATAAGCGTCACGTTCTGCACAATGTATCATTGCTTTTTTTCAACTCACTCTGATATTTAATCTAAACCAGGCGTTGATCCAACAGGATCTTACTGTCTCATAGTAAATATTTTCTGCTGAGATTCGAATTAATCTGGAGATTGACGTTGTATGGAGTGAACTCCACCGTGGCTTTTTGCTTTATGCTTCTAAACACCGCCGTAAAGTGGCGCGGTCACACAAAGTACAACCCTGGAGTTGCGGGTATCCGACCTGAAGCTGAAGCACTTACAGTGGATCCCCTTCCCTACCGTTGAACCAGGGGAGGTTGCATGTTGGGCAACTTCGTTCGTTCTAACTATTTCAGGCGTAGTAGACCACCCTTCAGAACTCCTGGAGGAGAATTTTATTCGCACTTGTACCCACCATCAGAGGAGGCAGCAACGGACAAGGTCATTGCGCGTACAAGAGTGCGTTCCTGTGTAACCACACACCTGTCAACATCAGCCTATCTCACACTCATTGCAATGGTCGCATTGGGTGCGATGATTATTTGGTCGTCCGCATACGGTTCGTTAATTTCCACAACCTCATCACTATTGTTCGTTATTGGCTGGTTGTTATTACTTGGTGATCTGGCTCACCAATACCGTCACTGGTGGCAGTGCGTAACTAATCGTTCTACCTTGGCATAGTTTGTGAATTAAACATTGGGGGGGTTCATTGCGCCCGTTGATGGACTGCAGACCGGAGAACCATGAATTCAAGTGGCTTGCAGCCCACGTGGTTGTCAACTCTCACGAGATTTTTAGCGCCGCCGAACCGTGACTCGAGAGTTAGCTTTAGTTAAGAAGAGGAAGAAGAAGAAGAAGAAGAAGAAGAAGAAGAAGAAGAAGAAGAAAGAAGAAGAAGAAGAAGAAGAAGAGAAGAAGAAGAAGAAGAAGAAGAAGAAGAAGAAGAAGAAGAAGAAGAAGAAGAAGAAGAAGAAGAAGAAGAAGAAGAAGAAGAAGAAGAAGAAGAAGAAGAAGAAGAAGAAAGAAGAAAGAAGAAAGAAGAAGAGGAAAAAGAGGGGTCTAGCACCAGAGCACTTTGTTTATTGTCCTGAGCTTTCGAACTCGTGCACGAATCCATCGCCAGAGATACTAGCAGCAACAGAACAAGTGACAGTTATAGGGCGTGTAGGCCAATCACCGGCCAACGGCGCAAGACTGGAGTTGACTGCGCAGGGATCTGTGCGCCGGCGCCAGATCGATAAATCGATCGACTGATTGACTGAGTTGGCTTCATTCCACCACACTGTTTCGCCGTGTTTGGTCGTCTGTCTCCACAGTGAGCCTCCCGTTCCTCTGACACAATAAAGGACCCCAGACGTTTCCTTGACTTGTCCTGCCGTCGGAAGTGGGTGCCATGCTGCATCCTCGGGTTCCAAATCTTTTCACTAGTTCTTCGCTGGTCACAAGTGACCCCGAATCAGTTTTCTATTGTAAGACATCCCTTTTATCGTTATTGATTTCCCGTCAGGGGACTGATTACAGCCATTCGATACTGATCTTGCCCTTGCTCAGTATTTAATGAGACAGACTGGACAAACGATTTGCATATCCCACTTACCGTTCTGCACTGTCGTCTACGTAGTCAGCAATGCACGATCTTGCGGTAGTTTTTTGCTGTTTCATTGGTGCGTTTCTCCGTTGCGCGCGCACGGTGGCCGCCAACGACAAGCGCTCCGACTTCTTCATTGGTTCCTACGACAGTTTGACCGTTCTTCCTGATGATGTCCATGGTGTGCTCCACATCAGGGTGAGAGCAGGGACGGTGGCTTGTGCGCGACTTCGCTCATAGTGATAGTGGACTTGTGCAGCATCTACTGCACTCCCACATCTTTCCCCACCCGGGCCCGGTGTCAAGACAGGGTCAAGAAGACCGGTGGCAGAAGATGGCGCAGGTAACAGGCACAGCGAAAACCTGCACCCAAGTGTGCCACCACACCGGCTCGGATTCCATGCGAGTGGGTGAGCCATGGAGGTCACATTAACAAGCAGCTGTTGCAGCCTAACTCTCAGTCCACCAGTCCGCTACAGCACACAAACACACGCTAGGTTATCCTCGAGGTCCGAGTTATCTCGTCAATTGGCAACCTTCTAAGCCGCGGTTTTTAGCTCACCGTGATAGATTTAAGCACATCAGGTTGTTCATAGTGGGGAATATGTGCTGGGACCATCGACCTCACTTTCTCCTCCCACTCCCGGACACCAGTCCGCCGTTCCACCCGGTCAGCCATCTGATGTGGAGATGGGACGCAAGTGGCTGGCGCGACGTGAGGCCCCCGCCTACGTTTGCTTACACACCCCTCTTGTTTGGGCATTTGTTTTCGGATGCGTGGACTCTGCACAGCATGGCTAACGCGTCTCGTGCCCCAATTTGGTTCCTCTTTTTGCCCAGCACATCTGGGGCGTGGTCCGTTGGGGGAAGGATTTAGGAACTACCACGTGTGTAACACGCATTAAATGCATCCAACCCCAACAGCCACCGCTCCCATTTCCAGTCGCTGTGATGTTTTTCTAGCATTGAAACGCGGCGGGTCTAAAAAGAGCACAGGGTAGATGCAGTGCCCGTAACCGTTGCCTCCCTGACAACAGGACTCCACATCAGCGTAGGTGGTTAATCGGCTGTGTCGCGCTCATAGCTTATATATATACATATATATCGTGTACTTTAGGGTAATAGGCAATTCTCTTGATGACCCTATTGAAAACGGTATGCACAACACAAATGTTAAATGCACTTTACTAAAAGTTTGTCAGTAACATATTTGTTTACGGTAAACGTTTTTACAGTGCGGGACTACGAAGGGTGCGGCAGGCAGTCATTCCAATATACATATGAAATTTTAAGTGCAATTATATACAATCAGCATAAAATGCAGTCATTTGCGTAGTTTGAGAGGGGAAATTTCATTAAACGTCAGGGGTGTGCACCGCAGAGCCGACTTTGACCTTCGGTCGCTCTGTAACATGAATACCTCTGTTCTTCCCCAATCATGAACTGATGATATTGCTGAGCAGCTTTTGAAAGTTTTTTTAACATTCACTACTTCTTTGCTTAAATTTTCTGAGAAAGACTTTCCACCACTGTTAAGCACAGGGCAGTTTCTCCGTAGAGATGAATGTTTGCACAATTTCAGCAGCGACTGTCCTACGTTTTGACACATAAAGTTACCTAAAGCTTCACTTCAACTTTCAGTCTTCCGACAACGTTTGTCCGAATTACTCAGCACATGCACCGGAGCCCGGGCCTGTCCCTCGAAATGCGGCCATACACGAAAGGTAGGCTAACGAGTGGTCATTTTCCGCCTTAGGATTCTGTACTCAGTAGCGAAACTTGTCAAGGTGATTACAACCCTTCTTGCCCCTATCTCTGTCATCATTTTCCAGCGTCAGGATGACGAGACAGCAGTCCGATCCACCTTTATCTCGATTTCCATGCTCGCTTTTTAGTTAAATTCCTGAGGGGGACCCCTCTATAGCCTCCCTAAAAGTGCTTCAAGTCGAATGAGCCATGATTTTTGACGGCAATAACCTCAAGACTGTAGACACCGTGAAGTCTTACTTCGCCCCCAGCTTTTATTTGGCGAAAATAAAACTGCGCTTAAAATCGACAAGGTGACTGGATTTTGCCAGGTCGTGCGAAATTATTATTTAATTTGTGCCGATCTTACAGAGTGTCTAAGTGACTTAATTATGAAGAGAGGCAGATTTCCAGGTTCTGCGCTTCTTACTGCCAACCCAGACTCGTCTTCGATATCTTTAGAAGCACATTATGTCTTATTCTTTTCGTTCATGTTGCCTCCTTCCTTTCGATCCCGAAAATTCAGCAGAAATTTACCCTGAATAACTATTTCATAAACCATGATCGACCGCCCAAGAATGACATAATATAACCGTTAGTTAAAGTACTTTCATGAAAAATGCTCTCACAAACTTACGATACGTGACATTGACGTTCCATATGCCCTTGCGGCAGGTAACGGTGAAAACGCGTTTTGTTAAAATCTCCTGGCTACTAATTTTTTTACATACCAACTTTGTATGATTTTCAACGAACTGTTTTTCAAACTTCTTTAAGAATATTTAATCTCTATGACGTACATGGAAAGCTATCGAAAGAGTTCATCTTGAGTACTTACGGCTGCCGACATGATGAATCCATGATCGTAGTAACGCTTTTCGATGAAAAGGAACCATTTCATTGTTCATACATTGAAGTAGGGCTATGCTAAGTGCGCGGCGCATTAAAAATCGCGCAAATACCACTTCATACCTCATTACCCCCTGCTAGTGTCATTAATCACATATGGTTTGAGAAATACCACCGATAAAGATCGATTTTTCATGGTTTATTTGCTGCCGTCCGTTAAGCCTACTTTAACTTCAGCCAGGAGACATCTGAGAGCTTAACCCGAGTCTAGTTGTTCAATGCGCATTACGCCCCACCCGCTGAGGCGCGAACTCACGCTCTCTAGTCTGTGTCTGGAAATTTTAAAATTCACGTGAGAGTGATGTCCACCAATGTGAACACTGTCACGCGGTCTGTACACCCCATCCAAACGCCGAATTAAGGACTAGAAATCCAAATTCGGTAAGATACACCTATGAATTGTTCCCGTTTCGCCTTTTTTATGTTTGTCATTCGAGTATTTGGGATTTATAACTTCCTTCGGGGAGCTTTATGACTGGGTTTAGGTTAGACTGGTGGACGAGGTGTGGGTTAGATTTGCTGCTACGTCCAGAGCAAACTTTAGGCTTGGCCCATATCCTAACCTTGGTCGCCTAAGCCTTTCCCTAACACCAATCCTATCGGTAAATCTAGCCCTAAGATCGATCCTATCCGTAATTCTATTTGAATTTTGAGCTTGGTTCATATACTCGATTTTTTTCGTACTTTCTACCAGCCTTATTGGACTGCAGTGTTCCAGGACTGTTGTTTTGCATATTTTAGAACGGTCTCCTTGTTCGTCTTATCAACCTTGCCTTCTCCGTGCTGGCGATCTTCCACTTGGCGTATCTTGCGGTTATGTTTGACACTAGTGAAGAACAGGCCAGGGTCAGTTTTGGGAAACATTTTTTCCGATTTCCATCGTTCGTCAATGTCATCAGTAGCCGGTAGCGACAAGATAAAAGCCCCTTAGAAGAACAAAGTTCGGCTTCTCCACTTACTGTTATCCTCAGTGTTCCTCTAATCGTATAATATGCACATTACAACCGCATGTTCGCAGTTCAGTTAGTTCATTTTTGGGTAAGATGTGGTTTGGCAGCCCCACCTGATGGACACAATACTTTTGGGGTTAAGGGTTAAGGTTAGTGGTTAGGGTTAGGGGTTAGCGCAACTACTTCTCAACCATCCAAAGTACAACCGTACATTCCCAATAGCTTTTCTTTTGCATACAACTACTCAACCTCGTCGCCTGTGCGTTCCCCGGTCCCGCCTGTAAGAACCCCTATTACCACCGGTCCCGTTTTGTTTGGGGTTTGTTTACTTCAGCTGGGACTGCATAACCACATCCGACCCATTTTTGTTATAGAGCTATCTGACCTTCCACGACAGTCTTTTCTTTATAACCAATTTCAATGGGTTTTAAGCCCTATTTGCTTTTACAACTTTTCTTTGACTAACACTTCTATGCAGGTCATTATATGGCAAAGAATAATCACGTTACTTTTGACCTGAAGTCCTTTCCTAGTATACACACGGAGGCGAACCCTTAACCCTCCGCCGTCCACGTCAGTTATTTTCGTAACAGTTCGTGAAAATGCTGTATTCATGCTTTATGCCAAATAAGGAAGGCAGTTCTCAGTTCTTTTAAAATGTAACCATAAGTAAGCGCCAACCAGTTAAACTCACTGATTTTAGAATTGGCAGTTGCTTTTGTTGAAATCGTAATCCTAGAGTTTGACTTAGTCTTTGACAGAAAGCATGGTTGAAAGTTGGCACAGAATTCAACAAAAGCCAAAAAGTAGGGGCACTTATCCATCAGACAACTAGTTGATCGAAGAATAAGTGTGTAGTTATAACCGATTTGAAGCTGTTCTGTCTAAAATCACCTCACACACGTAGCAACTCCTGCTAGTTGTCGACGCATTTGCTGGACAGCAATCGTAAGGTCATTTGTGCATCTACATGTGTTAGGCATTTCGAATCAACTTTAGGCTCTTCGAGCATGTTGTCTTTCAGTGTTTGTACAACTGAAGTGTACCTTTCACCTTGTTGATAACGATGTCAGCGTCTACTGCCTATTTTTTTAGTAGATATTAATTTATAGCTGGTTGTGGTTGGACTTTATCTCGCCGAACTTTCCCCTGAACTCACCTGCCTCGTTTTTTTCCCTTTCAGGGTTACAATATGTTCCATGTGTTCTCAAAATGGTCACAGTTGCATTTCATGAGCCATATTGTGGCAATTCTCACTTATCTCGCCTACATCTTCATCAGGTAATGAGCAGTCAGCAGCAGCATCTTCCCTTGTGACGTCAAGGTCTCATTTTATTCATCAGTTGTCTTCTAATAAAAATTCCCTTCCTGCATTTCACTCCCCTGTTCAGACAACGCGCATTGATCGGATTTATTTTTTGAGTATCATTCGCAGCATATTCTTTGTTTGCGGGCTAAATGCTTCCAAACCGGGTCATTAGTAAAATTGGACAGATTTTTTTACTTTTTTTCTGGAAATTACTACTCATACGTGCCATAAAAATAATGGATAACAGCAACTCAACCATGGCCTGTTTAAGGCGACCATGGTTGCCCTGTTGGTTTGAGGACCGTTATCAGCCTTATCGTGGAAATGCGATTCCCAGTTAATATCATGCAATGATGTGAGCAAAAGTCATCATTTAGTATTTCACAGACGGTTACAGTTAGATATCGTCAGAACTTCAGCTCACCACCTTGCGCTGTTTTCTAAATCCCCGGGTTTCACCGATTTAGTTCAATTGTGTTCTGCAGATGTGTCTGCTCGTCAGTCTTGTTTCCGGCCCTATCCGGTGAGTGGTTTATTTTGGGTAAATCGTCAGTCAAAACTACGAAATGAGCGGACATGCAGTTGTCAAATTAATAATCGCTGGCCATGAGCGCGTATAGCTGAGAACCGGCACACCATATGTTCTATAAAACGCGATAACGGCAGTGGTAATGTGACTGTGAATCACTATAAATAGAATATATTTCTGTTGATTTCAAGGGGGCAAAACGCTCGAGGGAGCACTCACGAACAGGCTGTTATGGCTCCGCCCCCAGAACAATGCTCCAAATACACCTTATTGCCTTCGATAACCAAAACATTTAGCAAAGGAATGTTGCCGATAGGAACAATGCGGTCTGGAGCGATCATACCGTTTTATTCTTGGCAGAAATGTGTCCATGCCTCACAATCAAAAACCTGATATTGAAACCTGGGTGGGCTGGTCTTGGAGCACTTGAGTCAAAAGCCCTATTAGTCGGCCATGCCCCGTAGGGAAGTCCCAGATCGAAATTTGTCCAAGCTGGATTTAAAAGACAATTTTTGTTTTAGCTGACAGCTCATGAACCTTGTGACACCTCTACAAAACGGTCGAAAAATCAATGTGGTGTCCAGTTCGCGTATCTTAAGCAGGAGAGATTAAGTGTGCGTAGAGCAAGTAGCTGAGCATTGTCTTGTGTGCGAAAGAGGCTGCAGGAAAAGCTTGGGCCTCACGTAGGGTGATGCCATCAACGGTGATCAGAAGGATAATCTGTGGTTTTGGGTCGGAAACAGCCTTGTCGTCGGCGGAACCGGCTTTGCGTTGACGGATGCCGAGTGTTTGCGATGGTCTCTGGCAGGGCATCAGTCACCTCCCTCCGCATTTTACCGGGGTGTCGTGTGTCTGAAGTTAACTGAGAGGCACAGTGCAGTTGATGGATCTCGTGTTGTTTGAGCTTGTCAAAGTAGTGCCGTAAAGCGAAAGTCAGGAACTTGCTATTCGTGAGAATGAAGGACTCCCAGCCTTCCATTTGATGATAGAAACTCTTCAGAGCGAGGTAGACGGCCATTAGTATAACCCCAAATGTGCTGCAGTTCGTCTTTATATTTTCCACCATCTTACAAGGGAAAGTCGGAGGTCTATGCAAACTCACGCGAAGACTACGCTCCCGCAATAGCAGCAAAATTCAAAACATCGACATAATGGGGCGCGTCGTCGTCAAGTTAGGTCTGAATGGGGCCGTCATCAAAGGCAGCTTACACCTTCTCACAGGCAGTGATGTCATTTTAAGGGAGCTTAAGCAGACCCAGGAGATGTTTTATGAGACAGGCTGACGTTGTCATGCTTCGGGAGGAATGCCCCTATCGAGTAATCGTTGAATTCGGCGTGTGTTTTGGATGGCGCCTAGTTTCTAGTAGCCACCATTTTGAGAGGAAGGGAGTGTATTACGATTGAGTCGACCATGTGACCCAGCAACTTGAAAGGGACCGGACCGAGGCGCCGTGAAGGATTCACGAGGACGGATAGCGCCTCGCCATCGTTGATGCACCTGCGATATCGTGTTTTACATACCATGAATACGTCTTGAGTGAGTAAAGAATCCTGAAAAATATGGTTCTAACAAATAAGGCACTAGCAGAGTCCTGGGATGAGGGACGGGCCATCAGTCGGTTTGGTGTCGCCATTCGGTTATCGTTAACTGTCCCATGGTCACCATTAGCTGCCTCGTGAAGTATGCGAATAACACTTCGAAGCCTTTTAACTGCGCTGTGATCACTGTCGGAGCATGAGTTCCATCCCGTCCTTGACTGCATTCCGATGTACAGGGACGAGACCACAAAGCCAGAAGGAGAGTGGGGAAATGCTGGTCCAGAAATACTTGAACGCAATTTTTGGTAGAGGTTCGACGATCAAACAAGGGATTAGTTCGGTCTGGGTGTTTGGCGAGGAGCTGTAGATACTGATACACTGGTTCAGTATCCACGACGGTAATTTGTCTTGGCACCTCGTAGGAAGGAATGTTTCTGACGGAAAGTATAATAATCTTATTGTGACAGCGCGTTAGTCGGCTGCCTACCTGGGGATCGGAGGGGACAAGAGTTTCTGTGCCAAAGATGTCACCGAGGGCTTCGCGGACTACAAAGATTCGTAGCAAGAGATGACTCATGGAGCTAGAGTGAGGACCATGTATGTATGGTGAGGGGGATAACTGACGACCCCCAGGAAAAAGCCGGACTTTCCGTAGCGGCAGTCTGCTGGTCTGGAATAAATTACGCGAATCTTGGTACCTGTGCCAATGGGAGCTCATACAATGTGTGACCGGTGGTTATTGTGGCCAGATAGTTCGATTGCTTTGACTGTCTGGTCGGCCGTTCCTTATTATTCCCCGGCTTCCAGGTAAGTTTACATGTAGATGGCGACCATGTTTGTCCTTAAAGTAAATGTTACATTAATAAAGTATGGCTGTTCTGGTGCAATGTGTGTGAAACTTGACCCGATAGGTAAGTGGACTGAAATACTACCTGCGTGAGGAGTTGGCGTCCTGTGGAGAATCGATACCGTGGGATAGCTTCATTTTCTGTAAATTCGGCGGCGTAAAATGAGAAAACCTCCTGATGAAAGTGCGGGCAACAGAGTGCCGAGTTAGATCATATTCTGTACCGGTCAGCGGCAGCCGAGAGTTGGCATGCCAAGATCGAGTCGGTAATGCTGTTCAGGTGGCATGAGTTATCGGATTTACGCACCATAACAAGTGCCAACACTTCGGGGTTGCGGTGGCAAAGTCAGTTGCCGACGTACGTCGCGCACATTGAGGCCCTGCCGCCCCTCCCATCTTTGTTGTGGGTTAAAATTCTGGTCATTTGCTGTGTGCACCCGGGGACATGGAGTGGGGCTCGAAGGTGCAGGCTCACCTGTGCCATCCACCAGCTCCCATCCCCGCCTCCGGTCTTCTTGACTATGTCTTGACACCGCATCCGGATGGGAGAGGAGGGGAAAGTGCGGTAAATGTCGCGCAAGTCTGCATTCACTGTAAATTAAATCACACGAAAGTTACCGCGTCTGCTTCACCTTGTTATGGAGCACATGGTGGACATCGTCGGCAACGACGGTTGAACTATGAGTGAAAGATTATGAACATTTATTACCTGCACTCCCCGTTGGTTGGGAGAAGAGTGAAAGTTCAATGACTCAATTTCTGTTTCATGAGTTGCATGATAATAGAAAGTTTCCAAATTTAAATTTGAGGTGGCTGGACTTAAATGAATCATTTATTATGACAGAGAACACACAAACTTTTTAACGGCACATGCGGCCGGAAGCACGCCATCGACAATGTCTTGAGGCCGACTTGACTTTCGGGTGCTGGCCCTTAGCACATGAATTTTACGGGGGTTAACAGTTGGTCATTTTAAAAGCTCAGGAAGGATTTCGGGGCACAGCTACCCTTGGGGCGCTCGGATACTGTTTGTCGAATACTGCGGTCAAGTCGCACTCGTAAAGGTTCTACTTTATTCATATCTAAGCTTTCAAGACACGTTCTGTAAAATTCTAAACTAATAGCATACTTATTGGGAGTCACAAAGTGGCTTTCAGTAGGCCTTCAGTATGTTGTCAAACGTGATATGCAGAGTGTTTGAAACCCCTATTCCTAACATGCTGGTGTGTTATTGCTAACTATACACAGATTTTGAATAAATGAGCACTTTATAAATTCCATATTCGTCATTTATATAGTTTTGTTCTATAAATAGATTTCACTTTGATTTGATTAACATTCTGTCTTTATTTCCTGCTAAGTTTGCAGGACAACAAAAGGGACATGTGTGATCATCCATATGTCTCATGAAGAGATACATAGAGCTTGCGTACACATCTGTTTCGGGAAGATTATTCCACCATTGTACCACCAGTTATGTGAAAAATTTGGACCTATTTAGGCATTTTCAGGTGCCATTTTATCGAGTGTCCAGGAGTTTGAGGCCAAAGATAATGGCGAAACATATTGTCAAAACGCAGCCCTTGTTCAGAAAATACCGTCCTCTCATAGTCTTAGGTACAAAAAGAATGGGTTGAAGAAATTCAGTCTTTCTGGATGAGATCAATGTCTAGAAACTCTAAAAGGCTTCATCGCTCGATTCCTTGCTTTTTAAAAATTTTATTTGTCTGTAATATCCGGGTTACCTAACAGTTTAGCTTCGTATATATCAGCGTCATTGGAAGGCGGTAGACGTTGGTCGTCGACGGCGATAACCTTAGACATTTCCACCACTGAGTCTTCGTTCATGAGGTTCGAATACATACAAACACGAAGATTCGAACATGCCATATTATAATCAACTCGTTAGCGACTGGACTTCAATTAAAAAGATGTCTGAAGAGGGGATCGAATCATAAGTTACTCAGCTGGGGGAAACCGAGAAGAAAGTCGGAAATTGAAGAGAAGTCTTCCTCCAGTCTATTCCACCTCTGATCGAGGGGTCGGGCCGCACAATTCCTCTTTTAAGGTATCCGACTTTTGCTCCGTCACTTTCGCTTCAAAGGGACTGAAATGCCGCTAGGGAGACTTTAACAAAAAATTAAAACAAACCTAATTAAAAGCGCTTGTACTTTACATGTCCTTTTCGAGTCATGATTTTCATGACTGCGTGGTATAGACTAAATGAAAGCTTAAGGTCATGCCGTCAAAGTCCCTGACGGGATTAAATTCCGCTGTGATTAAACTGTCTCAGCACTTGATTAAATTTTCAAAACACATTTTTTACGGCAATGGTTTAATAAAGGGTTGTAGATGTAGGGCTGAGGGAACGACATAAATTTTAGTGAACAAACTGTGCAAAAACTAGAAATTTATTGCCCCTGTAGCGGCCGAAGGTGTTAAGGCTGACATACACACGGATAGGTGAACACCTGCGGTCGTTCCCCAGTCCGCCGAAATACTGAACAGAGGTGTAAGCGGCATTCCGAATGTTCATATTCAGAGGGTGTAAGAACATGTAGATGAAATGTATTAAAACTATATTACATGAACAACCGCGTAATTGTGGAATAAAAGTACAGTATAATATAAGAGGAGGAAGTGCTACATGGGCAGTAGTCACATCTGGAGGGGGCGTCCCGTCTTGTCTGTTAGATCGCCGGTGGGAAGTGCAGCGCTGGAGTCGACTGCAAGGGAGGGGCGTGGGAATTATAACAGTGGGTGAGAGAAAACGGACGATGTGAGTCTACTATAGCTGTGGAAACGAGGATCAGCAAATCTGAATGTAAAGGGCACCGGCATATTCACTGACACTCCATCACATCGTCCCCATCCTGGGTCTGAGCCTAAGCGAGATACTTCATTTCACTTAAACCACACGTTCAGCCTCGTGGTCCGTTATACCACGCTGACATTTTTCAGTACATCAACCACATGCGCAAATGAACTTGAATCAGAAAAGGAGTCTATGGGAGGACAGTTTTAGTCTATCGTCACTAACCAGATGGACCAGTCACCGAAGGGTTCCAACCTGTTCACTAATGAGACCCGGAAAACAAAGGCGGAATTATTTTATATCCGGTGTCCTAACGGAAGACGAACATGGGAGTATGGCAGCAGTGTTGTTGTTTGAGTGAAATTTTGGCACACATCCCAATGGACGCTTTGAGAGGGGACAAAATTCAATAGGCTTAGGTAGAAGATAAGAATGCGTATATCAGTTGCACCTGGACAGACAGTTATAAAGTTGTAGGGACCTCCTCCTCCCATTTTGCCTTAGGGCCCAATGTAGAGTCCTCATAGACAGTCGCATTACGACCAGGTATATATACTGTAACGGATCCGGCAGAGACACGGGAGGTCAGAATTGCCGTTTTGGTATTTTAGCCGTCGTCAGCCAGCCATATCCAGAACCAGGTTTTGTAGGAACCATGGACTCGAACACGGGATTTTTGGTCGTCGAATTCAGCTGTCTACACCCGAACCACGGGTCCGTTGTCCTGTCGGCTGCGACCGGGTATATTAATAACCGTAGGAGGGACGTTGGCAAATCGTGTTACGTGACCCGCTTGTCCCGTTTTCCTTGAAGCTCATTGTACAGCCGTACTTTCGGACAGCGCGCAGCTGAGAATGCATGACCATACTGAAGTTCATAATAAGGCAAGATGAAGGAAGCATGAGCACAAAGGCCCTCCCAAGTTCCTATCCTCGTGGCCTCGCCTGGCTTTCACGCGATTGTTTTTCAGAATTTACGAGTAGGCCAAACCAAGTGTTTTCTTGCTCAGCTAAGTGAGTTTTAATTGGGGGCGTAACGAAGAGCACATGAACTCAGCGACCCACATACTCCAGTAGATAAATCGACAGGAATTACATAACTTATGGGTCATCAGGTGACCGATTGTAATTTGCATGTTTCCAGGGCCCTAAGACATTCGATTTCGAGTACGGCAAAACATGTTTAATTACGTAAAGATACGATGAACCGGCAACTCGGAGATTCCCAAATCAGTGGTAATAATAATAATAATAGTTTAATTTTGGACGCCCAGAGTACACTATCAGAACAAAATTAACACTCAGTTAATTGGTAAATTACGGACAATGTAGGGGGTAATGTACTGTGTGAGCGGCCAGCTGTACAGTAGCATTTAGAAATTAGGGTACGTAAAGTAGACAACGTTTACCACGTCCACCGGTGGTTCGTGCCTTCGCACGCAATACTCCTGATGATAATAATATCGACAAATCCTAAGTCGGAAGTTTTTAGGAAGAGTGGTGAACTATGAAGGAGGCAATGGTAAAAGTGAGCGGCCAGTTCAGGGAACCTTTACTTTCAGAAAATCATTATAGAGAGAAAACTGCTTCACAAGGGGATATAGAGAAGCAGGGTAGGTTTAGGATGAGACTATAAATGCAAATCGGCAAATGTGAACGGAGTATCATTGTAGTGCCCCCAGGGTGCTAGATATTTGCAGACCCAGAGCGTGACCGAGAATGAAGTTGAGTCTTCGATATTCCAGTGGCCAGAACGAAATGCCGATGGGTGTTAGCGGCGAACGAAATATAGGCGGTTTAGAGCGTGCGCGTCTTTGTAACTCCGAAAGCAGCCAGGGTTCATGATGGCAGCGACAACGTAGTAATGGCAAACTCAAAACAAACTAAACCAAGCATTCCCGAATGTTACAAACTTAGATTTCGATACGTCTCAAGAGGTTACGGCAATAACAGGAACGTGGCTGTCACAGAATCTCAGTGATTGTGAATTAGCACTATCCGGACACGAATTGTTTGGGAGAGACATGAAGGACCACCAGGGCTGAACAGTCGTCATGTACGTGAGGAGCAACTTAACAGTGTGTGAGGGGACCAAAAAGATTTCCGACGACACAGAGGCCATTTGGCCGACTATAAAGACACAGAGGTCACGGTCCCTCAAAGCCATGACTATCTACCTGCCACCGCGGACGGATGTTGACGCAGATACTTGTCTGCCGGAGACCATAAAATAGATCGGCAGTCGACCCGACGTTGTCCTCGTGGGAATCTTTACTGCACTCTGCATTCAGTGGGGCGACATGCATGCGAAGGACTCAAAATGAACCTTCGATCATTGCCTTCTTAAAGACAGCGTTTGAAGCTCTTCTCACACAGCATGTTATGGTTCCAGTTAGATTCCGCGGAGGTTAACAGACTAGTTGTTCTGGCTGTATCTTTACCAAAGATCCTGACAGTATAGACGAGGAATACTACCTATCTCTCCTCGGTTGAAGTGATTATGCAGTACTTTAATAGGAGTACGGACTATATTTTTTACCATATGCAATCAGAGAAACGGGGTCGTATATATGCGGGGAGACTTTTGCGAAATGAGAAGTGAGGCATCACAATTAGACTGGGATGCACTCTTTTCCGGGAACGTCATTGAAGACTGGAATCTAGTTAAGGGTTAGTCGTTGCATTTAATGAAAGTCCAATGCCCTTAATCAAAGACTAGGACATCCAACCGACTTCAGTGGCTAACACGAGATCTCAAAAGGCAGATCAACAGGAGAGGAAGGCTGTGGAAGGAGTTCTGCGGAAGCAACGAAAAGGCCGCCTTTTCAAAATATAAAGTCCAAAGCAACTTGAGGTGGGTTTGATTTTTAAAAGACGGCGAGAATTTGAGGGCAATTTGTTCCGCCGAGCCGTTGAAAACCCACAATTTCTCAAAACCTACTTGCAAAAGAGCATAAGTAACAGCAATCCGATTCCTGTCATTAAGAATGATGACAGTTTCAGGATAGCTGACAGCACAAACATGGCTGAATATTCTTCCTAGTTTTTATAGTCTGTCTTCGCAAGAGCAACAGTTTATATTCCACCTAACCATAAAAGCATTGGGAGTCAGTCATTGCAAATATTATGTTTCGAAAAGAAGCGAGTTTCGAAGAACTGAAAACTTGAGGGAATGCAAAACTCCCGGTCCAGATGAGGTTCCGGGAAAGCTGCTCTTTGAACTTGCCAGACAGCTGACTCAACTGCTGTCCTTTCTATTCGAGCAGTCGTTTGATATTGAAATTCTTTACACGGATTGGACAACAGTCCACATTACACCGCTTCACAAAGGCGGTAGTCGTGCTCTTGCCACGCACCAAAGACCCGTTAGCTTGTCATCAATCTGCTGCAAAGCCATGGAAAAGACGTACAAAAAGAGTTGATGACTTATGTAAAAACCGAAAACCTCTTCTCCAATATACAACACGGCTTTCGTAGGGAAAGATCGTGTGTAACGAACTTACTTTATATGATGCAAAGCTGGACAAAAAGCATTAGATGGAAAACACTCTGTGCCCGTCGCCAACATTGACTGGCGGAGGGCCTTTGACAGTGTTCCGCAACAATGTCTCCTTTACAAGTCGAGAGTGATGAGCAAATTCCTAAACGGATCGAGAATTTTCCCGTCGGTCGTTCGCAAGGGCGCAAAGACAGTGAGAGCGCACAGTCAAAAAGCGTGGGGTCCCGCAAATCTCAATGCTCGGACCGACCCTCTTTCTCTTGTTCATTAGTGATTATGCACAGGAGTTGGACCGTGATTTTTTCATGTTTGCAGATCATATGAAAATCTGGAAAATTATGCACAATATGCTGCCGACGAGACCAATTCCTAAGAAAATCTTCGTCGATTGGACGAGTGGGCCCTCAGATGGCCTCTGTCCTCCAATTTGAACAAATGTACCGTGTATCGTCTTGGAAATCGAAATCCGGTCTCTAATATGCGGCCTTACTATATGAACGGAACGCCACTACGAGAAGCAGATAGGCACAAAGAGCTTGGAGTTTGGATAAAAGACACTCTAAAGCCTCCAGCCCAGTGTTGAAGGGCGGTTAAAGCCACAGCTTCAATGCCGTAAGCTGCCAAGCGGGTATATATAGTTTTGGATGAGGAATGGCTCTTAATAGGTCATCCGCGGGTTTAAAAGGCCGGATCTTAAAAATACGATTCAGGCCTGGAAGTCCTGAACGCAGCAGAATAGCAATGCACTCGAAGGGCTGCATAGGCGAGGGCGTGAGGGATAATGAGGTGGAATAGCGACGTCACGAGTAATTGTCAGTAACGCTGGTCAGAAGAACATCCACGTGCTGGAGACCGCTAGATGCCTCATCACCAGGACAAATGAGCCGTCATGGCTCAGCTGTCATGACAGTAATCTTGACCTCAATGGGGATTTGAAGAGCGAAGAGACAAGGCTTATACAGTGCGTCACCCACCCCACTCTTCAGGCCGCAAACGTGACAGATGTTGGTGGTGAATTGTGAGGTGTCGTCCGGGTGGAAAATTTTTGTCGGATTACACATTTCGGAGTGGAATCGAAGGACTTGTTTTAACAGCTCGTCGTCCATTAAAGTAGTGAAGTCACTTTCTCCCATGAAGTGGCGAGAATACTTCACAGTCAAGAAGATAGGGAGCAGTCCACGACCAAATATACGACAACGTGTCTCAGCCCGCAAGAGTTTCTTGAAGAAGAAACCAGTGACCGAGCCGGACCAACAAGTTTTTTTTAAAGTAGGACGCCTACGGCTGCGGTTGAGAGTAGTGGCATTGTTCAGTGCACAGTATTCGCTACCGAATCTTCGGTCTTCAGACGTAGCCTAGGACTCCATGTGCAAAGAGGACGTCCAGGTACTTTCGGGTGGTCGTACGACTCCTAGTTGCGGTATGTGTCCAAACTTTAGCTTTGCGCCTACAGGTGAACCGGTGCTAGTAGTCTAGGCTGAGCGAACACAGGAGGGCCTGTGGTGCAAATGTGGTGCACTGTACCATGCTGAACTTCACAACTGTGAACATAATGCAGCGAAATGTTGGGGCGTTTGGGAAGAAGCTGTGGATAGGCGCAAGCAATACATGTATCCAGAAAAGATAAGCCGCATGATGTTGTTAGGGGAGTCAAGCTGTGCACAGATAGGCCATTTGTACGGTCGAGCTGTCAGGCACGTCAGCAGTCCACTAGGAGATTATACTCAGCTAGAGCATTCCAGTTGATCATTATATTTGGAATACCAGCAAGCCCAAAGATCCAGGACAACGAAGGACGAAGGCCCATGTACAAAGTAAAGGAAAGGCTGCCAAATGTGGGAATGAGAGAAAAGCTGACAGCTTAAAAGTGGAGACAAGGCTCGGGTCGGAGTTGGAGGGACCACGCTGATAGAGGTTTCAGCTTTAATAAGTAAACGCCCGCGAGTAAGCCTGTCACCGGCGTAAAAGGTATGACTAGATCGAGAGGAGAAAGAGAGAATGGTTGCACTGGCCTTTAGTCTGACCCCTTTTAGTCGTTGACTGTGTTTGGAATCGAAAGGGCAAGGAAGATATAGTTGCCGACTTTAGCACCAGATGTGATATGACACAAGCAGGTGGCCACTGTGCTGGGTCGAGATAAAGAAGTATGCCATACCTTCTTGGTTGGATAGCCTTGATGTTCTCCATGATTAAAGGGAGGCTGTCTGCTGTCGAGGGAGATTCGCCATCTCTGACCTTACGTTCCAGAAAGATGACCTAGGAGAATCTGAGGGAGTGACAATTCGCGTCGTGCACATCTAATAGCAGATTGTTCATCTGAGCTGGCCGCGCTTCCCCAAGAATGCCAGAGTCCGGTGCCAAGAGTTGATCCACTTCTGCTGAAAAAAAAAACATCCACCGTAAACGCTTGACGATGACGGAAACTAGGAATAGGGAGACTGGTGTTCGGAAACGGTCAGCACATATGAAAGTCCCATGAGTTGACAAATTGGAAATTCTTAAATCAGTAGGCAGTGATGACCGGAATATATAACAACCTCTGCTGAATCAAGAACGCCTACCCGCGGCTCAGCAGGCAGAGAGAATGAGAGAGCAATTGTCCTCACCAGCAGAGCGCTAGCCATTTAAGGTTGTTAGTTCCGGCACAAAATGCATGCGTCTTAGATTCATCCGGCTGCTGCCAGTGAACGAGGAAAAAAATTCCGATCGAATTAATGGTGTCGATGGTTCAAAAGCATGTTCACACGCACGACTGACTGGTGTGCCAGGTGAACTGAAGGCGACATCGATAAGTGAGACGTTGACGACCACGAGAACTGACCGCCGCCGTCGTTTTTTCTCCTTTACAAACTTTCTAGGTCAATATTAGCAGCAATCACAGGAAAAAGTGTCCCCCTTCGCTAGTTTCGTTTAAGAAATACCACACTTCTACCAAAGGACGTTGACTGTCTTTGTAATTTTGTGCAAACTTATTCTTTCGTGGAAAGTAAAAATTTCTATAACGAAAGATGTCAGGAGCTGGAGACAATTCTGAATACACTTCCATTAGTGGAACTTCTCAAAATCAAAGTTTAATTGCTGAGTCCTCTCAGGGATTGTTTGGAAATCCCAATTCCTCATACAATATTTCGATAAGTCTCCGTATAAAACTCCACATAGGGCTCTGGACGAGTTTGTTTCGCGTATCGAATGGAATGGTGACTGTCTTTAATTCGACACCATTAATTTGATAATTAAAGACTGCTGTAAAAGCCATCAGTTAATTAGCTCTTACACAATGGCAACCTCAGAACATATTTTAGCAGAATTTTCATGATCTGAAAGCAAAAATTGTTTCATAAGCGCAACCGTAACACTTTAGGATATTTAGATTAAGAAGTTAACGCGTTGTCGAGTAAAAAACATGCTTACTTATTCCCAATTCCCCATAAACGAATAGTTTGAAAAATTCTGACTTTTCTGAACGTAGAAACGACTGTTTGCCGGTCATTTAAAAGCGTTATACCGGAAATACGGGCTGCCCATTAGCCTAGCTCCTGGCTACGCGGCGCGTCCACAAATGGCGGATAATGACACAACCCTCAGTGAAGGTTAACTGAGAAATTAGCAGACCCAGGTCTGACGTATAAGCAGTCGCGGACCAGCAGCGACATCGCAGCCAGGGTACGGTGGGCTAAGGTCTGACATGCTCAAAGCCTTATTAAAAGCCGCAAAGCCCAATGACAGCATTGTGACATGGCGACCGCAAACCGCGTTGAAATAAGTTGTCTTGTCACCGCTGCCTTGGGGTTAGGTTTTTAAGCCAAAGCGCTAGAGGAGACAACTTTGAACAAACGATCCCAGCGGCTGTTAGGGCCCCACCCGTATTCGCATTTTCCAAGAAAACTCATTAAATACGTCCGATCACAGCATTACGACCCATGCTACCGCGTCCGCTGGAACCGACGCGCTCCGCAACCCTGGTCCAGTGGTGCGGACGAATAGTATGCGAGCTGGACTACACAATCGGGGACAGATTCTTCGTATTGGATGCTGGAATGTGCGAACGTTTCTGGGCCCCGGTACCCAAAGGCTGACCGCGCGCAGTCTTGAGCAGTACAACGTGGATGTCTGCTGTCTGTCTGAAGTTCGACTTCCTGATCCAGGCTCTCGCAAAATAAAGATCCCTGGAGTCGAATCACACTCCACCATGTACCACAGCGGCCCGCGCGCCTCTTCCGGTCGACAAGGTGTGGCAATCGCCGTATCGCAACAAGCGTACCTCCTCCTACTTGCTTGGGAACCAGTCAATGACCGGATGGTCTACGTGCGACTGAAGGGTCACATCACGAACATCTCAATCGTCTCTGTGTACGCACCAACTTCGGCTGCCGAACAGCGCGATAAAGAGGTGTTTTACTCGCAGTTGCAAGCGTTGGTTGAAAGATTGCCTCGCCGAGATCTTCTGATTGTTGCTGGCGATTTGAATAGTCGAACTGGACCTGGCGATCCCACAACCAGTAATCTTACTGGCTGCTTTGGGCTAGGTTCCCGATTTTAAAATAATGAGAGATTGCTGGACTTCGCTGATCGAAACCGCCTGCTTGTCACCAACACATGTTTCCAGCATCGCAAAAAATATCTGCTAACCTGGTATTCAAACGACAGCCATACGGCCAGTCAGATTGATTACATAATAGTCAGCTCAAGGTTCCACAGCTGGGTTCACGATAGCAGATCGATGTGTTGTGCCGAGATTGGTAACGCTCATGTGTCGGACCGTGTCCTTGTTCGCACACGTTTGAAAGCTCATCTCACATCCACGCCAAAAATGCCACGTCCTAGACGTCTCGATGTCACAAAAATCCGGCAAAGGCAGTAACCAGTGGTCATCACTAGGAACGTCAGTCTATGGAGCAGCAGAGAAAAGCCTAGGATACACCCAGCGACGCCGATGTGACTGGATCAGCGGAAGACCCCAGAAGTTGTCTGCTCAGACGGCTCGAGCCAGGTCCCGTAACGATGGCTGCTTCCGACAACTTCGGAAGATTACGGTAAAATGGGCCAGGGATAACCGGAAGCAATATTGGGCTGAAATAGCGACCTCCATGGAACAGGCCTCGAACGTCAGTGACATTCGAAAACTCTATCAACTTATCCGCCAATTTAGCGGTAAACCCTCTACACTGAGTGACTGTTCGCGGCGTGAAAGGCGGCTTTATTCCTGACAACTAGGCCAAAGTCGAGCGTTGACGTGAGCACTTTGAGCACCATCTCAACTTCGATACCCAACTTACCTCGCCCTTGTTTTCCTTCTCAGCTGAGTTTATTCCCTCTCCTACCTATGCAGTGTCATGCGACCCTCCCTCTGAAGGAGAATTCGTCGATGCCATACGAAAGCTACGCAACAATAAAGCACCCGGAGTGGACGTCATACCCGCTGGAATCTTCAAGTCTTGTGTTGACAGTCTGGCGCCCTGGCTCCTTGAAGTGATTGAACGAGCGTGGAGAGACGAGGTTGTTCCTGAGGACTGGGGCTTAGGCATCCTTGTACCTAACCTCAAGAAGGGAGATACGAAGAGGTGCGAGAACTACCGCGGCATACGCTTCATCGACGTTGCTGCGAAGATCTTCGCTATTGTCCTACTCAGGCGATTCCAGACTGTGCGTGACTCAAGGACGAGGCCCAACCAAGCCGGATTTCGTGCCGGACGTGGATGTGTAAACCAGATATTCACACTAAGACGAATTCTCGAATTTCGCCATAGCTACCAACAACCGACAGTCGTCTGCTTCATTGAATTTTCTGCCGCGTTCGATTCCATCCATTCTGAGTCCATGTGGCGGGTATGGGCGCTAGATGGTGTACCGGCAAAAATCATCGTCATGATCAAAGCTTATTATCGCTCCACCACCGCGCGAGTCCTGCTCCACAACAATCTTTCCCAACCGTTCGGTATTCGGTCAGGCGTTCGACAGGGTTGCATCTTGTCGCCCATTCTGTTCAACTAAGCTATTGACTGGATTCTCGGGAGGGCCCTACACGAATTTGACGGTGTTGAGTTTGCACCTGGGCACCGACAGACTGATCTCGACTATGTCGATGATACTGAATTATCGCCTTACTTGCTTAAAGTTTTGTGATCTGCAGTCTATGGTGTCATGGGTGAACGAGGTCGCTAAATCGGTCGGTTTATCCATAAACGCTGGGAAGACTAATGTGTTTTCAAGCTGCACCCTGACCAGGAGAGGGCACCCCTCAAGATTGATCGCTGGCAACTTGAAGAGGTAGACAGTTTGAAATACCTCGAGGCGAGGTCGCTGCCTAACGGACAGAGTAAGGACGACATTGTCTCCCGAATTAATGCCACCCGCTGGGTTTTCTCAAGTCTTCGGAAATGCCTTTGGATTCCTCGTGATCTCTCTATCGCCAATGAGATTCGGGTGTACCGTGTCCGGTCTGTCCTTCTCTATGGTTGTGAAGGCTGCGCTTTGCGCGTGGAAGATGAACGAAAACTGGAGGTATTTGACCACCACTGCTTGAGGACCATCCTTCGAGTGAAGTTCATCGACTTCATCTCAAATGAGACAGTCCGCGCTCGCTGCGACAACATCGCAAGTATAACTCAGGCCATCCAAGAAGGATAACTGAGGCGGTTTGGGCATGTTCTTCGTCGTCCACCTCAGGAGCTCGGCGTTACTGCGCTCGATCCGACACCGTTACCCCATTGGAGGCGTCGAAGAGGAGGTCAGCTCGAAACCTGGCTCGACACAGTTCGTCAAGACATGGAGGTGGTTCTTGGACCTTCGGTATTCGGTCTCCGTTGTTGGCGAAGAGAATCGGTTGAGCTCTATGCATCTGCTGCCGCGGATCGTCACGCGTGGAGAGGTACAGTTCGTGACATCATCGAGGCCGGCTGGATCAGGCATGGTTGCAGCCGTATCGAGTACAAGTAAGTAAAAGTAAAATATGGCAAGCGGGATGGATCACATATACTCATGTCAGATTATTCAGCGAACACGCCAACGAGAGTTGGATGGTCTCTTCAAGAGTCCCCAAATTTCATATTAGTTAGCGGCTCGAACAGTTTTGATTCAGGTAGTTAAGTTTTAACCTTTGGGTTTTGCGCTTAGGGATGATAAGTGATACCCAAATATCTCACCTGTATAGAGATAAAGTCGCTACCGGTGTCGGTCCGAGTAGTCGAGTGACGCACTATGATTCAAGCTTAATTTGCCTCCGGATAGACAAAACGTTTTGTCACCGGTCAGATGGTAGCCTGCGCACCGCATCTTAGTGGATATCGGCGCACTCCGCGGTTTTGGAGGTTTATTACGAAACTGTGCTATTCTGTCTGACTCGGACTTTGTAATGGTGTGGTGTGCTAGTAGGGGAAAATTAAAAAGAGTCTCCCTTTTTTATCTTATGATTGTTTGAGCAGGTCAATTTTTGTTGATCCTTTAATGTAGTCCTCGCCCGTATGGGCTGCCTTGTGTTGTTCGAGCTCGCTTTTTCGTCCTGTTTGCTTTAGTTTTCTCCCCTGCCCCTAACAGCCCACTTCCAGAATATCCAGTTCTTTGATCACAAACTGTCCCATTCAGAACTTCGTAACAAGGAATGCAGATATTCAATACAGGACTGTTGCATGAGTCAAACACTACTTGATCTTCTCGAATCTTGATCACGCGAAAGCCGGCGCGGGCCTTCCGAGATTTTGTTTCTGGTGTGGTGGGCGAACGATGGGGTTTGGAATTGTTGCGGTCGCGTATATTTTTGCCCTCTTACTTACCGTGGCCCTGATATTTCTGGTCATTTATCACGTATAATTTTTCACCGTTGTTCTCATATCCCAATCTTCCTGCAGATTATAGCTTTTGACGAACTTAAGACCGACTATAAAAATCCGATAGACCAGTGTCGAAGTCTCAACCCGGTAACCCTTTATACCTGACTAATTCTGGCAGCTCGTGCTTCCAGAGTATGGCATACACGCCTTTATTACTCTCTTCTTTTTGTTGACGTGGCAAGTGGTCGCACTGTTCATCAATATACCTCTTCTGATATACAATATACAACGGTTTGGTTTCCTCTGAGAATGTCAAATATTCATCCGATTCAGTTATGCAAATCGCCCTGTTATGTCTGGTTTTGGATTGTATCACCCAACGACTGTACTCACGAGTGGCGAACTTAACAGAGCAATGAAGGAGGGTTGGGTGAAGTTGGCCTTCTTCATATTGACGTTCTTCTACTACTTATATGGGCAAGTCACCTCACTATTACTATTTTATTGCTATTCTTTTAGCATGATTGCAACACTCGTCTCCGCCTAAAAGGATTGGCAACCAGCATACTCAGTCCTTTTTTCAGTTGCTTGGATGTTTCATGTATACAAAACGGACCATAAATACATTTCTCCACCAAGTTTCCTGTTCTATCTCCCAAAATTCACCTGTCCTGTTGGCTCAGGAAGTTCGTTTTTAGACAATGTCATTGGTCTGCTCGCTATCAAACGAAGTCCCAGAACAGCCAGTCCTCAGCCCTCGGTCAGGCCACATATTTGAGCGACGTCTCATTGAGAAGTACTTAACGGAAACCGGATGCGACCCGATTAACCAGCAGCCACTGTCACCAGAAGAATTGATAGAGGTCAAGACAGCGCCTTTCGTTAGACCAAAGCCTCCATCCGCAACATCCATTCCCGCTATTCTGAAGGCACTTCAAGATGAATGGGATGCTGTGATGCTTCATTCTTTCACTTTACGCCAGCAGCTCCAAACTGCAAGACAGGAACTGTCTCACGCTCTTTATCAGCATGATGCAGCCTGCCGAGTAATTTCAAGGTACTTTGATTTCAGATATAAACCGAATGCAGTAAACACTGGGGTTTGCTTGGAGCGACCCCGCTACTTTTTCTATAAAAGTGCTTTTATTCGTCTTTTCCCACCGCTATGACAATGCTTCTATGTATTGCTATTCTTCAGGTTGACAAAGGAAGTTACTGCGGCTCGTGAAGCCTTGGCAACCCTAAAGCCACAGGCCGGCATTTTGCCCGGCAGCCAGGCGGCCGCTCAGGCCCAGCCTGCGCCTTCTGTCGAAACGCCCGAAAGTTCGGCTGTTGATTCTTCTAACGTGAGTTTTAAACTTTTGACCATGTGTCGAATTCTCACTTACATGTCCACTCAACCCGAACCAGACTCCTGTCTATTACTTCCTCAATCCCTTCAATTAGAAATCCTACTGTGGGATAACTTTTTTATTGCTCCCTCGACAGCATTAATTTAGCTATGAATTGTGCGTCAAAATCCTAGCTATTTGAATCTTCGGTAACGTTGGGGATCATGGACAACCCTCTTAACTTTAGTTTTGGAGGTCCAACCAAATACTAGCGTTTGGAAGCAGAGATTGTTAAAAACTTTTGAGCAAAGCGTGAAACGGTTGGGCTGTTACTTTTCATTTTACTTTCATGGCAGAGACTGTGAGCTGCCAGTCCACCTGCTCACTTGTGAAGCAACTTTCAACATACCCCTCACTCAAGTCCGATGTCGCAAATGCGATTGCACTATCTTCATAGTGCCGATTCTGTAATTCCTTTTCTTCGGGAACTCACGTATACAGTTCGATCTTAATTTTGTCCCATGGGATCCTTTCCCAAATATGTGCAAAGGTCCTAGTTTCCGATGGTAGCTCGGTCTTTTGTGTGACAAGCCATAGCATCTTTCCTCTCCCAAAATATTGATATCCCTACTTACATAATCAGTTAGTACACGCATAATCGGAAGGTTTCCATACAACACGGATAGTAAGGGGAAAGAACTGTGCTTTTTGTCATTTTCTGATTTAATTGCCGCCATGAAGGACTTACATGATTGTCCTTTTCGGGATTTTCTGGGGCGCCTATGTTAGTGGAAAAAGGCAAGTTTAATTATTGTGTAAAGAGTAAATACTGATAACGTCGACAAATATTTAGATTCCTGTGTAGGAAACTAATTCAACTTTTTAAGTGCATGTGATTTGAAGACCGCTTAATTTAGCTCTTGATCGTCTTCCTCTATCATCCTTTGGAGATACGTGCCTTTCGGCCTCGTCTGTGTATATTAGTCTCTGTTTATACTTGTTTTTTTGGGTTCCTTTAATGTTATTTATCATCCCGCCACCGTGCAGCTTCAAGAGGAGATTGGTGTCTCTGAGGCCGTGGTTACGAGACTGCAGGAGCAGGCGGCTAAACTGACTGCTGAGCGCAAACGCCGAGGCAAGACTGCTCCCGAGGGTCTGGCCAAGCCCAATGTCATCTCAGAATACCAGCAGATTGCGTCCCATGTTGGTCTGCATTCTCCAAGCGTGCCAGGCATTCTTTGTCTTGACATTAGCAAGTCTATCCCCGAGCGTATCATCACCGGTGGCAACGACAAGAATGTAGTTGTCTTCAACACTCAGTCCGCTCAGGTGTGTAACTGGCTCATATACTTCCACTTTTCGTGTTTCTCTTTCTACTCATATTTCATCTGCCCTTTTCCTGGTAAAATTTTTGGGACAACCTGGTAACAGCCAAACTCTAGACTCATTTTTGGGACGCTGCGAGTTAAAATCTTGGCCTCAGTATTTATCTTTAATCAAGGCACACTTCAGAAGAAGCAATCGCCAGAACGGGTTTATTTGTCTGACGTTTTGGATTCCCATTCAACCACGTTACTAGACACAGTCGCAAACTGGTAATGGATTCAAGTAAGGATCCAAAACGTCAATATTATAAGTTCTTGTTCCAGCGGCCGCATCTCCTAAACTGTTTCCTGGGACTTGTCTCCTCTTCTGAGTCAGCAAAGCAAACTTTTTTCATCTCTGATTGGCTCATGCCAACCGGATTCTTGATCAGCGGTTTACATGAGTGTTGTATTATGCCTCAACTTCTCGGTTATTTCCCTGCACACAAAGCCGGGATGTTAAGTCCCAGGTGAGTCAACTCAAAAAGCCATCGAAAGCCGTTTGCAGTATTGTAGCGCGAAGCAAACTCTGTCGGCCATTCTTTACTAGACTGACGCTGCACTTATCGCCCATGCATTGAGTGCGCGTAAACCAGTGAACGGACTTGAAAAAGGTTTCCCGTACATTTCGACTATACCGAAAAGATAACAAACTGACAGACTGCATGCCAAAGAAACGAAGACAGATGCCTGTTTAACCTTTTCTGACCACTTCCTCGACAAGCCCATGTCAGGAAATTCTATTCCACATAGGTGGTTACACCCAGGTATCCAGTCGCCCTTATAGCTGTTGTCGGTTGCCCCATATTTTTGGATGTCTGAAAAGTGCTCTCCATTCCCATATCAGTTGGCTTGAACTTGTCAGTGAGAATGAGACATAAAAGTTCTCTCCATGGGGATTCGAACCAAACCCCCCATAAAAGTCTTGCTCCTTTACATCCATTTGGTGGTTAAGACTTAGCTAAATACAGTTTTAGAAACCACTTATTGTTCTGGATGATTTATACTCTTAGAGTTGATTCCCCTAGGTCTAGTAGTCCATTTCACTACTTGGATTTCATAATTGTGTCCAGCACAGCTGATCCCGACGACGATAATTTTGATCTCCGACTTTGTGCCTCTAGGTTATCTCCATTCTCCGTGGACACACGAAGAAAGTAACCAATGTGGTATACCATCAGTCCGAGCAGTTGGCCTTTACCGGCTCTCCGGACAGTACTGTCCGTGTGTGGGGTGTGGAGCAAGGCCAGTGTGCCAGTGTCATCCGCGCCCACATGGGCGCTATCACAGGTCTAAGCGTCCACGCCACTGGCGACTACCTCCTATCCTCAAGCTCTGACGGCCAGTGGGCTCTGAGCGACCTACGCCAGGGCAAAGTACTCGTTCGAGTTACCGTGGAGAAGGACGGAGCAACCCAAAGTGAGTCTCCAGGTTTTGGCCCACCCACATTATGTTCCTGCACGTTGAAACATGCGGTCAAACATTGTTCCTGTTTCGATCTGATCTTTACTTCTGTCTCATCTTGTTTGTTTTTTGCAGTTCTTGAAGCCTTTGACACTTACGAGTAGATTGCAAGGAATAACTAACTAAAGCAGGATGGCTTTCTCTGATTAGAACATATTATGGACACGAAGCACTCTGCACAGCGTCAGCGTGTACATTGTTATGAGTCTAGGTGCAGTTTTCTCAAGAACTGTCTGAAACAGTAGAACTAAGAAAACTCTCTGTAACTTGCAAAAACTCCATCGGCGTTGTGGCTTTCGTTAGCAGCCGGAATAGGTGAAAATAGGCTTGTAAGATAGAGAATCTTGGTAGACGGTAAGGTCGAGGGAAGACTGCTCACAATGTCTAATATGGAATTTTTAATTCTTCTGTCCTGCTTGTAGCCAGAAGCCACAGGCGAACTGCGGCAGTTCAGCCGCCGTTGCCGATGGTGTCTACCGTGTGTGTCCCACACCATGGTGGGCGCGGGACGTTGGTTTGCGTGTGAACTAGTTTATAATGATAGTAGACTTGCGACGAGTCTTCCCTCACCCACCTGTAGCCGGCATCAAGACAGGGTCAAGAAGTCGGAGCAGGATCGAGCGCAGTGGCTGACCAAGCCAAGCAACCCGTCTACGCACGCCACACGCGCCTGATCCTCACACGATGGGCCAGGTTTTCACAGAAACAAAAAGGAGGCTGCTCGAATTCCTACTGAGAGCGAGTGCCATAGACGCCACATTAATAAGCAGCCATTGGCAGCCTTCGAAGCCACGGTCTAAAAGTGGCTCGGATTCTTTATAGGGAGAAATGTTCGCTGAGTGCCGTGGGGACGCAGTCTGTAGAGTCGGCCCTCTCCTCTCTTCTCTATTTTGTGCACCAGTCAATTGTCCTAGCTGGTCACTCGACTGATTGGGTGAAGTGATAGACAGTGCTAAAACAGCCTATCTGCGCGTTCCACATATCGTCTGCCTTTCTCCCACACAACGGTGTTGGGTTGGTTTGGTCTCATTTGCGTTAGATTACCATGGAGGCCACATGGAGAAGGAGCCGAAGAACACGGCATTCACATGCGTGCGAGGTGTCTATTCGATGCCGGTGGTGGATGATACGAGACCGATTTGTGCGTGATGTATGGGCTGGCGGCGCAATTCGTGGTGATGAGATTTATTTTGCGATTGTTTGTTGCACATTTACACGGAGGTGCATGTAGCTAAATAGGTCAGATTTATCCGACAGTTTGATCGTCCTTTCCGACAATGTCTGCCGTGTGCTCAACAGTGATATGAGAGCAGGGACGATGACTTGCGCGTGAGTTAGTCTTTAGCGGTAGTAGACTTTCGCGACATCTACCGCACTCCCTCCTCCTCCCCGACCTGGGCCCGGTGTCACGACAGAGTCAAGAAGACCGGAGGCGAGAGAGGACGCTAGTGGTTGGCACGGCGAAAACTCGCACCTACGCGCGTGCCACCACACAGAAGTTATACAGTGGACGCACCAACGGTCAGCTTAAACGCCGCTTCTATCGCTCAGCCCAAGAGTCATATAACAGTTGTGAAGCTATGTACATTCTTCCTCCCCCAATGTTTCCATGTGAACCCTGTACTGTTCTGATCTTCATAATTTTTCTTCACTTGCTTGAACACGTTAATTTTTACTCTTCCCTTGAGCCAACCCAACATGGTTATTCTTGGTCAGCCCTTGCTGCACTCCTTGCCGATGCTACCATGGCAGCGTGTGCACACGAATTCTCGTGTTCTCTCGCTCCGACCGTCAGTTCGACCGAAGTCTGTCATATCGACGCCTCATTATTGGCACACAGTGGCGTGGTGCGCTTAAACCCCTGCTGTCTGCCTGCAGAACACTTCGCGCGCCCTAGGCTACATGTTGTTGGCACTGAACTCTCCTTTAAACGTGTGTATACGTGCCTTCGAGTGCGCCTGCCAAATTGCATGGAAGCCACCGCAGCATGCATCAGCGTCGAACATGCCTGTCTATCCTTACGTCGGTGTGACATTTTCTGCAGGCATGAGGTCGTGGCGAGAGTACTGACTTATACTTGACCGATTTTATTCATGCCCGATATAGGCGGCCTCAGTTCACACGAGACGTTCGTGGAAATTCGCGACGCAAACGACTTCACAATAACCGCCCGGCTTCTTTGTTCGATGTTGTTTCCCGTAGAGTCTCGGTCCGTCGCAGCCTAAGCTGAAGCCAGTGGTGACAAAAAGACTTTCTTACTGGTACTTGAATGTAGCCATATTGCAGTGCTGTCATTGAAATTCCTAGCAAGACAGGAGGCAGTGCGACTATTGCCGCGCCGGTAAAACACGTCGTGTAGGTGGTAAGCAGCAATTGAAGGCGAAGGACGATACGGGAGGATAGTCAGGCGTGTAAATGACTATTGGCCGGAAGGATAGGGGACGTCGTTCGTGAAACAGGCTAGTGCAAATCAAGCAAGGTAAGTCATAAACCACATGACATTTTAATTGGACATACGAGAAAGCATGCATGAAATTGGGCGAGGGGCGTAGGAGGGGTCCCATGAAGCACGGTATCCAACTCGTTGCACATCTCTGTTCTCCATGTTACCATCTAGAGAATGTGTTGCCTTCACGAGATAAGGGACTTTACACGCCACAATTAGATACGCAGTATGACCAGTATTTAACAGGTGCCTTGCGATTGAATCTTCTGGGACCTTGTCTTCTCTCCTCAAGGGCCAACTTGGTCCACCACCAAATGCATGACAGTTCATAAACTAAGGCAGAGAGTGAATACGTCTTTTATTGCTCTGACCAGAATGATCATTGAAGTGATTACCATCGTTAAATTGGCAGTCATTTGCCCTATATCACGTCACGTATCTTTTCCTAGTCGCGTTTTTGTTTATCGCTTACCACGCTCATTTTGTAGATTGTTCGCATGGTAACTCTAGACAGTATGTGAATTTGCAAATAACACTTGCAGTTTGACACTAAATTCCCAAGTTTTGTGACGTCACTAAATACTGCTTTATTCGCGATTTTATTGTCCACATTTCTTGCGGAAAGTAAATTTTTCACATTACTACTCTCATGACTAGCCTCCTAATTTTAAAATGAACCTTCCATTATTACACTTAGCGTAACTTCCTGTCTCGAGTTGCCTTAAGTTGGCAATTTTGTTTTGAGATTATGGCCTCCTGTGCTTTCGACTTTTTGAGCGTATCTTTGATCTCTTCCATCATTTCTTGTTGTCAAGGTCTTACGTGTGCCCAATTCCACCCGGACGGTCTTATTCTGGCCACTGGTACAGTGGATGGTGAAGTGAAGATCTGGGATGCCAAGGATCAACGCAATCCTGCCACCTTTACCCACGGCGTCGGGGCAGGACATCCGCTGACTGCAGTAGCCTTCTCTGAGAATGGCTACTACCTGGCCACCGGCGGGGCCGACGGCCAAATTAAGTTGTGGGATCTGCGAAAACTGAAGAATTTCAAGACCCTGGTATGCAGTATTTCTAGTGCCCACGTATTTTGGTTGTCGCTTATTGTTGGTTTGCAAGAAATTTCACCTCTTAAAGCCATTCGTCCTCTTGCAATCACCTAGAAAACCCCGTTAAGCCGTAATGCTAGCAGTTGCGTGAGACTACATGGTGGATAAATGGTCTCCTGCAGATCCGGAGTACCTAGATTGATGTCTTTGCCCACCCCTTCTCTGCACCAGTTTGAGGCTGAAGGATCGCACTGGACAGCGAATGAATCCTTAGTTGATGGCGGGCAACACTCGCCCTGTCTTAATACCACCAAGGCTCGTCACCTTTTTAGAATTAACCCACTTTGCCGCATCAGTGCTCAGCTACGCCGTAAGCTTTTACTGCTGTATGCTACACGACTGTCCATTGGTCAGACCCGGGCACCTGCTTATTTCGCAACTAGTCCGCTCTGAAGACTTTCACTACCCACCGGCTGTAGACACCGAGTAGTCCCATAGCTAGGCAAACAGACAAGTTGCAACTTTCCCAGGGTTCCCTTCTTCTAGCCACTAGAGTTACCTATCGGTCCTCGTCTGCTTGATAAAGGCCTCCAATGGGCACATGCGGAGAACTGCCTTGTGTGCGGTGTGGGATCCGATAAAAACCATACTCCCATTATATTCTCTGATTAGGGTCGTCCTTTCAGCATGCACGACTTGCTGCTGTGAATGTCTCCTTGACATAATGAAGACCTACAGTGCTTGATCGATCTCATAAAATATTGGCCAAAATTCCGGAATGCGTTTCTGATTAGGAAGGATTACTTAAGTGGGGTTGTTATACTGATTATCGTGCAGCATAACCCTATAACGTTTCGGACTCGCCAGGATGTCGGCTTTTGAATGCACTTCTTTTTGACCTCCTGCAGAAACCACACTCGGTAAAAAATGACCACTTAAGTAGCATGCATTTTCCATATTGATTTTCGATGGTCCTATAAATTCGAATATATTTTATAGAGAACATGCACAAAAATATGCTTTCTTTTGCTCATTTGGTAGGAAATAACATTGTCCTCATATTTTATGCCCGAAGAAAGTGTATATTTAGGTTTTAAAAAGTTCCTAATTATGAGATTTTTAAGACCGTGAGATGTCCATGCATGCAAAACTGCACATGTCCGTTTGCTAATGCTCCTCATGAAATGTACAACACAGGCCGGATCCATTACAAAATTTCATGAACTCTATGTGGCATCTTCTTAAAGACATAGAGGAATATATGATTTTCCTTACGCGGAAAGCATGTACCTTGTAGACTGAAACTGCTAGACGCTGATGCAATGGCAGATCAGGCTGAAAATTTTTCGGGAATTGGGAAACTTTTCTAAAACCTAAATATACACTTTCTTCGGGCATAAAATATGAAGACAATGTGATTGCCTACCAAATGAGCAAAAGAAAGCATATTTTTGTGCATGTTCTCTATAAAATATATTCGAATTTATAGGACCACCGAAAATCAATATGAAAAATGCATGCTACTTAAGTGGTCATTTTTTACCGAGTGTGGTTTCTGCAGGACGTAAAAAAGAAGTGCATTCAAAAGCCGACATCCTGGCGAGTCCGAAATGTTATAGGGTTATGCTGCGTGATAATCAGTAAAACAACCCCACTTAAGTAATTTTTAGTAATCGAAAATGCATTCCAGAATTTTGGCCGATATTTCATGAGATCGGTCACGCACTGTATACACGCCATTCGGATGATGTAGTGATTATCGGAAGGCTGATAAGTAGACCATCTGCCACTATTAGTCTGTTGATGTGGGAGGAGAAGGAGTACACGAACCTTTCAGATAAATTCCAGTGTGCCTTTGGTCACCGATATATGCGCCACCTCTTTTCGTCTGCCCTCTGGTTGTCTTCGGCTTGTTTGCCTTTCTGTTGCCCCAGAGTCATCTTTGAGCTACTTACTTTTTTCCATAGTTGTTTCTGCCTAGCTCTGCAATATATCTGCCTTCCATTTTCTCCAGGCCCCAGAGCTCGCTCGCGGTGGTGGCGTTTACGAGATAAAGGACCTTGAGTTCGACCAATCCGGCTCCTACTTGGCTGTCGCCGGCTCTGACGTTCGCGCCTACCTTTGCAAGCAGTGGGACGAACTGGCCGTTTTCACGGCGCATACCTCACCCGCCACTGGCGTGCGCTTCGGTGAAAACGCCAAAACCATCATCTCTTCTAGCCTGGATCGTTCAATTAAAATTTACGGCCTCCAGGATGATAATGCTGCTAAGGACTCCCAAGAAGCCATGGACATGTAGATGCGTCTGCTCCGCCCCATGTCACTATTTGTTGGTGCATTTCCAGTTGTTTCACCTCCTCATCCCCATTTTGCATTTTAAATCGGATTTTTCTAATTCGCATATCATTCACCATTTGGTAAAAATTGTCAGTCTTTTTGCGTCGGGCCATAGCTTGACTCCACAAATCCTGGCGATCTAGAGCGACGATCATCCGGTCCAGAGTCCCCGGCACTGCTTCTGTTTTTCGCCCACCTAGATGTCAGCAACCCGTGATCCATCTCTCAGTCAAGCCCTCCCTCATAGTGTTAAGAATTCCGTCCTCATTGCGGGGTTTCATATGCACGATTCTTTTACTGGGCCCTTCTGCTCCGCTACCCGGAGCAAACTCGCGAAATATGCGACCGCCGACAAGTTCGGCTTGGTAATGAACCAATAATACGCCGATCGTTGACACCTGTTGGTCATAATTTCCTCTGCTCTAATACACCTCAGTCCGTGTTAGTATTGCCAGTAGGTAGGATACGGGAATAGCAACCCCACCCCTTAATACAGATGGCTTTACGCCAAATTCTAGGGAAGTTAGTGTTAAGGTTAACAGGAATTGATATGCATCCGGTAAGCGGAACATTCGGTTGAGATTATCCTAGGTGGCGAAAAAGGTGTAGCATTAATAAATCCTCGGGGTTTTTTGGTCGTGGAGAACCGCTCAGTCGGGTGATTGAATTCCCGGATAGGTCATTCAAAGCTTCGATCCTTGGCAGCTGACCTGAACAATGATTCAGCGCCCAGCCGCCTCTATCGGAGGGTCGGATGTCGGGGTGTCAGTTTAAAAGTCAGAGAGCGTCATGAATACTAGGCAAGGTGTGCCACCTCGTTCCCATATTACTCTTGCTACTGCCTCTTAGCACAAACATTGTCCACACTATCAGGTCATGGTGGGTAACTACGTGTGCATGTATGAAGTGCGCGACCCTTTTATTACGCTATAAATCTCGATTCTACTACATTCCCCCAACTTTCGGATAGGCTGCGAAGCGTCTTCTTACCTGGTTTAAGGGCTACCGTTCAAGTAGGGGATCGGGTTGGCTGGGAGATGTTTTAGTTTCATGTACAAAGTAAACTACCCTTGCTTTAATGCGGTGGATCTTTTCTTCAACCAGCGTTAGTACACAACAGAACCGTTAGCCACAGTGCAAGCCACGGAAGAAATGCCAGTGGATGCGCTATCTCGTAAAATGTTTGCCAGAGTTCTCAAGTGTGCCTTCGATTAGAAAAGATTGCTTAAGTTGTTTCTTAGGACTTACTGTCGTGCAGCGTAATAATAAGGTATTTCGGTCGCGTTAGTATGTCAGATGGCAACGATCGGGTGAATGACCCCAAACACATACAACCGGCTAAAGGTGCCTATCTTACGGGGAATGTGGTAATAGGAGTTTTAGGGGCGGGCTTATGTATGCATTGAGGAAAGGCAAAATAAGTATAGATGATGAAGCTGTGCTCTGCTCTACCGTCGTTCGATGGAACCCAGTAAATGACAGTTCGACCGTCTTTGCCGACGAAGTCCACCGTGTGCTCCTCGGTGGAAATCGACGGTAGACAGTGCGCCACTACGAGTCACCACTTTGGTATAACGGGCGAGGTGACTCGAACGAAAATCAGTCGTCTACGGAGTTACTGGCCCTTTCTCCATAGGACTCATTCATTTTTGGGGCGGAGGTATGAAAATAAAGGAATGACTCGGTGGAGACACCAGATACCCGCACCTTAATTAGTCCGCAGGTCAACAACAGTTACCCGGAGTTTGGCTGTTGTCCAGAGCACAGCTTCATGGAGCCAAGGGTCGTAGGTGGGCGCCAAGGGTCGACGAAGAAGAAATACCCACTAGGTTAATATATGGGCTTGGTGGGATTTGCTAGTAAATTACTGTGGAATAACAAACCGGACGCATCCATGAGCCCAGATTGAGCGTGCCCCCGTAGTGTAGATTCCCGTTCATACCTCTCCAACTTTCATACCAACCTGCACATATACCGGCATACGCTGTCGAAAATAAGCCCGCACACTCCACCTGCACAGCTGCAGCACCAAACCACACCGCCCGTTGAGATACGCTGTCCATTCTACGTGTATATCGGCCCCGAAATTTCATCGTTTGTTTTATTGTCGACTCCTTGACCCCGTTCTCTCTTTCTGTGCGTGTGGGAAATTGTACGCACCCTACGGGTGTCCCAGCGGCAGGCGCTGACATGTACGCTTGCAGGCACACACCCTCCCGCAAGTCTGAGTGCGTTGCCATTAGTGGACACAAACAGGGTTTCGCATGGAATACCGCTCTCCTACTAATGTCTTCCACTCCTCCTAAAGGGGATTCGGTTCTGAGATCGGAGTGGTGAGGTTACGCCCACTAACTTGGCCCCCACACACGAGTCGGTAACACTTCTGGATTTATTACTGTTCGCCGCTATGCGATCACCTGCGAGGAATCAAGAATGCGAATCCCAAGGCAAGGCGGATTTGTTCTGACGCCACCCCTATGACTCAAAGCAACGAACCCACAGCAGGCTCTTAGACGCCATAAATCTTCATGTGTGTGGATATGACGTGTGGGTCCTCTAGTCTTACGATCAGTCTGTGACGAGCATCCGATTGGAAGTCCCGTCCTTTATTTTGTGCATTAGTCACATGATCGAAAAGGGAGACTCCCTGCCTCCACAGCTTTAAATTAACTCCCCCCCCCCGGGTAGGAATGTTTGACAATATTGACTGCGTCCGTGAATGGCCGGTCGGGGAGGAGAAAGAGGTAAGCGTTATTTGGACAACGTAGGCCGAGGCACCGTTTGAGCCTTATATTTGAAAATATTTAGTCAGAGGCAGAGTAGGATAAATACAAAGCCTACAGGAGACACGCTTCTGGCATGTTTTAGAGTGACAACGCTATCAAACACTAAGACGACTCCTAGGCAATTAGACTTACATGTAGGGAATTAACTTCTCACAACCAACGCATCTCCACCGTAGTTGTTGCGACATTTGCGATGGTTATGCAAAATGGGGAATTTGCCCAGTCGGGAAATGCAAAGCCAGCCTGACCTCCAGACTTCCCACCAAACGTCCTGCCGGCGAGTTACCAGCTACAGGTATAACTCACCTCCCAGTAGGGTCGGCTATCATTCCTGAGGCAGGACTTTCAGATAAATCGGGTCTTTGTATCACTGAAATTCAAGTCAGTTCGTGTAGCCAGAGTGTACATGGGGAGAAATCACACTTTCTTTGAGCACTGTTTTTTTTTCTCACACTCCGCCTTAAGGCTCCGAAGACGTTAACCGTGGAGACGTATTAGCAGTTGCGCACGGAAACATGGACCCCCCGTATTGTAAATGACCTTGTTAGGGTTAGAGTTAGGGGAGTTAAAATTATGGTTCTAGTTAGGGTTAGGTGTACAGTAGGTTGGCTAACTCATGAAATGTCAACCGAAATTCAGAAATGCGTTTTCGTCTCGAAAATATTAACTAAGTAGGGCTGTAAAACTAACCATCATTCAGCATAATTCTATAATAATTCAGTTATGTCAGGGTGTCGGCTTTCGAACAAAGTTCTTCCTGGCCGCATACAAAGACCACATCCTGTAAAAATTACTACTTAAGTAGCATGAATTTTTCTCATTGATTTTGATGCCCTCAAAAATTCAACTATATTTCATAGAAAACATGCATAAAGATATTCATTCTCTTGCTCATTCGCTAGGAACTTACGTCTTCAACTTTAAACTCAAAGAAATGGTATAATTCGGTTGTAAAAAGTTTACAATGGTGAGATTTTTTTACCCTAAAATGGCCGTTCATGAAACGTCATGTCTCTGAATTTACCAATGAGACTTGTAAAGTTAACAATATGGCTCAAATCCAACGCTAAATTTTATTAATACCATATAGTCTCCTCTTAATGCCATAGAAAAACGTATGGTTTTCCGTACACGTAAAATATACGGTCTGTAGTTTGAAAACCCTGAATGCAGGTGTAACGGTAGGTCGGGTTCAAAATTATTCGTGAACTAGAAAACTTTTTGAAAACCGAATTATACCCTTCCTTCGAGTACAAAACTGGAAGAAAACGTAATTTTCTACCGAATGAACGACAGAATCAATATTTTTATGCATGTTTTCTACGAAATATAGTCGAATTTTTAAGGACATCGAAAATCAATGAGAAAATGCGTGCTACTTAAGTAGTCATTTTTACAAAGTATAGTTTCTGCATGCAGCCGAGAAGAAGTTCATTCGAAGGCCGACATCCTGAGGTAACTGAATAATGATAGAATTATGTTGAATGAGTAGTTTTACGAAACCACTTAATTAATCTTTTCGAAACGAAAATCATTTGGGAATTTCGGTTGACATTTCATGAGTTAGCCCACCTACTGTATGGGGATTAATGTAAGAGTTTGGTTTAGGAGGGTTGGTCTTGAGGTTGAGGCTAGAGAAAAGCTAGGACAAGGGAATAGGAACCGGTGGAGTTTAGCACGAGACCATCTGTAGTACGGGGGTTCAAGAAAAAAAGCCCTAGAATTTAGCTTGCTATTTTTGAATTTTATGTCCCCGGCTCAGCGCATCAGTTCAGGGCCTAAATGTGTTCCGTCATTCATAGTAGTTTTAAAGTATCTACGCAGAATTCCGTGGGACATATAAATAATGTCCGTGGGAAACATTGCAGGTAGAAATATTGTTCATATATCTCCGAACGTCTTAAACCGACGAAGTTTTGACATCTTTCAGTTATTACTGAATGTTAAACTTGCAAATCAATGCAAGTCCATTTGAATATCTCTCTATGAAATCCGCCCGCCACCCTCCAGTGGGGAAATTCCTCCGAAGTGTCCAGGTCAAAACGGCGCTCAGAACATCCCCAGTTGTGATTGGTGGACACCAGAAGCAAGCAGCTTCAAACGTACGAAGTCCTTCCTCCCTGCACAGAGATTCCCTGTAAATTACTTCTAAAAGTATTAAAAATGGTGAAGCCTGATGGTAGGTAGATTTGCTCTCATCTATCAGACCGAATAAATTAACGTCCTGTCAGCAGTTTATCTGTATGGGTTTTAATCTAAACCGAGTGACCAGCCTTCAAAAAGGACTTATATATGCTAAATAGGACCATGTGGGACACAGACGGCAAAAAAACAGACGCAAGCACCAGGGCTGTACAGCTTCAGCCACAAGGAAAGACACCTTTCATCACCGGAAAACCCACAGCCAACGACTAGACAAAAAAGAAATAAAATGGCCCAAAACAGCACTGGATGCATACAAAAATGGGATGAGATAAAAATAACGACAAGAGAAAGCTGGAAGAATGACAGTGGTAACATGCGAACAACGAAAGAAAAGGCAAAACTCTGTATCTACACCTACGAAATAATAAAACTTACGAAAGTGCAAACTTGTGGTGACCGTACTCCGGGCGCCTTGCTGTAACACTGTCTCTCGCGCATACTTGCCGTGCGTATCGGTGACAGCGTGGTTCTCAGCCAATAACAGCTATCTAACCAGGCTAATCAACCTCCAAACGCCACCACTCAATGCGCTCTGACGCTTGCCCCCAATGACACTCAGACGCCTCGTTTGCCGACGCCGGACGCGTGCCCTCGTCCGGCAGTCAACTTGTTCCCACTCATCCTCCATACATCTCGTGCAAGATACAATGCTCTTAGGGCTACAAGATATCATACTAGCAGCACAGGTGCTCACGAAGAGTTCAAACACGCTTGCTTCGCCGATATTCTGCCGCTGCATGGCACAGCTGCGAGGGATTCGGCTCTTCAGTGGGTCCCCCAGCATTCCGCGTCCGCTTTCTGGTAGATACTCCAGTTGACAAATTGTCGCCCTTTAATTTCCTCAGAAATTGACTGCGAACCTGGAGTAGGCCAGTATATACTAGGGTCTAAAGACACAGACCGAAACTTGATGCATGAATATTTGTGCCGAAGTCCATCAGCCACAGCGGGATAACCTCGTAATATTCATTAACAGCCGACAGACAGTTAGTAGTATATCTTAGAGTTTCAAGATACAATACCAGCAGCACAGGTACTCGCTAAAAACCCAGGCACGCGTGTTTCGCCGATATTCTGCCACTGCATGGCCCTGCATATTATGGTATCTTGTAGCCTTAAAATATACTACTAACTGCCTATCGGCAGTTAATAAATATTACGCGGTTATCCCGCCGTGGCTGATGGACTTCTGCCCCAATAATCACATCAGATTTCGGTCTGCGCCTAAAGACCCTAGTATACATTGACCTACCCTAAGTTCGTAGTTTTCTGAGGAAATTAAAAGGAAACAATACAATGCTTTCTTTACTAGCGCCAAGCCTCCTCTCACTATTCGGGATCTATCTCTAGGGTCGTAGCAGGCTAGGATCTGCCTGTTGCTTGGGCAACCGCGACGAACTAAATTGGGAAGAAACATCAGTGTTCGGGCAGGCGGCTGGTGGAGAAGGCAGTAAGCACCTCGTCTTAAGGGGAATGGAAAATAGGACCTACTTTCGTTTGCTACGTTTTTTGATTTTAAATATACAAACGGGCAGGTTATCGGTTTATGGTCTTCCTATCGGTGGGCATAGGCGTAATAAAAGAACACAATAAATTCATCTTAGTATCTCTTGGACGCTTTCAGTTTGTTCAGAACGCGAACAAAAACTAAAAATTAACCCATCCATTTCGGTTGCACTTTGTCTTTAATAGTTTTTGTCTTCTGGGTAGCCAGTAGTGCGCGATTTTGGAGTTTGTTTTAGGTAAAAAAAAAAGCGGCCGTCTTCAAAAGCATAACACTAAAATGAAGCAGAAAAGGGTTAAAAAATGTCATATGATTTAATAGTATCCAAACGAGGTTAAATCACTTCTCAGAATGGATAAGTTGACACAGCGACTAAGTCTCGAGAAGCTCATTTCTTGACTAAGTGTGTCATTGATTGAATGAGGCCAGACCAGAGTTCATGCCCACTGAATGTTTGAAAATTCCACGTGAACGGCCTCAGGTGTGTGGGGCGCAAAAAAAATGACGGCCAGCATTGTCTACTCGCGAATAATGTTGTATGCATATGTATTTTTGGAATTCGCAGCCAGACTACTTTATGACTCCAGTAAGGTACTGTCACGCCTCTTTAAAACAGGTCATGCGGCAGATGTACTGGGCCAATAGGGGACTGGATCGCGGTCCGGCATTCATTACTAAGAACGTGCATCCCATAACAAATGCCAAAATTAGGGGGTGCGGCGGCAGGTCCACATACAGGCTCGCATCGCGCAAATGGGATCCAAGTCGCCCGTCTCTTTTATGTAAAATTTTGGTCATTGTGCGTTGTGGACCAGGGGGTGTGGTGGTACTTCCATGTGCGGGTGATTCATCGCACCAATCACCTGCGCCCTTTCCCGCCTCCGGTCTCCCTGACTCTGTCTTGACACCGGACCTAGATGTGGCAGGAGGAGGAGGAGGAGGAGGAGGAGGAGGAGGAGGAGGAGGAGAAGGAGAAGGAGAGGGTTCGGTAGATGCAGCGCAGGCATACAGTGGCTAAAAACGATTCCACGTGCAAGTCACCGTCCCTGCTCTCACTCTGCTGTGGACCACGGGGCGTACGTCGTCGGACGGACAGCCGTACTGTCAAGGTGCAGTTGCACCTCTATGCACTCAAATACAGTCAGTAGAATATGCATGAATTTGAAGACAGTGAGTAACATATGTGCGACGACGCAGAGCAGAAAGTGCTCAACAGAAAAGCCGAATCCTAAAATTGGTTGTAGGTAATCGTGTTGTGAAAGACAATGCTGATTTAAAAAGGACAGAATGGTATTACCGACAAATACATGGGAGACTGGAAAGGCCATTTCTGGCTTATTAGCCGTCGTCAGCCAGTCATACCCAACCCCGAGGTTTGGAACACCAGGGGCTCGAATTAGCGACCTGTTAATTAGAAGTTCACGCCTCTAACCACTGGGCCACGGGCCCGTTGTCCTGTTGGTTTCACTCGGAAATATACAATGGTACGGAGCGCTCACTGATCGTTCTTACGGAACTCACTCGTTCCGTTGTGCCTTACGACGGCTAATAAGCCAGAAATGGCCTCTCCAGTCTCCCTTGTCTTTGTCGGCAATACTATTCTGCCCATATCATGTGCCGCTGTGCGGCTGCTGGTTGGGCTCGAGGGAGAGCCCGTAAGGCACAACGGAACGAGTGAGTTCCGTAAGAACGATCGGTGAGCGCCCCCTACGTTTAAATGGACAGTCTTTTTAAGCACAGCCCTGGTGCAGACAGTCACCATCTCGTTTGTAAATGAGTTTAATAGCCGGAATACTGGTTGACTGAAGTAAAGTTCTTGCTGATTCGTGCGCTCACAATCGCGTTTGACCTTGTACGGAAAGCTGCACATGCGAGTTTTGTCTGCAAGCTCAAAACGTCTTCAGCTTACACCGAACAACCACGCCACGGTGAGTGCAGATTGTCCAGACCAGGCTGCATCTTAACCGTCTATAAGAAAGGGGAAGTATTTCAAGCCAGATTGACTTAGTTGGTTATGACATCTTGAGATGTATCGTCTACCTGTATCTCCAGATGCCAAGACTCGAGAACAGATCTTGTTTGTAAACAAAAAATTTAATTCAGAACATTTGTCTGTGCTTACTTCATTTGAATTCGAGTTTGTCTCTACTATATGGCCACTGTCCTCATTACCACTGACTGGGTCTATAGGAGAATCATGTTTCCCTAAATTATTTCTCACTTGTAAATAGTCAGGCTGCACTCTCCATCGGTAAGTTTCTTTTTAAGGCGCGTCATTAGTTCGTGAGGTTTTATACGTTCCACTGGGAAGTCATGCGACTGGAAAACCTCATTTTCCAAGTTTCGGAGGTTGTTTTTCTCGACAGAAGTAACTTTAGCTCTTCTTTGATGTCCAAAAGGATTCCAACAGGCGCGATCGCACAGTTTCCGACTCTTCGCCAACCCTTTTCCAATGCTGAAAGCTGTACGAACGGTCACTCCCTTGTCAGAATAAGGCATCTTGTTCAGCTAGTGTTGAAACAGATTAACATCAGCGGACATCCTTACTTTCGGAGTATGAGCATTCGAATCAGTCAAACCCTGAACGATTACGCAATGTTGGCGATCAAGGGGATAGTTGGTTTTACTTCGACCGCACTGTCGACCGAAGGTCCTGAGGCATGCACCGGATTTGGCTTCGACTACAAAATAAAGCTGTGGAGTTTTGTTATCCTCCTAAACACACGGTCTTGTCTTCGCATTCACCCAGATGCTTCATATGCCACTCAGGGAATCTGGCAGAACCTGATGTCAACGGTTGTCCGGGCGAGCTAGTTATTTCGCCATTTTGGTGCACGAAAACTCCCATCATTCACATTTTAATGTGCAAACGGAGCAGTTCGTGAGACGTTAGTAACTAAGACCAGCAATATTTTTGTGTCATCGCCTAATGGTCTTGTGTATAAACCTGATCTGCTTTTAACGGAAGTTTAGTTACCGTAACACCAATGTCGCCACTGCGCATCTCTATACTTACAGGGTCGCTGCCGATACTTTAAAATGCCCCAAATCGATATGCTTCTAAAAGTTTTGCTTCCCACGATTTGACTTTTTGAGTCTAATACTTTTAACTTCATTCCAACCATCAGAGTTGTACCGCATGGGCGCCTTAAATTCGCAAGTTTGTTTTCGAATCCGTCGACTTTGGGCACGATATTTGCACAATCCACACAAGGTTTGTGCCTGCATACCACATCTCTTGTGACAATTACGCTATTTGCGCGCTTTCCTGGTTCTTCAACGTAGACACAAAGAGGGCGAACGCAAGTCCTGGATGCGCATGTCATCTCAGCATGCTTTTTTAACAAAGTGCCGGCGCTGGTTGTGTTACCGTCTTAATGTTGCGGAGAGTCCATAGAAATTAACTAATGGCACAGAAATCTTTTCAGTTTCAGGACTAACTAATACTTCGGACTGTATATGATGAGATGTGATGAATAAGTTTAATTCAATCGGCGAATAATGCCCCTGTCTATCCAAAGTTGCTTGAAAGATTAACGAAATTTCATGATATATGTTCAGAGGCAACTCAGTTGTTAGTACGTCTCGAGGCCTCTGGATAATTTTTGACCCACAAGAATGTTGGGTTTCTGTTCTTTTAGGCTGTAATTTGCCCGCGAGTTCGTTCCGTAGACAGTGTAGCGGCTGAAGACGTTGAGGGTAGCACACTCGGGGCGATATAAAACACTGGAAATAACTTCTGGCCTAGAACGAGCTGAAGATAGTTGTTAGGCACATCATTACACTCATTCAGACGATAAGGCACAAGAAGAATTTGGTGAGCACAAACGCACATATGATAGGAACGGTTAGAAATGCTGTATATAAGTAATAGTCAATAGTGCAAGAAAAAACGAATTGCATCAGGGACGTGACCCGTCTGGGTTGCACGGTGATGCCGACATGCTCGCCAAACAAATGGTGGGGAATGCAACATTGTTGGCAGCCGAAGAGCAGGACAATGAGACGTGCCGACGTAGAGAATGGGCGGGACGAGCATTGCGGATAGAGCGTTGACGATTGTGGCGAAGAGCACCGCTTGTTTTCGCCGACACGCCGTTACACCATCCCCATACTGGATCCGCGCCAAAAGTGTTCACTTATTCAAACAACCCACTCCTATACGTGGAACGTTGTGACAGTTAAACTTTACTGATAAAAATGGTAGTTGACTCAACTCCCTGACGAATTCCGGAACGAGGAAAGTCATCCATGAACGCGGGAACTAGTTGTGTACATACTGTCCCGACCCCAGTGTCTGAGACGATAGTTACGAAGTGGTATCCAAGCAGAAATAGTCCCAGTCGCAGCACAGAATAGTCCCGTCGTGTACAGTCGCGCTGTCCACTAGTGAGGCACATTTAGAGGGCTGTTTAACTCTTCCTGCCTCCGCACCCGAGTTCGCCTCAGGTCATCTTGGCATAGTGTTGCCATCGGAGCAAGGCGGTAGAGGGGGAGTGCGGAAGACGCTACGCAAATCTTCGTCACTATAAACCAATTAACGCGCAAGTCACTGTTCTGCGCCCATAAAGTGGGGGCATGCGGTGGACGTCGTTCTTCGCAGCCGCCGAACTGTCATAAACTTTCATTCTTTCACGAATGCGCGCTAAATACCACCTTGGAAGTTGGCGTGCAGCTCACTATGAACATCCTCGACTGCGGCTGCTCTGATTTCGGCCTGGCCATCGGTGCGCAGAAGACGATGGTCCCGCATCAGCCACTACCCGATGCTGACTGCACCGAACCCCACATCAGAGTCTATGGGACTCACGTCCCACCAGTGGACAAATTCCCGCACCTTGAAAGTACAATTCCAAGGAACATCAAAATCGCCGATGAAATCGCAAGTTAGACCCCAAAAGTCAAACGCCCCTTCGGGCAGCCACGGTATTCCTCCGAAAATCTTCGCGACATCTCATTCAACACAACACTAGCCACATGCACGGCTGGCTTGACAACTCTCCAGTACGAGGCGGAGACATGGACTGCCTATGAGGGCCAAACGAAGATGTCCAATTATTTTAACATGAAAATGAAGTGGTAGGAAAGGATCCGCGACACTGAGATCCTGTAAGGAACATGTGTCTTAGCACCCACGTCGTGCTGAAAAGATAAAAATGCGATGGGGACGGCCATACTGTGAGGATAAATGACGAACAATCGCCTGGAAAGCTGTCCTATGACGACATCGCCACAGCTACTCGCAGGCAGGGTGGGCAAAAGCACCCCGACAGGAAAACCCGATGAACCTTATTTAGGATTATCGGGCGTGGTTTATTGCTAATGACTGAAGGAGTCGTCTTCGAAGACAATGGAGAAATCACTGTCGAGGCAAAAAGAGAAACCCGCAGGGCTCAAGTGCTACGAGCCAGTGATGGAAACACCTTATTCATGCCATCCTTGCACACTGTTAACGGACGTTCGGAGCACAGATCGGCCTCGTCGGACATCTATGTATCCGGTGCGGTTTCAATGCTACCAGCCCCCTCTCACTTCAGAAGACATCAATATTACCTCCACTACCAGTATAGCCTGTGAGAACGCTCCGATATAACTGCATCATCAACACCCTTTCCCAACTACCAGCAAGACAGACCTAACTCCATTTCGTTCCCATTTTGACCACGCCTCCACAACACGGCTGGCCTGGTTAGCCATTTGCAAAACCATCATACTGAGACCGGCAAAACAGCACCGAATACATACGTCAGGCACTCCTCGCCTGTTCACACTGTCCCTGGATATTCAGCCGTCGTATGGGTTCATACGGTCATATGCACCTTCACGAAAGCCTTCGGTAAAAACCATTTTTATACCTCTTTCATCACACAGCGTCCTGCTTGCCCAAACACCGCCACGAGCTGCCTATGAACCTACTCCCAAACACGTACATACACACCGCCCCGTAACGTCAAATCACTCTCCTGTAGAAGGCGCGTAGTGGCGAAAATGTCGCGTGGCACGCAAACAAGGTCTGTTTAGCTCTGTTATTCACGGCGTTTGCTCCCACCCTAAGCAGTCTTGACATTTGCTCACAATCGGAGCAAATTGAACGAGGGAAGAGATATGGCAGTAAACTGCGCAAGTCGGGCCTCTGTGCCCGCCCCACTGAGCAGGCGTCTGGTATTGTTGCTTGCGACGGTAAAACTCTTAGTCCTCGGCATTAAATGAGACTGTCTGTGGAGCACAGAATAAACATCCAGGCGGGCGACGGCCGATCTGACCTTGGATTTACTGCTCCGTCAAATTCCTTAACCTTCCAAGAATCGTGGGGTTTCTACAAAAGTAAACAGGCACCCGCAAGGTTCCTTTTTGAACTCCCTTATGAAGTAAATTCAAATATATTTCCCCGATTTGATCCTTACGACCAAGCCTTGAGATAAATATCCTGGAAATATTCTTGAGCCAAGTAATTCACCCTCAAAATCAGTGCGCAGTCACCGGCTATGAAGTGTGATCAAAGATAACATCTTTCTACACTGTAACGGAAAGAGATATCACCCAATATTATGATCCAGTATGATTTGGAATATAAAAAGGTAGGATGTGGTGCCTTCGAGGACATTATTAAAACTGAATTTATGGGTGTTCGAACGAAAATAAACGCGCTAAAGGGGCGTTTTGAATAGCAGTGTCTGTGTGATGACACTTCATAACCGGTGACTGCGCACTGATTTTGAGGGTGAATTACTTGGCTCAAGAATATTTCCAGGATATTTATCTCAAGGCTTGGTCGTAAGGATCAAATCGGGGAAATATATTTGAATTTACTTCATAAGGGAGTTCAAAAAGGAACCTTGCGGGTGCCTGTTTACTTTTGTAGAAACCCCACGATTCTTGGAAGGTTAAGGAATTTGACGGAGCAGTAAATCCAAGATCAGATCGGCCGTCGCCCGCCTGGATGTTTATTCTGTTCTCCACAGCGTGGTGAGCGCAGGACGATGACTTCCATATGAACTGGTATACCTGTATGGCACCTGTTGCACTCCATCCTCTCTCACCCGCCCGACCCCAGTACCAAGACAGAGTCAGGAGCATCGTAGGCGTGGTTGCTCGCAGTAGCTGGCAAAACTAACTAGCTCGTCTACGACTGTCATACACGGCCAGCCAGCGCACGATAGACAAGGCTTTTACAAAAGTAATGGCAGCTTTGAACTCACAATCGTGGTCGTGCCGAGGAGGTCACATTAAAAAGGAGCCATTGAACGCGACTCTTGGTCCAAGGGTAAATAATTTCACATGCACAATTTGACCGTCGTGACCGACGATTCCGTCGTGTGTTCTACAGCAATCTTGTGAAACAATATCTTACAAAATTTTCAGTATGGCTTCTGAAGAGGACGTTCCTGCCTCTCAAATTCGCTGACTTGTCTGCAGGTCAGGACTAGGACTTTAGATGTCCTGTACGTCTATGTTCAGTTCAGTTCAGTTCAGTTCAGTTTATTGAGGGAAATAGGCGTAAGCCTTTGAGTACCTTATTTGCAACGTAAAAAATGTGTGGTATACAAATAGATGTTCTGGGCTGAAATAGTTCGAACACGCCCATAATGGTGGGACAAAATGAGAAGGAGGTACAGGGGGTGAGCTCGACTTCTCATCGCTCTTGGTCATTTCGGAACATAAATATGTCCAGATTCTTCTTAAAACTTTGTATAGATGGTGACATCACAACATCTGCAGGAAGCTCATTCCACGGTTTGACCACCCGAACCGAGAAGGAGAACTTCCGCACATCCAGCCGTGCCTGCTGAGTGCGCAGTTTTAACGGGTGACCTTGGAGGTTGGTCGTGGTAGCAAATTCAAAAAAGTCCTCGAAGGCCAGACTGCAATCCAACCCCTTTACAATGCGGAAGGCTTGCAAGAGCTCTCCGCGAAGTTGCCTGTAACTCAAAGGAAAGAGGTTCACATTTACTAGGCGGGTTGCATAAGGAAAGGAGCTTTGACCCCTAACCATCTTCGTGGCTCTCCTCTGGACTCTTTCGAGGCAGTTTTGATCCACAACAGCCCACGGCCTCCAAGCTTGTATGCCGTACTCTAAATGCGGCCGGACGAATGTTCCGAATGTCTTAGAGAAAGCTTCTTCGTCAAAGTCCATAAACGCACGCTTGATGGCGTACAGTACGGACATTGCGCTTTTTGCCACCCTCGAACAGTGGGCGGATGGTTTTAGGGAACTCGTCATAAGCGCACCGAGGTCCTTTTGGGCTTCGACCTCTTGTAGAGCTGCACCGCCCAGAAAGTAGCCTCTTGTGCTGGCGGATCTGGCTGTGTTGCCTAGGCGATGTATGCTACATTTGGCAACGTTGAACCGCAGGAGCCAACGGTTTGACCACTCCTCCAACCGATTCAGGTTCATCTGCAGTCTGTCTTCATCGGCAGGACCCCGAATTACACTCCATATCTTCATGTCATCCACAAACATTGCTACTTCACAGTCTAAATCTCTTGCGGCATCGTCCACGTAGATAAGGAACAAAATAGGTCCCAGTACTGAACCCTGGGGGACAACACTATCGACCATAGCCGGATCTGATTTCCCCCGACCGACGCACACAACCTGCTGTCGACCCACAAGGAAGTTTTCGATCCATTTATGGAAGTTGCCACCGACCCCTATTTTTTTCAGCTTATGTATCAGTCTTTGGTGTGGCACAGTGTCGAAAGCCTTCTGGAAGTCGATGAAGGCTATGTGGACCGCGTGCCTGTCGTCGAGAGCTCGGGTCCAGCTCTGGAGAGATTGCAGCAGGTTTGTCGTGCAGGATCTTCCTTTTCAGAACCCATGTTGGCATTTCGATAGCAGGCCGTGAACTTCCAGGAATTGCATCAGTTCACACTTTATGATCCTTTCCATAACTTTGCAGAGAATGCATGTCAAGCTTATGGGCCGGTAATTTGTCGTCGCTGCCCTGTTACCTCCTTTGTGTAGCGGAGTAATATGCGCCAGTTTCCAATCGACAGGAAGTGTTCCAGTGTCAAATGACGTTTGAAAGAGCATCGACAAAGGCACAGAGAGCTCACGGGCAAGTTCCTTCAGAAGCTTCGATGGAATCTCGTCTGGTCCTGGCGACTTCGATTCGTTCAATGCCTCTAATTCTCTTCGGACAATGCCTTCTGAGAAGAGTATATCACTGACGCTTGGAGTCGGCAGTTCTTCTGTGGAGGGAGGAAGGAACCTTGCCTCGTTTGTGTAGACTGATTGGAAAAACCGTGAAAAATACGCAGCTTTATCCCTACTATCAGCGATCTCAACGCCATCAGTAGTCTTTATCAAGGGGATTTGATGCCTGTTCCTTGTACTTCGTCGGAGGTAGCTGTAGAGCAATTTTGGGTTCTGCGTTGCTTTTTGTAGCAAGTTCTTCTCGAATTCCCGCCGCGTCTGAATTATTAGCTTCCTCAGTTTGTTCCTCTGTGTCTTGTAGATGTTAAAGCATTCAGCTTGTCTAGTGACGCAGTATTTTCTCCACAATTTGTGCTTCCTGTTGATTTCTTTCTTGAGGTTGCTATTTAGCCACCCAGGGCGTTTTTTCAGTCTTACACTAGTCAGTGGGCAGTGGTTGTTGATGAGCTGCAGAAGGACATTCTTGAACAGCTCCCAGTCATCGTTGGCACTTCCCGTAAACAAAGAGCCCCAGTCAAGACCGGATAAGTCTGCCCTCATCTGATTGAAGTCGCCCCGCCAAACATTACGCCTTTTGTGGTCTGGAGTGTGTGAAATGGAGAATAACGAATAATCCCGCATAAGCACTACGTGGTCACTTCGGCCAAGGGGCGGCATGGAGGCGATCTCGTCTATGCTGTCTGGTGTTTTCGTAAAGACCATATCCAGGCAGTTTGCCCTTTGTCCTTCACGTGTTCTCGTTGGGAACATTACATGTTGTGTGAGGCACGCATTTAATGTTTTGCTCAACAGGCGGTAATTGAATGCCGATTTTGGACCTGACGCTTGGAGGGTATTCCAGTTTGTTCCTGGTGCGTTGAAGTCGCCCATGATCATGATGTTAGGTCGACTGGAAAATTTCTCCAACTGCTCCAATAGTTGAGCGTCGGCGATTCGGTCTGTCCTAGGTGGTCGGTAGACAGTAAGGACATCGAGACACGGGGAACCGGTAGCCTTGATGGTCAACCAGATAGCTTCCGTACTGCACGCAAACTTGATGGTGTTATCCGACACTGCCAGACCGTCATTCACATACACAACTATACCACCACCCTGACGATGTTCCCTGTCCCTCCGATAAATTTGGTATCCAGGCAAGGCTACTTCGTTATCGCTAATATTCCCGGACAGCCAGGTCTCAGTTACTGCTAAAACATCTGGAGACAGCTCAACAAGGCAAAGTTTTAGTTCGTCTTGTTTCGATATGAGGCTTTGGGCATTCGTGTACAAGCACCTCAGTTTAGCACCAGCTGAATTTCCCGTTGCATTTGTTACTGCTGTGAGCATTACTCCGTTATTGCGGACGTCGTGTTCTCTAGGCTCTTCCGTTACCTGATTGGTTCCATTTACATGCCTTGTTTCAGTCAGATCACTGGACGCTACGGGCTCACTTGTGTTGGCGCCTTGATCAGGTGGTTCAACGAAGGTGTCTGTTTTAGCTGAGTAGCTGTCATCGTTCGTAGTATTACAGGCTGGTTTCACTGAAACGGCATATATTTCCGAACTACCTTCCCCTTGAAGATAGCCAGATTGTGTTCGCCATCCTTCAGTCTTGATTTTAACTCCAAGACAAGTTCCTGGCGTTTCAACCGTTCCGCTGGTGAATAGTCCGGTTGAAAAAAAAACCTGTTTGTGCGTGTTTCTGAGATCGGTTTTTTTAGAGAGGATAAACTTGATTTGCTCTTTGTTCTCCAGCATAATTTTGAGAGGGCGAGGTGGTTGTGCTACTGTCCTGTCTTCACTCCTTTTTCCTATCCGGAATGCTTTCAGAACCTTTATTTCCATGTCTGCCGGCAGTAAATGATTTAGCAGGCCATGAAAAGAAGCAACGTCCTCTGAGACACGGTCTTTAGGTCTGACTGCATTCGATTCTGACAAACCCTGAATAACCAGACACTGCTGGCGAGCATGGTCCTCCTTACTCTGTCTTTCCGGTGAATCCGCTGCATGTGGGCGAGGACGATTTACGGAGTCATCGCTTGGACGCACACTTTTACTGTCTACCGACTGTCCCGAGCAACCCATCAGGGCTGGCTGGGACTTCAGAATCCTGTCATGGCGTTTCCCTCTCCTCTCTACCCACTGGTTTATGTCTTCACATTCAGATACGTGCTCTGTAGTGCGCTCGGGGTGGTTGCCAGAACAAGAGGGCAACAGTAGACTGGATGACCCAGGTATATCTTCTCCAGGCAAAAGAGAGATTCCGTCACTTACAACAAGAGGCTTAGACGATATGGCTTCCGCGTCAGGTAATTTTTCTGTGACATCGCTTAAGACATCTTCCATGGGAACCGAGTCTGCCCTTACCGGCGGCTTCTTTTTCGTTGTCCTGCTATTACCGGCGTCTGCAGTTTTGGCTACTGAGTTGCAATTCGCGTTTAAAGATGCCCCCGAGGAGATATTTTTTCGCGTTTTTTGCGTTTTGCTCTTCGTTTTTGGGATTCTAACACTGGACACGTTCTGGCCGACTACGGTCTGTTGCACGAGCGTCCTTAAATCAGCAAGCTCCTTTTCCAGTTGCTCTACTTTGATTTGAATATCTGCGCACCCACCACAAGGCTCGTCTTCGTACCTAACACTTTTTGCGGTATTTACGCTTTTTGCACGCTTTGCTGGTCGTTGGCTGGAGGCGGAGGTAGAGCGAGCACAGACTCTGGATGCGAAGGACAACTCACCGGACTTATCTTCCAAAGAGGTGCCGTCGCTGGCCGTACTACTACAGTTAGCCTGCTGAGAATCCATAACCTTCGACGTGATATAATAGGTATAATTCCGCTTTCGATGTTATAACGAATACGTCGGCTTATATATTATGAATTTAAGTGAGTATTCAAAACTCAATAAGCGAAAAAATACTTAAAATCCGATAAATTTTGTTGAATTTAATCAGAAGCGACTTAGCCCTTTCCAGATCTCGTGGGACTTGAATAACTGCAGACCTTGAAGGATTTTGAGCGATTGGTTTACTAGGCTGTATACCGTGAAACGGTTGCGTAGCCAGTTGCGTTGCCAGTTGAACCGTGCTGATAAACAAATTGCACTTAATCCAGGTTCCAGACGAATTTCGATGCGTGAAAAAATATTCCAAAAATGCACAAAGTTAGTCTGTACGTACGGTTCCAGTATCAATGTCAGAGACTGTAACTGTGGAATGGTATCCAAGTCGAAATTGTCCCAGTTGGAGCGCAGAATAATTCCGTCGTGCTCAGTTGGGCTCAGTTCAAAAAGCATTCGACATTGTCCCGCACAGACGCCTTCTTCATGAACTGAGAACCCTCAGCATTCGGGGAGATCTTCTGGGCTGGATAAGAGCGTTTCCGGTTGATCGAAAACAGCGTGTTTGGGTCGAAGATGACATGTCATAATGTGTGAACGAGACTAGCGGTGTGCCTCAAGACTCAGTTCTATGACCCCTATTTTTCATTCCTTAAGTTAGTGACAGTCTTCGAGAACTCGACTGTCTTAAAATAGTGTTTACCCACGAAGTTAAACTCTGGCAAGGCATCTAGAGTTTGAATGACCAAAGAGCCCTTCAAGATAACCTGCACCAACTACAAACGTGGTCCGAGAAATGGCTTCTGGATTTCAATAAGCAGAAGTGTATCGTCCTTCATCTGCGTCCGGCTAACTGTTACTCAGACGGCAGCGTGAAGGCATATAACCTGAAAGACATTACTCTTCCCGCAGAACCTTTACCGGGGGATCTTGGTGCTTGGATATAGAGAAAAATTAAACCAGGACTGAAATCCATCAAGGCTGCAAAAACGCCATAGGAGTACTCCATGCGATCAAAAGGGTGTTTGCAATTTTTGGGAAAACTTTTTGGGAGGGTTTACGACGCCTTTGCTCGGCTTCATCTAGAATATGACATAGAAGCGTGACGGCTATGGCTAGCAAAGGGCCAAACATGCCTCGAAATGGTACAACACAGCGTAACGGAGCTGGTAAAGGATTTAAAAAACCGGTCTTTCATGAAAAGACTGAACTGCCTTTACTTATTCCCACTGTGTTACAGGCAGCACAGGTGTGATCTTATCTTTGTTTAATGAACGACGCATGGCCTTGAGCATGAACTGGGTTTTGAGGACGTGTTTCAGTGGCACCTTCCGCCCAATCTTCGTAGCCACTAGATGAAGCTACGCACACAAATGTCCAGGATGAACCTTCGCTCTGCATTTTTACACAAAGAATAGCAGAGAAGTGGAATGATCTCCCTCAATCAGTTGTGGTCCCTACAGCTCTTCAAGAAACGCCTGGATGATTATTTGTGTCCCTTGTTTTCCCCCGACAGTCTGAGTCTGAGCTAGATACCCCGCAACCCCAGGATATTAGCTTTAAAAAACAGCGCTACTTAAATTCGTCGAATACTGTTTTAATAGCGACCATTTTAACAGACCGTATACAACTATATCTAAAGACTGGTATATACTCAATTGGGTTTTCAAAGGCCTTACCTATTATCTTGACCAAAGAAACTGAAATAGACGGAAAAAGCAGAGCAAGAGCAAGAACGATGACTTCCGCGCTAATTAATTTAAAGTGATGGTGGACCTGCGCAACATTTACCGCTCTCTCTTTCTCCCAAAATGAGCCCAGTGTTAAGATGAAGTCAAGAAAACCTGAGACAGGAGAGGGCGCAGGTGGCTAGCACGGTGTTGCTAGTGGCGGTCGTGCTGGTCATATGGAACTGATTTGGCCAGGGAAGAGAGAGTTGGTGAATGTGCGAGATGTTAGGTGTGTTAAGTGTGTCGATACTGCGGCGACTTCTACTGCTGTGGGTGTGCATGTGACTGAATAGGCTCGTGCGGCGAAGGAATGTGCGTGGGTAGTGAGGGTGGGTGCGATGAGTGCATATGGGGACATATGGCACGGGTGATCTGGCTGCATTGCGCTGGACTCGCAGGTGGCCCGACGGCTAATGTAGCCCTTGTGCAACCTCTTTTTCTGCGAACATGTGGTTGATGTCTACTATGTTGTCGTCGCGCCCGTCCTGGTGTTAAGGATGTCTTAGGACGTCCAAGGCAGTGTACTGAAGTCCTCAATTGATGCCATTGAGTCTCGACGGTGGCGCCGTCGTCCAGGGCCGACAGTTATTCCAGATGCTGGGTTAATTGACTGCCGAAATGTAAGCGGTGAGCAAACAAATGCAGAAGAACAATATTTAGATTACCGAATGGTCACTTACCTAGCGGTCTCCTGCGGAGTTCCAGTTGGAGCCTGATGTTGGGGATGACGAGGCGGTAATCCGTCTAGTCGTCGACAACGCCGATGACCTTGGTTTCTAGCACGTCCCATCGATCTCACTTGCGGACGAGGATGTAGGTCAACAGCTGCCAGCGTCGCGATCGGGGTACATCCAGGCTGACGTCTTCTACATTAGAAGGTAGAATGCGTTGTTATGGAGAAGGCGATGTTCTGTGCAGGCTCACAGGAGAAGGGGACCATTGTCGTCGCTGCCGCCGAGCTAATGGAGTCCCAGCACTCTCTTCCAGACAGCGTGGTCTTTCCCGTCGCGGACATTGATGTCATTAGGGACAATCATTTTGTCCTCCCTGCTGCATTTGCCAGGAGGGCGTGCTAGTCTTCGTAGACATTCATCCTCTCCTCATGGGACCAGGGTATTGGGGGCGTACACATTGATGGTGGTGGCGAATTTGGCTTCCCGAGGAGGTAGGTGCAGGCTCATTACGCGGTCGTTGATGCCCTGCGGCAGACAGAACAGTCGTCCCACGACGTCGCCCCGGGTGACAAAGACGATGCCTGCATCACGTCGCTCCGCCTATGTATAGCCGCTTCAGAAGAAGGCGTAGCCTCATCCCCCCTCCCCATTTGGTCCTATTCGAAGAAGTGGATCTCACCGAGATCAACCACGTCTATCCTGTAACGCGCCAATTCTCGAGAGACTGGCTCAGTTCTCTGCTCTTGCCGACTGCTCCTCGGGGCTGTCTAAAAAGGAAAGAACATTCCAGACTGCGGAATGAATGGACTCACTCTGACAGCCTGTGTGCTGAGGCAGAGGGTGGAACGAGTGTGGCTCTTTTTTGTCGCAGTTTTTCGACCGTGGTTTTTGCACCTACAGTCCATAGTATATTAGCAGAGGGTGCGATTTCCCAGCATTCTAGGGCATTTCTAAAGTCTCTTCTCCCGCTAGGGATTAAGTTGCGCTATCCCTAAATAGGACTGCTGGAACATCCCAGACGGCTGTTGAACTTCATCATGGGGTACGGCTTCGTTTAGCGGAGAGCAGCCCGAGTTAGTCTGCGTTGCCTACCGGGACTGCATTTTGCTCCTCAGCAGTACCCCTTGAAGTTGGTTGGGGGAGGAAGGGGGAGGGGAGGGGAAGAATTGAGGACGGGAATTGAGTTACCATGTGTGGAGACACACAGCATCGGATACCCTCGTTTGGCTTTGCCTGTCGGTCGAGACAGTTATCAAGCCGTGACCGCTACGCAGAGCCTAGCTAAGGGGGGTCACAGATGAAAGTTGGTGTCATTTGGCGACCGTGACGAGCAGTCACCAATTACATGCTTCTAATTACCACTTATTCAGCTGTCTCCTACATGGCCACCCCTACGCCCCACATGCATAGACGTGCGTTCGACCGTCATTACTGACGATGCCCACCGTGTGCTCCACAGCAATTTGGGAGCGGGGACGGTGAGATGCGCGAGAATTATTCTAAAATGATAGCGGACTTTTGGTGTATCTATCGCACTCCCTCCTCCCAGGTCTGGGCCCGGCGCCACGATAGAGTGAAACAGGCCGGAGGCGCGAGGGGGTGCATGTGGCTGACACGAAAAATAATCCTAAACTAGGCGTACCACCAAAGGTCCTGGTCCAAAACGCACATTGACCAGAAGTTTACACAATAAGAAAAATGGGGGAACAGTGCGAATCCCAGCTTATACGGTGTGAGCCGGCACTTTGGCATACCGCCACGTCCCAATGTTTGCATTTGTTATGGGTGCGCATCCCCGATATTGTCTCTCAGACTCCGATCTAGCCACCTATTTGATTCAACTCATCTACCGCCTGGCTCTTTTGAGGGACACACATATATACAAGCGATTCTGATGTGATAACGGACATCACATGTGGGCTAACGAGAGTTACAAACGACCGCTTCAGCTAAAGCTGACCTAAAGGCAGAAGAGGGTGTTCAGAAGTTGGTGGAATGAGGAGGAGACGGAAGGAGGATCACTGAACCGGATTTCCGACCATTGCGACCTACTTACTTGTCGGAGTTACAAATACAATGAGTGGACCGATTAATATTTGGCGGACGAGACAAGAATTTACTTGACAAAAAAAATTAGTTTTTTGCTCAGTCGGTGGAAGATCACGACAAGGGAAGTCTTCGTCTTTTTCAGATCATTAAAAATACCTTCATGGTGAGCAAAGATGGAGTCAACCTCAGTTGACGGAAAAGCTTGACTAAACGAGATAGATTTTTTCTAGACGAGGAGACCGTTTTGTATCCGCTATTTTACGGTTAAAGCCGCATGAGCGATGAACTAAACAGCGACCTCGACTGGTTGTCTGGACTTAGGACTATTTTAGAAAGAAAGTAAAGATTCCGTTTCTACCGATCATATGTCCAAATGGTCATCACGTTAAGGAGAGGATCAAGACATTTTCAGTCCATAGAGGACATGCCTGACATATGGCCATCGAACAGTTTACCAAGAATGGGAAGAACTGGGCCAGCATTTAGCATACAGTCATTACAGTTAAATAATGAAGACGGGTAGATCGAGTCGTATATCACCAACGACTGGCTCAGAAAGGCAATTTAGGTTTCAGAAAGTATATTTATTAGAGCAGAGCTTGGTCACAGAAGCCCACGGCTTCGGACGACCGGCGACTTTTGCCCTCACCTTATTTCTAATTACGCCTTAACTGAGTAAAATGCCAAGCAAATTTGGCGACAGTATTTCAAAAAAATGGACGGTGTAAAGACTTACACCATTAAGGACAGTTAGAATTCCTAAAATGCGAACCGTAGAACGCAGAACGCTAGTAAACAGGCACCGTCTACCGAAAATCCGATAAACTGCAACTACTAATTCTAAAGGATCGTCAGCACAAGATACTACTTTCTGGGCGGTGCAGCACTATCAGACGTCGAAGTCCAAAAGGACCTCGGTGTGCGGACGACGAGTTGCCTAAAACCCTCTGCTCATTGTTTGAGTGGCAAAAAGCGCAATGTCCGTACTGTACGCCATCAGGCGTGCATTTATGGATTTTGACGAAGACGCTTTCTCAAAGACATTCGGAACATTCGTCCGGCCGCACTCGGAGTACGGCATACAAGCCTGGAGACCGTGGGCGGTTGATGATCAAAAATGCCTCGAAAGAGTTCCGAGGAGAGCCACGAATATGGTTAGGAGTCAAAGCTCCTTTCCTTATGCAACTCGCCTAGTAAATCTGAACCTCTTCCCTTGGAGCTACAGGCAACTTCGCGAGGATCTCTTGCAAGCATTCCGTATTGTAAAGGGGTTGGATTGCAGCCTGGACTTCGAGGACTTTTCTGAATTTGATACAACGACCAATCTCAGAGATCACCCGTTTAAACTGCGCACTCAACAGACAAGGCTGGATGTGCGGAAGTTCTCCTCCTCTATTAGAGTGGTCAAACCATGAAATGCCCTTCCCGCAGATGTTGTGATGTCACCATCTATACAGAGCTTTAAGAAGAATGTGGACGGACGAGATTCCGAATTCGATTATTAAACAAGCGCCCGACCTTCCCATATTGCTCAGTCATTTATTCTCGGCTTATATTTCAAAAGGATTCTTTCCTGAAACATGGAAAACGTCAATTATCATTCCTGTCTTCAAGTCTCGATCTCGGTCCGATGTTAATAACTATCGGGTCGTGCACAAAACGCCGTCTCTAGCAAAACTTCTTGAAAGGATTATTTTCAATGAAATTCTTGACTTCTGTCTAGCTAATCGGCTTCTGAGCTCTAGCCAGTATGGATTTTTACCTGAACGATCCTGCGAAACATGCCACTTGGCTTTTCTTAATCTAATCACTTCTCTTCGTAATGAGCGGCAGTCAGTGGTAGTTATTTACTTTGATCTTAGCAAAGCCTTTGACAAGGTGCCCCATAGACGTCTTTTAGTAAAATTGGAATCTCTCGGCATCCGGTCGCCTCTACTCGACTTCATAAGGTCCTATCTGTCCAACCGATATCAGAAAGTCATCGTCGGTAATAGCTACTCGACACCCCACTCGATCACGAGTGGCGTACTTCAAGGCACGGTTCTGGGTCCGCTACCCTTCCTTCTGTACATCAATGATATTTCGACTGGACTCGGAACTTCGCAAACTTTTATTTATGCCGATGACCTCAAGTGTGTTTACTCATATTCTAAGGACACCGCAAACGTTTGTGTTGAAAAAATTAATGCCTATTTACTACGTTTAAGCAGATGGGATTCAACGCGGCAGATGGAGTTTTCATCATCCAAGTGTAGTCTCATGTCTTTTGGTCCTACCAAACTTCCTGGTCCCATAATTTTTCAGAATAACCCACTCTCAGAATGCCTCACCATAAAGGACCTAGGTCTAAGTTATACAAATAAACTTGCTTTATCACCTCATGCAGATAGAATCTCTGTCAAAGCCGCGCAGATATGTGGATTCATATCGCATAATTTTTTCCTTCCGGAAATGAAGCTAAGACTTTATCAAATGTTTGTTCTTTCACTCCTCGAATATTGCTGTCCTTTCTTCGGTTTAATGAACGCCTGCGACCGTAATAAAATCGAAAATGTTCAGAGGGTTTTCACCCGGAAACTGTTCTCTCAAGCTTCGTCCAGTATTTCTTATACTCAGAGATGTCAGCTGGCGAACATGAAGTTTTTGTGGGTTAGAAGACTCGAAGTTGGCCTTTGCTTTCTTTTTCGCGTCAACTCTAGCTCCAGTCTTCCGCACATTGACACTCTCACTCCGAGAGATCGGTCTTATGCCACGCGCAACTCCTGCATGGTGATTCCGCCGCCTCTTTGTACTACATCTAAGCGCTCCCTCTTCTTTGCTTCTAAATATGCCTTCCTTTGGAATAATCTTCCGCCTGAAATTAGATTATCGCCTAGGTTACTGATATTCAAGGTGAAATTACGCAACCATCTTACACCGGAAAGCATAAAGGCACTGTTAACGGTCTCATTGCCGAACACTCAGATTCTTGACTTCGAGAAGGGTCCTCCTGGGATTTAGTGGTAGATTAAGTGGTAACTCTTAATTATATCATTAGAAACCCCTGTTTTGAATTGGTTTCTAAATCCACTGCTATCACTCCCCCCCCATAGCGACAATTTTCGCGGTTTTTAATGTCATCTCCCGCATTCCGACCTCATGCGGTCTGTCGATGCTTACGGCGGAACCCTCAGTATTCACTGTCTACTAGTAGTTCGGTCGTACCTCCCTTCCTCACTGCTCGGCTGAGCTCGAAGCGTACTGTGGCCGATCGCATCTCAGTTCCTCTCGTATGGCCTCTTTGACGCGGCGTACCAATCCGGCCCAGGCGATCTCAATTGTGAATCCGTATACAATGCTATGTGCAAGCCAGTCCTGTCTGACCCACATTCGTACCCATCAAGGCTGACATTTATTGCTACCCTGACGATGACCGACAACATTCCGTTATATACCGCCACCTACAGGCCAGTCCTGCTCGCTTTTTTCTGTTATTATTTTTATGGAGGGTTTTTTTTCTCCTGTAAAATCAATCCAATCATTTTTAACTTTTTTAAGGAGTTTTTTTTCACCCCTCAATCATCATGTTTCTCAATGGACTTCTAATTCAGAAACTATGAATTGCATTTTGTAAGGATTCGGCCTACCTCGTCTAAAATTCGCATGCAAATTTATTTTAACTTGCTTTGATGGGACCCCGACGGGTCTTTAATAAAAAAAATTATCTATCTGTCTATCTATATTTATGTTCTGAAATGACCAATAGCGATGAGAGCTCGAGCTTAGCCCCTGTAACTCGGTCCCATTTTATCTCACCATTATGGGCTCGTTCCAACTATTTCACTCGAGAAGTTTTTCTGTACATTCGACATCGTTACGTTAAAAATAGGATACTCGAAGGCCTACGCCTACTTCTCTCAATAAACTGAACGGAACTGAACCTCGAAGTGTGCACGCGTTCCTTTTATTAGTTTTAAGCTCAGTTTATTTCCTGCAAGTCCAATTACTCGTAGCGATCGCCGCTCTGTTGCAACCTACGCTGCTTTGTTACCGTTTCTTCCTTTTTATTCTGTTTTGTTTCGGGCGTGGCTGCACAGTTTGACTTTCAAAACGTGCCGTCTCTGCTATGTGCTTGGCTTCCAATCATTAATGAAATTAAATACCATCTACAACGACGACCATAAGGTGTTTCTATTCCTTGTTGGCGCTACCAGATAAAGTTCAAGATCTCCAAGATACACCGAAGCAGGAACTGAACTTGATTATCTTTAATTCCTGTTAAGGAAAATAGGGATTTTTTGATGCAGGGGTTATGGAGAGAAATGCGTTTATTTTGGTAATGCGTCCACCGATTGGGCCACAGGGCATACTCATCCATTTGCGCCTTAAGGTTGAACTTAGAACCCTACAAGCAGTAGCACGGCGGACGGTGGTATATGCAGTAAGGGAGTATCCAGTCTCCCTTCTCATTATCTATACTCCCCTTCCACTTATTACGATGCGTTTCAACGAGATGCAGTTGTAAAAGTGCGAGAATGCAACCTTTCGAATCGGGGTTCAAAGTTATAGAGGTTGATGGAAAGATCAAACTTTTAAATATTTGCTGGAGCATTTGACCTTACGCGTGTGTTAGCGTACGCCATATGTCCAAAGTCTGCTTCGCTAACATAATTGTTTTAGTTGGTAATTAAAGAGGGCAATCTTCCAATTTTCGTAGTGTCCAGTGGTTAACCCGCTTGCTGCGTCCTTGCGTCTGTTTGATTATGGACGCCCTAATACGTCTGGCACACTTAAGGGAGGAAGATCTTCTCGGGCTTTCTGAAAAAGTTGCTGAGAACCTTGCCATCGCATTCGATAGTTTATCCAACGAGGTTTCTGAACTTAAGAATCAACTGCAGAAGTCGGAGTCCGATAAAGGTATTTTAGACGTCCCCCATATTGTCTTTTAGACGAAGCCGTCAAGTCACTACGGGAAGCTTGTGACAAGTATGCTGAGGAGAATTCGTCAGTCAACGAAAGCTTACAAACTTTGAGGACTGCATTCGATGCCCTGGAAAAAAGACACATCAGCCTTGTAAACGAAAAAGATGACTACGCCAAGAAGCTTAGCGATGGACTTTCAATCTCAAATGAACTTGAACTAGTCATCAAGAATCTGGAAAATGACAAGGAGAGTCTGTCAGAACAACTATCACAGAGGACCAACGAGCTAGAAGGGCGTGTTGCTGAAGTAAAACGTCTGAAGGATGAAGTTTCGGCTACAAGACAGATGAAGGCTGATGCCATTCTCCAACTTGAAGAAGCAAAAGCATTGAAGTCTACAGTCGAGGTATTTTTTTCTTCCATATTTATGTCCCAGTTGCGTGGAAAAAAGGCAGAAGAAGGCATGGAGGCCATACGCAAGCACAATGCTTGGCTGGAAGAGCAACTTAATGAGGCAAATGACAAGCTTCTCTCCATCCGGCGAGATAACGTAAGCCCTCTTATCTATCTTTACTCCTTTCCAGACTGAGAAATGTCTCGCGCTTGAAAGTGAGCTGTCCACCCGGAAAACAGAAGTATGTTGGTCCTTATCACACTGATTGTGTCCCAGTTTGAGAATTCACAAGCAACTATTCTGAAGTTAGAAGATCTGGTAAAAAAATTGACTGAATCAAATGAGGATCATATTGAAAAGTTGAAGCAGGTAATTAAAATGGTTCTATAACCTGCTCTCCATACTGCCCATTTTTATCTGCTTGTTTTATTTAGAGAACTGATGAGTTGATAAACATGGAGCAACTTCATGCAAATGAACTTGGTGCCCAGAAGCGTCTGACTGATTTGTACAAGGTAACAATCTTCTAATCAATCGATTGAATGACAAGGAACAAGCGGCAGAGGCTGAGAAAAAAGTTGAGCAGATGCAGAAGGCCGTGGCCTCGATGCAGGAATTACTAAAAGCTGGACACGAGCGTAAGACTCTTGCAATATCCGAGTCGGAGCTTTCTAGACGTTCTTCAGTTACAGTCTGAAAAGGAAGCTCTTTTGAGTGCTTTTACAGAGGAGAAATATGACCTTTTGGAAAAAAACAATACCCTGACACTTGAACTGAATTCTGCCAAAGAGATAGTTGAAAAGTTTAGGATTCAAGGTTAGATTTTTATTTCCAGCCAATTATAACTCCTTAGGACTGTCTGAGGACGAATTGCGCAAACTCAACCCAGCAGTTGCCACAACTATTGCCTCGTTAAAGAGGGGTCGGAGCCTGACTCAAATTTATTCAGATTACGTGCAAGTTGTGGAAGAACGAGACATGCTTAAGTTAGACAAAGAGCGCCTCACGGAACACGTTCGTGAAATGGTCGCTCAACTTGAGGAAAAGGGTCATTGATTTGTTTTTGCTAAGCTTTTTACAGGCCCTCTTTTACGGTCTCAGCAAGAAGCATTTATCAAGTCGAAGTCGCGGGTTGAGGAGCTTGAGCATGAATTGTCAGTATTGCAGAATGATTGCAAAGAACTCCGGGAAAACTGTGAAGATTACAAACGCCGTTCTGGCTACTTCCAACGTCAAAATTTGAGGCTAAAACAGAGTTGCCGAGATATGTCAACACAGGTCAGCTTTTGGAACTGTCAACTTTTTAATCTTACGCACTTATTTTCGAGGTTATTTTGACTAATCTCTTAGAATATTATACAAAGTCGGCTTTATTGGGAATGGTGGCCTATGTCAAGATAACCGTTTCTTATATTGAATTGAGCCAGATAAACCCGCCTGTCTTTTGGGGTTAAAGGATTGTAGGCTGCACGAAGGTTAACTGGTCAACCTGTTAGGCTTCCTTCTTATACCTTCCGTTTTTGTTATCACCTTAGCCCGAAGAAGGTGAATTCGTCTACTTCCGTGCTTTACCGTTTGAACCCCAAGTTAGTAGGAAAGTTTCTTTGTTCCCTGCATAGCGCCTCCTACACTCAGGATTTCACTGTGATTCGCAATTTATGGCTCTGCTTACCAAATGGTTACGCGTCCTCTAACCACCCTACTTTCCGGCATTAGTCATCAATTTTTCTCCTGCTTCCGTGGTGTCGATCCTTTTTGAGCCAACCTTTATTTCCCTCCAGGTGAAAACTCTTATTCGTGAATTGGAAATCGCCCGCGGGACGGTTATTCGCTCTGACAACTCCGAGTCCGACCATCCTGATAGTAGTAGTAACAGTGACCGTCTGGTAGACGAGTCCCTAGATAGTCGCAAACTCCTTGATGCCTGCATTGCAGCTAACAATGTGATTGACGATAACCTCGTCACCTTTGCTAGCCTGTCAGAGCTCCAATCACAAAATCAGAAGTTACTGCTCGTTGCTCGGGATCTGGCGAGTCAGCTGGAAGAGCGTGAGTCTACTGACGAACACCTTGCGAACCGAGTGTCAGAACTGTCTGCCAAGGTGGATGCTTTGTCCGGTGAGGTCAACGTTGCTCGTCTGGCAGCCAAAGAGGCTCGAAGCGAGGCAGACCTGGCCATCAGACAGCGGGATGCCTATCAGCGTGTTCTAGAGCGTCATTCGATTTCTACCAGTCTTGCAGACGTCTCCTCGAGTGTTCTCGAGGAGTCCGTCGGCCCCAGACATTCACTCAGCCCTTACGACAACTTAAGTATTCTCGCAAACCGGGGTAAATTCTTTTTCAGTCGCTTTCTGCTATGCATTCTCCCGATTTTGTCAAAGATTGTATCGAAGAATTGTTCTTTTCAGATTCTTCAATAAACACCTCCATGAATGTGACCGCTCAGCAGTCGTCACCAGCTGTCAGCAAGCTGGAAGAATCGCTCTGTTCTCTACACTCAGACTTTCAACAATATCGGGAAGAGAAGGCGAAAACCGATGCAGTTTATACTGAAACCGTCGAAAAGCTTCGCACGGAAGCGAGCGAGGCACGAGTTCTCAATCAAAAACTCGCATCACAGGTACATTGTCATAGTCTGACCATATTTTGCGTTTTTGGGGCATTAAATCCAAGGTGACCTACCCTTCCCTCCTACAACCTGTGTGTTGCTCGACAACGTCATCCACACGCCGTTTTCAATCGCCTTTTACAGCTGGACTTTACTCACGAAAAGTTCCGCACCCTGGAGGCAAATGTGGCCAACTACAAACAGGAAATCGCCATTCTGCGCGAGATGAACGCGCGCTACACGACATCTGCTGCAGCCAGCGACGAAGCCCTTACACACCTACGTGAGCAAGCTGCTCGAACAGCAGATAGGCTTACTGCGGCGGAGGCTGATTCTCGCCAACTGGCCAGACAACTGGAGCATGCCAGGGCCAATGAAGCTCGCCTAACGCAGGAACTCCAGTCTGTACGCAAACAGGCGGTCATGCATGAACAGCTGATGCGCCAGCTCCAGCTTATCCAAGTAGGTTTACATGACCACCAATTCTCGGTCTTACCTCTCGCCTACCTCGGTAATACGGCTCTATTTACCCCTTTTTTACCTCGTAGTCTAATCTGGATCAACGGGAGGAGATGGAGAAGCGTCAGATGGAGCGTCGTGTCGCCTCCCTTGAGACGGAGTTGGCCGAAGTTCGCCGCAAGTCTGACGAAAAGCTGGAGGCTGCCAACGCACAAAATTCCACACTACAAACAGAATTGCTGTTGGCCCGACAGTCACTCAAAGTCTCGGAAGATGAGTTGGTGGAGCTTCGGACCTCGCTTGCAGAAGCAACCAAGCAACGCGCCCCGTCCCCCAAAAGTGCGTATCTTCTCGTTAGTAAATTGTAGTACTTTCCCTGTCGTGTGTACATCATATTTCATTTAATATGATGTGGGAATTCTCCTCGCTGATCTGCCAGACCTCGTATCGTTACGCTTCTGTTCCAAATCCGCGTCCTGAACGCTCATTGACTGTGAGTACCTAAAGAACGTCTGTCTTTGCAAACCCTTCTTCAGCTGTTGATACGAATGAAAACTGACGTCGGTGCTCATGAAATGCACCTTGTTTCACTGACATTGAACACTGTTCTACGATATTCTGCTGCTTTTACATCTCTCGCTTGCTAGGTGCCTCTCAGAAAAATACGAATTTTCAGTCATCCATTCGGAACTGTTTCGACAACAGTTAGTGATTCAGCGACCCAGTGAATTAACAATCTGAGTAAATGTCTGCCTGGCATGCAGTGGGTACTTGTCATGTTCGCCATCCTTGCCCATATGTCTCGATGGGCGTCAAACGAACACATTGGCGGAATTACTCACAATAGGCTTATTGTCATATGGTTCGTCTTCGACCACATTTGCAGTAAGTAAACTATGTACGATTCGCATGCATTCCCGTGACCATGTTGCGGTCTTACCTGTCCAACATACACAGGGGAGGAAAAGCTAGATAACGTGGGTACGAATTAGAAGGGTTTTATCTCACTTGTCAAAGTCAACTGTGTGGTTGAAGATGTTGTAGATGTCATATGTTCAATTACAAAAAGCAGCATTAGACAAACAGCCGAGAATCCTTATTCTCTCCCTATCCGTCTAGGGTCTCTCTTTTGGCTCCTCGTCGTTCACAGAAGTACTTTTCAAATCCTTTCCTCTCTGACTTAAGTCTTTTATCCCACTTTAATAGCAACGCCAGACCAACCTCAGACCGCGACTGGTGATCTGAAGGCCTTGGAACACAGTAATCTATCGAGTCGGCTCCGCGATCTGGAGAGAGAATGTGCATCTCTGCGCGTCTCCCTTGAGGCGGCCCGCGGACAGAGTGTGGAGTATCAGAAATTGGCCAATGAGATGGAGGAACATATTGCTAGACTCAGCAGGGAGCGGGATGAACTTGAGAAGACATCCACAGCTGAGGCTGAGGAACGCAACCAGCGTAAGCAAGTCCTCCCTTTATGTGCCTACTCTTCTGGGCATCGTGAATGCTCTTTCTCGTGAAATGTGCGTAAATTCACATAAAATCCCTGGTAACTCTGAAGCCAGTACAAATGAATCGACCAAGACTGGCCTGATCAAACAGAAACGACCTTCAGTTAGATTTATAATACAGAAGTAATGGAACTAGCATTATACCTTAGTGAAAATGCCGAAAACGCGAGAAATCGTGCCAAATGAGTAGGTTTAATGTGTGGAAGTGCATGCCGCATACCCCTGCGTACAATGTATGCCCAAAAAGTCGAAGAACTTACATAATCCTCGGATAAAATATCCCCCAAGAATTGATGCGATACAACTATCAGTAAACTGCTTTTTCGGGGTGTTCAGCAGGATAGGGAAGCAAGACATTTAATTTCCGCATTGTTCCATTTGCGGCTGATCAAGACAAAGATAAATTCGTTAAAGAAATGGAAGTTTTCATAAGGTAAACTGTCGGGAGACCGATCGGTAACTACCAAATGGAAGAAAATAGCTGACCGAGCCTCAAGCATACCACCTGCGTACTTGTGGAATCATTCGCCTGCAACGGTGTCGTATGTCTTCTGACGACGGCAGAGGCCGCTGAATCTGGAGGGGTCCTCGAAATACCAATTAATAACTGCAGTTTTTACTGTCCTAAGTAGATTTGTCGAAAAGAGGGCATCGAAATCAAACAGTTCTTGGGGACTTTTACCTGTGCAGTGGGTTTTCGGCCGTTACTTTCTCTGTAGCTGATTTGAGCCATAACTGTGGATTCAGCTAAGCATAAAACTTGATTGCTGAAGAAAGTAGGCACCCAAAACTATGCCCTCGAGCAAACGATAAGCCTTTTTTCTCCAAAAAGTGCATCTTTAAGTTGTTTTGCAAATAAGTGTACATATTCGTCATGTTTTCTCGCAGTGAATTCAGGGAAACAGTCAATACCCTTTCCTTTCCTGCGTTTCCCTGGTTGATAGGGACCACTTTTCTACTACAGTCGCAGACCATCTCCCTATTTGGCGACCACCTTCCTCGTCTTTGCTTAATTATTACCCCAATTTTGCGAATATGAATGCGCTAAAGAGTGACAGCACAACTATTAAAATAGCCCTTAACCGACGGAAACGTCACCCATTCCGTTTCCAAATTGCGTGTTGACCGAGTACAAACAACACAGAAAACTTCTTGGTTATTTGATGGTAGGGCTTTTTTGAGACACTTATAGTATACGTGCATTGGTCTAGACATAACGGGTGTGGTAAAACGACCGATTGCCTGTTGCCGTCATTATTTTGTTTGAGGGCGCAAAATTGCACAAATTTGCAAGCCAGCATTTCTAGGGGAGAAAGGGACCTTTGTTCTTCTAAAAATAACACTGTTCTTATCTTGTCGCATCCGGTTTACCCGGAACGAAAAGGCATTTTTTTAAGTCAGCAAAGATAGTTTTAGCCGATCTTTCTTATCTAGATTTTTGTCCTATACTAGAGAAGTGTGCAAGTACACAGCTGTTATCTACGATGGTAATTAGCATAAGAAGTTTTCTAATTATGCTGTTTTCTTCCGTCCAGAATATGCATTTAATAGTTAATGGAAGGACTTTGATACATATTTTGCGTGAGGAAAAGACCTTATGCAATGCATTAAGCGACTAGGTAAGATCCACAATGTCCGAAGCTATGCCAAACTGACCATCTGAATTTAGCCCAGTTCTAATTATTTCAGTCACTCACGTACCGTCCTAGCTCTTATCCTTACCTATGGGGGCCATTCCAGCGCACCCACCCTTTTGGTCGTATGCTCCTTTAGATGTGGCGCCTTACGTGCAGCATCGTCTGGTGACATTCTTTTATCTGCTGCCTGCTAATTAAATGTCCGACCTATGTATGACAATCCAACCCATCATCTACTCTGAGCTGATGACGGTGATGCTGTTACCACCAGTTCCGTTAGAACGATCGGTGAGCGCCCCCCTACCATTGTATATTCTCGATCGAAAACCAACAGAACAACGGGCTCGTGGGCCAGTGGTTAGAGGCGTGGTCTTCTAACTAACAGGTCGCGAGTTCGAGCCTCGGGTGTTCCACACTTCGGGCTAGGGTATGACTGGCTGACGACGGCTAATAAACCAGAAATGGCCACTCCAGTCTCTCTTGTCTTTGGTCGGTAATGCCATTCCGCCTATATCATGCGCCGCTGTGCGGCTGCTGGTTGGGTTCGAGGAGAGCCCATATGGCACAACGCAACGAGTGAGTTCCGTAAGAACGATCGGTGAGCGCCCCCTACTAATGAACCTTTTGTTGTGTCTCAGTCATTGGTTGTTAACGGCCTCGATTGTTTCTTATTACTTGATTATTTGTGAACTCTGCGTATTTTTCCGCGTGCACCCTAAAGGCTGTGAGTTCCTCGAACTCCAGCTGAACCTTGAGAGGATGGAGCGCCAGGACGTAGTGAACGAAAATGTTCGTCTGAACGAAGAACTGAACAAGCTGCGCACTGACTTGCGCGCGGAGCTGGCTGCCGCACGCGCCGACCTCACCGCGGCCATTGAGCGCCGGGACGCAGCTCTGGAGTTTGAGAACAAGGCCCGCTCTGAAATCGAAGCCCACGAGAAGACAGCTCGTGAGGCGAGAGAGAAGTACGAAATGGAACTAAAACTGCATGCACAGGATGTCCAGGTTTGTACTCATCCGCTTCTCCAGTACTTTGTGCGCACTCATTATTGCTGCTCTTTTGCGTGAGCTGGTTTAAAAGCTGTTTCGTAATTCATCTTTTTTTCAGTACGATACCTCTAGGCGCATATACTCTTTACTAGGGGAGTCGAAGGGGCTCTCAGTGTATTTCGTTTTTTTTACTTTCTCCGTGCTCTGACGGATGATGTGTCTTCTGGTTTGCTGTTCAGACCATGGCCTGGCCACTCCTGAATAAAGTTTACGCTGACTACCACAACCAAACAATCCGTCTACGCGAACCACGCACGACCTCGTTCCGCGTGTGTCTCAGACCTCACTGTTGAGGATGCTCTAAAGACGCCCCATTAAGAAGGGACCATTGCAGCCTTACCTGTAGTCTTGAGTGGGACCGAGTTACCACGTCAGTTGGCAATTCTCCGAGCCACGCCTGCTAGTGCATCTTAACAGATTCAAACGCATCCAGATTTATTGTGGTGAGGAAGGCGTTGATTTGCCGTAAACATTATTCCACTAGTATCTACCTGAATTCCTTCCCTCCGATTCGCCGACTGACTGTCTAAGCATGTCAACTAACTGGGCTCATTTGCTGTGACGTGTCGTGAGAGCCTCCGTCTAAGGCGTGCCATACGCATGTATTGTGGTAGTTAAGGCCTTGTGCAAACGCGGTGCAGCCCGGTAAGTTCATGCCGCCAAGCATTATACATGTAAACACATATTCCCACTAGCCAGGTAGGTGAACACAATTAGAACTAGGAAATAAGTGGTTAACACAGCATTCTGCGGCCGCCCTCGTCTCCGGTCTTTTTGACACCGTCTTGACACCGAGCCCAGGCGGGGGAGGAGGAGAGAGTGTAGGTAGATGCAGCGCAAGTCTACTGGCACTATAAACCCCTGCGCAAGTCACCGTCCCTGCTCCCACCTGCTGTGGGACATACGGTGGACATCATCGAAATCGATGGTCGAACTGTCGGTATATAGAGTTAATGTATACCGCATGTATTTGAATCTTTTGAGATTATTACTTTCCAGGCAATTAGTCTGTGTACATGCTCGTTGCATGCTTCGGATGAAACCTCAGTGAGGGGGAACTCTACCGAGTGTCTCTTATTTTGAACTTGCAAGACTACCTCTTAAATCATTTCTAGCTGCGCGCCCCCTTTAACGTTCGTTGGGGATTTTTGTCAAGCGCCCTTTGCGGGATTTTTTGAACCATTCTGAAGGGGTTTCATCATATACATCAGGCACGCGGAGAACAAACGTCGACGTCGTTTATGACAGGTTTTCGCGAGGTCACTAGACCCTATTAAGCTATTTATCGAAAATTCTTGTAGGGCACTCGCTGAACACTTCACCCATTTGGTATCTATTATGCTTGACTCACTCGCAGGTGACTGTCTTTTTGCTCTTTACCGTCTTCTGCGGAAAATTAGAGGTGCGCCCTTCACAACTGATATGAGGCAACATCCGCGCTAATGCTTATCAAATAGTTCGAGTAGACATTCACACATCTGTTGTCATTTGTATATTTCTGATAGACCGTTGGAAAGATATTGCCACGTAAAAAGGGGAGTGTCTTTAAAATCCAATAAACAACACTGCATTGCACACCTGCGACCAGTTTGTTTTTAATTCGCACGACTTATGCATTGCTCTCAGCCGATGTCAACGTCTAGTTCTGCAGCAACACGCATTGTTCCATCAAGTGGTAGGACAGCCCCGGTGGACCCCTTCTGGTCGTATTCGGACTTATAGACTGTCTCGAAAACTACCATCGACGAGGTGCCAGCCATGACCGGGACGTGGCCAGACCACTATCTGATAATGGTGGACAGTCGACTGGTGAACGGGAGTGGGAGTGAAGTCCACTCTGGGTACTTCGCCCCTATGGCACTTCAGCACATGTTCTCACTACAAACAGTCTGACGCACTGGAATTTATCACGACGCGCTAAAAGTCGTGGCTTGCGAGACTGCCAACTGACAGTATAATTCAGACCTCGCAGTCAGCCCTGTGTGTGTTAAATGACTGACTGGTGGACTAGGAGTCAGTATCAGTGGCTCCTTGATGTAGCCTCTATGGCACACACACACACATGTGAGATCCGGGCCGCCCCATTTTATGAAAACCTTGTGTGTTGTGCGGTGTATAAGTCGTGTGTGACACACGCAGATAGACGGCGCGTTTAGCTCTGTCAGCCACTTACACCCAAGCCTAGCACCAGGTGGCTGGCCGTCTGGGTGCTCCGTCCCCACGGCACTTGAGCACGTTTTCTCACAATGAACGGCTTGACGCACCAAAAGCTGTGGCTTGGAGGGCTGCCAACTAACAGGATAACTAGGCTCTTCCAGGACCGAGAGTCAGGCTGTAATAGCTCCCCGATGTAGTCTGTACGGCACTTCCACTCAGACGGGGTCCGAGCCTGCTTTCGCCTCTGTGAAAGCCCGGTCCTTTATGCGCGGGCCGGACGTGCGTGGCACGCGTAGACGGGCTGTTTAGCATTGCCAGCCACCGCGCCCGATCCTGTCTCCAGTCGTTCTGACTCTCCCCACCAGGCTCGGGAGGGTAAGGGAGAAGAGTGTTGCAGATGCTGCGTAAGCCTACCACCAGTATAAACTATTTCACTCGCAGGTTACAACCATTTTGTAGGGCATATGGTGGACGTCGTCGTTCGCAACAATCGAACAGACATTCAGTAATGCCCTCTCAATAACAGGGACAGAACTAACCACAAAGTAATCTGGTTTCATCCTTTTCAGTTTCTGATTACTCATTTCCTGACCCACTTCTGTCTCATACACCTTCAGCTGCTGACGGAAGCTAGGAGGGTCTCGTCCAGTGCCTCGTCTGAAATCAGCGCCCTCAAGGCAGAGCTGGAGGAATCGCGAGCTCGACTGAAAGATGTGAACTCCAGTACTGAAGCCCAAACGGGTCTGTGGGACGAAGAGCGTGCCAAGTTGAGTGCGCAACTCGACGAGTCCAACGCTGAGGTTGACCGCCTGCAGGAGCAGATTCTCAAGGTACGCCCTCCTCACTTTTTACCTGTATTGTTTTCGATTCGGACAAAGGGGGAGACTTGTAAGAAGCGCAGTTGACTAGCTGTATTTGGAAAACTTATTATCTAATAGTGTTTTGAAGACTCGAGATAGTCGGTCGGGGACCTGATCTGGGCGGATGCCCTGGCCACCTTCGCCTGTGTTCCGCGGCGTAACGCCTGTCTAATTCCATGCTATTGACAGTAGTTGTTTTATGCTGTAAGTTCTTGCCGACAAAGACAAGGGAGACTGGAATGGCCATTTCTGGCTTATTAGCCGTCGTCAGCCAGTCATACTCAACCGCGAAGTCTGGAACACCTGAGGCTCGAACTCGCAATCCGGCCACAAGCAATGGTTCTAGACCGGAGTCCCAGGACGAAACCTAGCGTCCGCCCCTGTCCAGCAATCAGGAGAGGCCGGTAACCGTCACACTCGCGCCACTTATTTTCCTGATGATAGACACCAGACTGTGTGCCCGCGGCCCGTCTGGTATGACCGACTGAACCCGGATCCAAATCGCGTGTAATTCCAGCCTGAATTTAGGGCATAGCTAGTTGACAATGTCGGGTTACCAAAAATTGTCATTTCTCCCCCACTCTTTCCCCGCGGCACACCTGTTGGCCCTCCTTTCCCATGTTCCCGAAAGTGCCCGCTTCCTATTAGCAAGTTACTCGCTTGGACAACAGCTTCAGCCTTCAGTCTTGTGCTGTTCACCTCGTCCATGTTGTCGGTTGTATTCACCCTCCTCCTCCCTCTGTATCCCGCTCAGTTGACTGAACAACTCAACGGCCTGCGCAAACTGCTCGAGCAATCGACCTCAGACACCATCGCAGCTGAGCAATTTACCACTCAAATCCAGGCCTCTGAAGACTTTGCACAGATTCTAAGGTAAGCCTCCACCACTCCTAGTAGTCAGCCTACTCTAACTATGACTCGTTTCATCGACCGTCTTAAACGCATTCTGGGAACGATTTGTCCTTCCAGTTATCTGAGGCGTCAAAAATCGATTGCCGAGGCGGCGGAGGAGACAGCCAACGCCGAAGTCGCCCGCCTAACCCTGCGTGCAAAGAACCTCGAACGGCAGGTCGTTGATCTGCAGACAAAACTGGCCGAGGAAAAGCGCAACAGCGAAGTGAAGGCAGAAACATCACGTCAGCACGCTCACCTGATGAACCAACTGGAGCAGATGAATCTTCTTAGCGAGTCTAACCGTCTTCTGAGGCAGGAGAGGGAGACTGTACGCGAGGCTGCGGCTCGAGCAGAAGCCCAGGTGCGTTTCTCCCCTCTGAACGTGGTTTCTCCAAGATCCAGAGCTAAATGGGGCAAGATCTTGTTTCGCAGCCGCCCCTGCTACCACCGACGCCGTATGAGAGGCGGCTGGGGTTTGTCTACTGTAGATGTGGCTGCGAAATAGGATCAGACCCCAAATGGCCTTCGTGGTCATCTCGGGCTGTTTCTACTAATTTCCTCCCCATTGTTCAGGTTAGACTCTTCTGTGCACTATATCCTACCGCGAGCCTATGCATATGTACTTCGAATGGTCTATGCACACATACATGTGTATTCTCTATCATTCGGATATACATGTGTGCATATATACAGTAGGTGGGCTAACTCATGAAATGTCCATCTAAATTCCGAAATTCGTTTTCGTTTCGAAAAGATTAATTAAGTAGGGTTGTAAAATAAGTCAGTCCGCAACATAATTCTATAATATCTCAGTTACCTCAGGATGCCGGCTTTCGAATGAACTCCCTTCTGGCTGCATGCAAAAACTACACTCTGTAACAAATGACTACTTATGTGGCGTGACTTTTTCATTTTCACGGAAAACATGCATAAAAATATTCATTCTTTCGCTCATTCGGTAGAAAACTGCATCTTCCAATTTTATACTCGAAGGAGGGGCACAATTCAGTTTTCAAAAAGTCTCGAATTGTGGGACTTTTAAATACCGTGAAAAGGCCGTTCATAAATCGTCATGTCTCTGCATTTACCAACGTGACTTGTTAAGTCAACAATATGGATCAAATCCACTGCTTAATTTTATGAACCCTATATGGTCCCCCTTTATTACCGTAGAGAGATGTGTGGTTTTCCGTACGCGGAAAATATAAGGCTTGTAGTTTGGAAACCCCGAATCCAAGTTTAACGGTAGAGCGGGTTCAAAATTATTCGTTAATTGTTTTTGAAAACCGAATTATACCCTTCCTTCTAGTATAAGATTGGAAGAAGACGTAATTATCTACCGAATGGGCAAAAGAAAGAATATTTTTATGCATGTTTCCCTTGAAATACAATTGGACAATGAGAAAAATATATGCCACTTAAGTAGTAGATTTTCACAAAGTGTAGTTTTTGCATGCAGCCGGAAGGAAGTTCATTCGAAGGCCGGCATCTCGAGCTAACTGAAATATAGAATTATGTTGCAGGCTGACTGATTTTACAACCCTATTTAATTAATTTTTCCGAAACGAAAACGCATTTCGGAATTTCAGTTGACGTTTCATGAGTTAGCCCACCTACTGTACGTACATATATGCAAAATGACGTTGCCAGCAAGGACAGAGGAGGCTGGGGTAGCTATTTCCGGTTTGTCAGTCGTCACCAGCCAGCCATACCCAACTTCGAGGTATGCAATCCCCGAGGCTTGAACTCACGACCTGTTGGTTAGAAGTCCCACGCCCTAATAGCTGAGCCAGGGGCTCGTTGTTCTGTCGGTTGCGATCGGGCATATTAACAACGGTAGAAGGACGCGCACAGATCGCGTCACGGAACTCACTCGTCCAGTTGTTAATATACCCGATCGTAGCCGACAGGATAACGAGCCCCTGGCTCAGCTATTAGGGCATTGGACCCCTAACCGATAGGTCGCGAGATCGAGTCCCAAGTGTTCCACGCCTCGGGGTTGGGTACGGCTGGCTGACGATGGCTAATAAGTCAGAAATGGCCGTTGCAGTCTCCCTTGTCCTTGTCTAAATCGATATGCCCAACAAATTAGAGCATGACATACTGACCTTACAGTGCCCATCTCTGATCGGTTTTCTCGCAAACAAGACGACTCGTGTGTTCAGGTATCTGAACCAGAAAGTTATACAGTTGCGGTTCTATGAGCGTATCCGTTCTGCTTTTGTCTGCTTGTCACTTGCCATTGACCATTGACAAACGTTTAGGGATTGTTACAGTTACGCTCATTTTAGTTCTTTTTCTCTTCCCCGTAGCTTGCCGCCTTGCGTGCTGATACGGAACCCATGCGTAGCCAGTGCAAAAGCCTCGAGGACGCCCGTGACCTCTTGATCTCCGAGAAGAAGTCACTGGAAGAGGAACGTGACCGGTGGAAGGAGCGATGCACGCGTCTGGTTGAGACCACAAAGCGCATGGACCCCGAGGAATACAAACAAGCCTGGTAATTAGCTATTCTTCCTACCTAGGGCACATCTGAGAAAAACCTCCACCTTCTGGCCACTTTTAGGGCATTTTCAGCGTTTCCATTTTCGCTTCGCGTCAACACCGCGCTTGTAATGCCAGCCAGTTGGCAAGAAGGGGTCTTCAGGGGGAAGTTTCAACCAGCTTAAGGAATCTCTTCCAGAATTAGCGTACCCCTACAACGGACCGCGCAGAAGTTGCGCTGACCAAACACGTGGGCCAGATCGGGTTACGGCGCACCCATAACAAACGCCATACATGGAGTCGTTGTGGCACGCCTATGCGCATGCTCATGCCACACCAGCCAGCTCCGCCCAATCCCGCCTCTGGTCTTGGCACAGGCGCCAGGTGGGGGAAGGGGGGAGGAGGAAGAAATGAGGCAGACGCTGCGCAAGTCTACTATCACTATAAACGAATTCACTTAAGCCCCTGCCACGGCGCCCATCCTGCTGTGGTACACACGCTGAATGTCGTCGGTAACGACGGTCTAACTGTCGGTATATGAAAGTTGTAATAGATAGTTGACTCTTCTCGTTTCAGCGTAATGTGCCGAAATCACTCATGTTCGCACTCGCACCTGCAGGAGACAGTAGACAGCCATTGGGCTTCTAGGTAAGAATCGAACTCCAAAAGAAACACCTATTCAAACCATCTTTCATCAATGGATTTTGATGTTTCAGAAGAAGAAGAAGAGGACGAAGCGACCACTGAAACAAGTAATTTATTAATCTGGCGTTTCAAAATCTCACTCGACTGTCTCTGGTGATGGACTCGAGTGAGAATCCGAAACTTCAAGCCAATAAACTTCTTGTTCCATTGATCGCATCTTCCACTGAACTGTTTCCTGGAACGCGCCTGTTCGCCTTCATCGGCAATTTTGCTGTTTACCAGTCCAAAATAGGCTGTCTTCTATCCGCTGTACTTCTTTCAATCGAAAAAAAAACAGTAAACTCTACCTACATAACAGGCGTTGACCATGTCATTTGTGGTCCTTATTTGTTCATCACCCAAAACCGCCTGCAATCTACCTATAACATTTTCAGGAGAATATTGTCCATTAATAACCAGTCATGAATGACGGTGTCTCAGTGTTAATTTAAGCCTCTTCCATAATACCCCTTTTGGCCCGAACTACACTGGAGGAGGAAAACAGGTGATAAGAAGTAGCACAGTTTTAAGACTTCCCTTCTCTAAGAGGTAAATTCCCTAACAAACTCGCTTTCGTATTCCGCCCATAGTAACGCACGTGACGAGTTGCAACGTCGTCTGCGCTCTCTGGAGGATGCCAAGTTGGCTAGTGAACGCGAAGCCGAGGCTAAACTAAGCACATTGGAGGGCCGCGTTGCGGAGCTGACGACAACCGTTGACCAGCTGGAGGCTCAAAAACGCGTCAACGATGTTCAGATCTCTTCCCTCGAGTACGTTTGACTTCTCTCCTGCTCTTGGCTGTTATCTGCGTGCGTAGCGACAACAGGGGTGTATACTTGCCCTCCCCCCCCCCCCCCTCCATCATCACTGCTTTACCTAAGTCAAGTTGACGTGTTTCCGCTGTCTAGGTGCCCATATTGCTTTGCTAATGAAGAGTGCTTATCTTTTTCACCCTCTCTCTCAACAGATCCCAGTGCAACACCCAGAAGGAAGAGTTAGAGAAACGGCAGACAAACATCGTCAAACTGCGTGAAATAGCTCGCAAATATCGCCACGAAACGGACGAGCTGCGTTCCCGAATTTCCAGTTCTCAGGCCCAGGGTGAGCTCCCCTTTTTTTCTTAATTTGCAATTCCCTCCCGATACACCGGTTTTAAATGCTTACTTTCTTCCTGGCTTTCATAGAGGCTACCATGAAGACCGCTGAGGAAGCCGTGGTCGCAGCCCAGGCAGACCTTATGAACGCCCGCTCTAACCTGGAGATCGAGCACGAGCGATCTTTGCAGCTGTCACGAGAATTGGATCATCTAAAGACCCTCATGGATACTGCCGAGGTGACCTGTCTTTTCTGTCGGTCTTGCATCTCCACTGCTTGTGATCATAACCTATTAGCTCCCATCTTTGCCTCTTTTCTTACTTCGCACTAGTTATTTCCCCGTTCCCCAATATAATTCCTCCGCCCTGCGTGACGAAGTCCACCAGTGTCCCCATGGCGCAGTAGTGGCTTGTGTTGATTGGTTAATAGCCAGGGAGACTTGTGCAGCGTCTATCCCAGCCCCCTTCTTTTCACATCCAGTTCCCCAATGGCAGGACAAAGTCAAGACGACTGGAGACAGGTGTGAGCCCAGTTACTAGCAGAGTTAAACAGCACGCTTGTGTGTGTCACGCAAATGCTAATCGCTACTGGTCCCCAATCCAGACTTCAAATAAGGTATCAGACGGCTCATCGAAAAACCCTGCCACAAAGGACACAGTAAGAAGGATCCATTGCATCACCACCTGCAGCCCGGAGGAGGATCAAGTTACCCCGTCAGTTGGCAGCCCTCCGAGCTACGACCATCAGGGCGTCGTAATAGTTTAGGCTGTGTCGAATGTATTGTGGTGGGAAAACTTAACGCGTGATCCATGCCAAATCGGCCCCTCTATCTCCTACCTCTACGTAATCTGCTGGCATCAAGTCTGAGTGCAACTGACTGCAGATATGATCAGGCACAGTGGATGATGTGGCGTAAAGCCTCCGGTCAATGCGTGCCACGCGTTCTTATGGCCCCCTTTTTGATTGACGCCATTGCCCCCTCCGTCTACCAGAACACTGTTTTGCCTGCTCCACCACCTTGAAGTTCACCTATATTACATAAATTCTCAGGGATGTTAGCCCGCCAAGCAACAACAACAGCATCAATGGCCCAGTCGGGTACCTTCTAACCCATTGTGGTACGATTGGAGGACCGCTACCAGTAGTCCGACCTCCGTCTGGTCCTCTTTATCTGCACTTTCAACACCCTCCCGGCATCGCACAGACCTAATCGGTCATATGTGCTTGTACGAAGCAAACAGCAAAACCTCACCAGTTACTCCTACAGCGATCATGTAATCAGGTCTGTCGATGTCATTCGCGACGGACAATGCGTCGTCTGTGTGGACGCTTGCATGTGACGCGTTGTACGACGGCTCCATGTCACCTTAGCCACTTCGTCCAACCCCGTCGGCATGAGGAGGAGGGTTTCGAATTTCGCCCTCAAGAGCAAATGACTGGACGACGGACGTGTACACCGAACAGAGTGTTCACACTGACTACTTCATGTGTTTTAAGCCGTGATTGGGCCCTACCAGACCTAGGCATGATGAGGGAATAAAGACCTGAACTGAAGTCTGTCGTTTCTGTACGGATTCAAGTCCCTAGCTGCAAACGTCCAACTACACACCCCCCCTCCGTCGGCTGAGATCACAAATGTGCACAGTCAAAGCAGCGAAATTACGGGAAGTAGCATCGTCATTCCACCTGCAGTCTGGGACTTCACAAGCTAAGCTGCCCAACATTAAGGTGCGGGCGGGCAGCATACCCCAAGGTAATCCAACTATGAAGACCCGGTCCCAATGCCCCAATAATTATATTGCCCATTGCCCTTAAATATACTGAATTACCAACAAATACATGGGAGACTGGCTGGTTGTTTTTAGCCTATTTGCCGTTGCAAGCCAATCATACCTCGGCGGCAGCTCAGGAGAGCCCAAGGTTTAAGCCCGGTTCAAGTCGGCCCTTAACCTTAAAACATTGTCATATGATACTCTGGCTCACGCTCTTCCGATTGTAATAAAGAATTGTCAAAGTCACGCGAAGGTGGTGTCCGCCGACCTGACCAATGACCAACCGAGTGAAGGTCCCGGTCTAAAATACCGGTACCTCAATCACTCTTGCCTCTGTTATACTCCCCCTGGCTTATTTATTGATCGTCACGGTGCAATCGCCTGTGTAGAGTCTTACAATGAAGCTGCAGGATAAAGCAAAGCATCCGTATTCCGTCCTGAAATCACGACATGTGAGTAAATTACTTGACTATGGACGTCATGCCGTTAGTTGTCTGTGTATATGCCACCTGTCGACGTCCAGACGAGCGTACAGTTGGTTGCCCAAATTGCGACCGAAAAACTGCCTTATTTGAAGGTGATAGTTGACTGACGGCGACAGACTCGGTCGAGGTCTTTAACTGCGTTTTCGCGTAGCAATGGTTATTTCAATAAAACCATAAAATCATTTGTAAAATATGATATCACATCAATCAGTATCCAATAGCATGCCTTCTGTCCGCCAAAAACTTCTTTGCTTAGATAAGACTCCCAGGCGTTGTTGTATGCATTTTCATTGTTTATGGCGCCCATTTAGAGTTAATTATTCTTCTGCTTGAAAGGGCTGACGAGAAGTCGCCCCTAGAAGTAAGCTCCCGAGGTTACCCAATCCTGCTTCCTTGAACACGTTTTACTGTGTGTGTCCCTGAATGCCACTGTATTCAGATATCGCAGGCTCCCTGCCCTTTTTGGTTGTCATGCCGATTACTTCAAATTTTATGTACTTGTTCAAATTGCTAAAGGGGATTTCTAGGCCTGTATCTGAGGGTAGGGAGGTTAGTTCTGAGTGTGATCGTGTTCAATTGTTTGAAAACTTCGTCCTGAAACTGTGTTCAAAATTCATAATATTGAATCGACGTAATCCATAATTGCCTTAGTTACTACATTTGTCAGAGCAGATTATAGAAAATAGGCAGAAGACATCTGCTGTGACCCACATTTCGTGCCATGTACTTTTCAAATTGAATACTGATTAGTCCTCACAAGGATAGGGCACCCCTAGTCTAACCCAATCAATGCTCTGCCCACCAAAATCGTCTGCACCATCTCAGATTTAATGGCAGATACTAGCCATTACAGAGCAAGATTTTAGTATTTTTCCAGGTTTGCAACTTCTTGGTCATTTTTAATCCCTGGGGGTTATCTGAGCAGAAGCAATATCTCTTAACATTTCTCTTCTCGAAATAGGCTTTATCAGTGGTGGGCTCCATTCAGACGGAACCCGAGCAACTGATTGTCCCCAGCACCTCCACTGATGCCACGCCATCAGCCCTCCACGGCCGTCTTAATCGCCTCCTCTCGGTCTTGGTGGCCGAATTGACCCAGCTGCGAGCTCAAGGCGAAGCCCAGCGCGAGCGTCTACTTCGAATGCAGTTGATCGAGTCCCAGCTCACTAAGTCCAAACGCGAATGTGCCGATTTGCGGTCTCAGCTGTCAGCGGCGAGTGCAGCCGCTAACACGCCAACGCCTCCACCAACAACTCAGTCAGTTCCCATAACCGTCCTTTCTGAGGTCACATCTTCCTCTGTGATTCTCCAAACGATGCCTGCTCCGGTAAATTTACCCTGCTTCTCATCCTCTGTCCTGTTTTATGTCCGTGTATTACTGTTCCCACTCCCTCTAACCATACTGTTCAGCACTTGTATTTTGCATGGCGAGGATTTATTAATTACCCTGGCTACTTCTAGAACACCCCGCAGATGTGCATCTATTGCGACCGATTCACCCCGTCAGGACGAAGACCGGATACAGAGAGCGATTACTGAGGGTCTTCGGGGACGTGTCGAGACAGGTTTTTGACGGATTTTTTCCAATTCGCCTTAAGTGAGAAATCCGTGGGTATCCAGGTTAGCAGAACTGACTGGGTGGTGCAAGATGTCTTATAACCGCATTGTCCGTCCTTCTCGGATGGCCTCAACTAAAATCGGACTGTCTCCTATAAAAAATAAGCTCAGATGCCTCGCTTGTAGGTGCTTCTTCGCCTGAAACAACGCCAGATCTGGCAGACTACTTCAGGCGTTCCTTGATGTTGCAACGGGCCTTTCGACTCCACTTGAGGCCCGATACTTACCTCCAGTCCGTATCCATCCCCAACTCCGCATAGCGTAAGAAGATGGTTGACGACTTCTATTAAGACATTCTTGACTCGGGGTACCTCCCACCGCAATTTTGGCCACTTAGCTTTGGTCCCTCGTTTCGTCCTTGCATACAGGGCTTAACGAAGTTGCGTGGGTAGTGATTGCTCGGAACACCCGCCTCGGGTATTGTTACTCAACAACTTTGTCCTCCAATTCGTCCCAGTGCGTCTTAGCACACTGCTGAAACGACCTCGCACAACTGCGTTCGCGGCCCATTGGGTGGCTGCTGTTTACAGTTACTTACGTCCAATTCGTCTCTACGTTGAAGCGTTTTCGGGTCATCATAATCTTTCTGAAAGACTGTAGCCACTGTATCCTGTCTGTCCACTACCATTATCTGTTATTATCTTTAAAGACGGACTCGAGAGGAAACCGGAAACGTCGGACGAAAAAATTCTTGTTCCCGCGATCCAGTCTCTTTCTTTACCTTCAGTCTTGTCGATCACTGGGATACATAATTAAATTCAATAGCTTGACAGTCGCATCTTGCATACTTTGTTACGGCGAACTTTCATCCTAGGAACAACTCCAATGCCTAAACCTGAGTATTACCGATTTCCCGTAACTGTGTTTTGCAGTCAAAGCTGTCTCCTCCCGCATCCTTTGCTTCTCTGTTATCTACCGCCTACATCTAGAGTGCCCTATGACAAAATGAAGATCTATGTGCCGCAGACCGGGCACAGAATGTTGCAGCACGATTTCATGAAAGCTGTGAACTCGTGTAGTCAACTGTTGTTGCGGCCGCCTGGACGGGTGACTGTCCCATGATGACGGCGCACTTGGTAGGGAGGGTTGTTGCCTTCGCACTTTTAGTCTGTGCGTCGTGGTAGAAATTGACCTGGGAGCTAAAGTGCTGACCAGATGTCGGTCCGAAGACATGCTAACATGGAGCTCTGTTTGTCTTTGGAAACCGTGGATTGCCCCGCTGTGACCAATGGGCCTTCATCAAACTAGTCTTAATTGCCAATACGCCCTCTGGAACGCGAGCCCACTCCCACGACAGATTATCGCCACGGACAATTTTAATTTAGAATAGGGGGAATCTCATTTTTTCCAATTTTCATTGGTGTTGTCTCCTTTGCTCGACTCTACCCTGCTGTCTTTCCGTGTTAGGCTTTTGAGATGACCCAAGACATTGCCACAAACACCCAGTCATTGCCTGTGGACACACCTGTCTGCGCCACATCCGTCTTTGGCGCCCCCGCCACGACACCTGCCACCGTCTCCGCTGCCTCGCACTCTTGGATTGCCAGGGCGGCAGCGACTGTCCAGCCCGTGCAGACCCCCTCGCCGGTCGCGGCCACGTCGACTGCGGCCGGATCCCCTGGCCTGCTGCCTGGTAACCGTCAGACAGCTGAGATCCGTCCCATCACCAATAACGTAGCTACTGTACTCCCAACGCCAACTACCCCCGGTAATTATGCCCTTTCTACTGCTATAACAGTCCCAGAGTTCTTGCCCGTCGGGCCTATCTGAACTGAGGCCGTCATCCCTTTTTTGCTGCCTAAGGTCTCTAGTTCCGATGTTTGGTCCTAAAAAGTTCCGATCGTTTGAACTTAGCTGTCTTCATCTGACGCCTTATACTGTGGTCGTAGGATGTCCAAAAACGACTTGTATTACCAAATGCCTGACTTCATGGGGTGTGCATTCCACTCTAACCCAACCTGCCAGCGTCGAATGATGAATACCTGGAGTTTCACTACGCCTGATGAATGCGCACTGCGGTTCGGTCAGTAAGGAGGAACCAGTCATGCTTTGGTACGTATAGACGGAAACTGTATGCTAGGCCGACCGCAGTGTTCAAACCCATACCTCGTCCTGAACCAGTTTCCAATGGAATACCATGAATGTGATAAGGGATAGAGAGGTCAATGTTCTGCGAATTCTACCACCACTTGGACTCACAATCAATCTACCTGGGTGACAATGGAGACGGGAGAAGCTTTCCCTTCCACGTAGATCGGACAGCGTACCTTCCAGACCGTCCACAACTGGGTTTTTGTATTGTTGGCATTTAAATTGTCCGCAGTTGCTTGGCCAAACGTATACCACAACTGTCCCCACGGGAACAGTATTGCACTTTTTCCCCTTTGACACTGCCTGATGATCGTCTGCTCACCTACCATCTCAGCCTTATGTTCCCTGACGTGCGTTGTTGGCATTTCACCATAGTAGAAACGCTATAATTTCCCGCAATCATTTGCCACTACAGTGGGCTTCGACTGATCGGTCCACATTGTGCTAAGATGTTCCGGACAAATTTTCTGAAGTTTCAGTCGAAATACGTCAGTCGAGAGTTCACTTGACGTCTGGGTCTGCCCCTCCCCCTCTTGTTTCTGCTTTTGGGACGTTTTCCGGCGTCCTTTAAGCAGTGCTCATTCTACTTACAGTTTCTCCTACTGCCGTATCACTTTTGCGGCTGTGGAATTTGGTGCACCTGTTTTCTCCGTCGGGCGGCCTCGTCTGATTTTAGCTCGTTGGTTTCTTCTCTGGTTCAGTTAAGCAATCTTGCCTGTTAGTGTTACATCTTCCCTTGGCATCTTGGTTGGGTGCGATCTATTGGCGGGCATGACGGTAGCTTGGACCAATCGGCTGACATCTCATCGACGCCAAAACTGCTGCATTCGTTTCCCCTTCCCTTCAAACGTTCACCTCGTACACCCTAGTTCCACTTTAGCCACCCTTAGGGTAGGGCACGGGAATGTGACCCCCTTCCAGAGGGTTAGGATTAAAGTCAAAACACGGAAAGAAGCACACCCTGCAACTTGGCACAAGGCCATCTGTAGTTCGGGGACCCTTGTTCCCCTGTCCTCAGTCGTCAGGTGACGTGTCACCTCCGGTATCGGTAGCTCACCCGCATGCTCGCTTAGCCACACCGACTGGAGATCTATACGGCCTAATCGGTTAACCTCCTTTTCTGTCCAAAATGCAAGCTATCCTCCCAGCATTTTCTTTTCGTCTGGCTTGGACAATCACCACCCCACTTAATCAGCGTAACTTCGTGACATGCACACCATCTCAGCCGATTTTTCAGCGTTCCACTAGACTAGCCGTTAAGCCGATTGATCATAACTTTGTGGACCCTGAATCACGTTGAACTCCACACTCGTGGGGTTAATGCGGGATTCTGTGCATTCCCCATCTCGTCTTTTTTGTGTACTTTAAACTCTTACATGCCTTTTTCGGCCATTGCCTTCACTCTCCTCTCTTGTCTATTGTCGGTGTTGTCCCAGCAGAGCAGGGTTCCCATCTAGCGGTCATTGTGGATGCACCCTCAGTTCTGCAGACCCCTCCGACTGCCTCCACATTCGCCTCCGCTCCCGTTCCAGTTCCCTCCTGCGGCTTCTTTGCCGGACCGACTTCGACTGCCCAGGAGGTGTCGGTACCACTGCAGTCCACTGTAACGGTCCACCGTTTTCCCCAGCAGCCGGGTAATTTACTCCTTTTTGTCCGTGTATGCTGCTGTATTGGCAGCTCTCTTCTGTACGCGCCGAAACACGGAAAACGTTGACTGGCATCTTTAAGTATCCTTTCAACAGCACCATATGAGATGGCAGTACAAATGAGAATGCAGCAGGACCTCGAGTTAGCTGTTGCACGGCAGCGTGCCGACTTTCCTTTAGCAGTCGCCTTGACCGCTTGTACAACTCGCGCTGGCAAGCCTATCGACTCGGGTAATGCTAAAGCTTTGCTCATGCTTGAGCCAGACTGCCTCGGTGATGTCGCGGATTGTAACTCTGCCACCGTTTTCTTGTAGTTGGGTTCTGGATCCAAAGCGCTAGAGTGAATAATCTCGATTAAACGGTTTGGGCAGCTGTCGGACGCCCGCCGGTACTTAAAATGCCCAAGGGACCTCAGGAAAACGTCCGACTACACGACCACAGTAGAGTTTAGTCAACGTTTTGTTCCCTCCGACGCATACTCTCTATGCTTAAGCTAGCTGTTTTCAAAAGCATTATTTGCCTAACGAGCTACGCAAGCGGAGTAGCTTACACACGCCGTCCCATCAATCCCTACTGATTGCACGCACTATGGAATTGAGGGTTTTTCCAACATGCCATCAACATGAGACGCTTTCCCGTATTGCCTCCAGTCGCGTTAGTAGTCAGCGTTTAGTCCTCCAGCCCGACTTTTCCCCTGGTGATTGTTTCAGCTCTCATGCTGTGATATTTTTTGATTTTTAAATCATCCATTTTTGCCTCTTCTCCCTAGCACTGATTTCCACGCCCGGCTCTTCCCGTTCGGTTGCCGGTACTACCTCCGGAAAACGTCCTTTCGCAGAAATCTCCACAGATACTGGCGTTTTTGAGGCCGCGAACCCTGCTGAGCTTATCGCATCTTCATCATCAGAGACCGCAGTGTACTCATCCCTCCAACAGGTAGAGACGTCCGAGGCTGCTTTGGACCCTGAAGCGAAGCGTCTCTGCCCTGCCACCACAAGACCATTAGCCGGCCCCGCGACGGTGACAACAGTGGCGGTTGCAGCGACCCTCTCGGTTCCGCCTGTCTCTGAAGCGCCTGATGCTACTGCTGCTGGCGGTACCTTTCCCAAGTTTTGCTTTCTTAACGAACCCCCACACTCGGTAGCCTTTTCGTGGAGTGGGCGTCACTTCACGCTGACCTTCCTGTATCCTGTCAGTGTATTTTGCGACTTGTCGTCGTTTGATTGGACAGGCAAACTGTCGTTGTGTGTGTGTGTGTGTTTGTACGTACAAATGGAGTAGCTGGAATGCGGCGCGCCTGATGTCCTGACAACAGGGCGTGCGAAAAGTAGTGACTTAGAAGATTGCCTGCCAGCTGACGGAATGTCGTCCCAGTCCTCTGGAAAGACGGTCGCACTGCAATCGCTCCTTCTTACTGTGACCTTCGACACCACCCACGTGTGCGAGATCCAAACCTCTGTGTGTGGCCCCGCTTTAGATGGCAACTCCGCCTCACGCTAACCACCACTGCGCCCAATCCCATCCCCGGTCAGCTTGACTCGTATGGGATCCAGGTGCACCTGCAGGAGGGGGGAGCAGAGATGAGGTCGGTTCAGCCGAGACCTAACGCCCAAATTCTTCACCTAGGCAATCAAACACCCTGATACTCCCAGGGTTGCCAACTGTTGGAATAAGTTGGCGCCGCTAAACATTGAGGTTCATGCCAGGCAACGGTATAGAGAAGGACCCCACTTAACTGTCAGTAGACTGTGGATCGTGCCATACGTGATTTATGGTAAAGGGAGTTTTATGTGTGGGGCAGCACGCTAGACAGCAAGCTGGAAAAATGAAAGAAAACACAGAAATCGCCTGGATTTATGTTGAAAGTCTTATCCCACGCTATTGTACGACAACGGAAATGGGAGTAGTAATTAGACAATAAACAAAAAGTGCATTTCACAAAATAACTGATTTTGAGTTAAGCTGTGAGGTCGTAGGAAGTAATCGTTGTTTGCAGTGTATTTTCTACAACAGTATGTGCCAAGATAAAACCCCATTTGGCACGATCCACAGTCTACTGACAGTTAGGTGGGGTCCTTCTCTATACCGTTGCCCCATGCCGTAGTAGGTTCTTAATGTAACTTTTACGACATTCTCGCCCACGTCAGGGGTTCGACACCTCGCTCTTATTGAGACCTGGTACATGTGGAGTTACTCGCCAGATCTTGTTTGACACGTAGGCGGATTGTTTAACCTTGGTCGGCCACTTCACGCGTTCACTTATCTTAACTTTGTCTTGTTATCAGAACGTGACGGGTTTGGGAGGATAGAATGAGGGTGGCGCAGTGGTGACAGAGACGCGTGTGAAAGGCATCGGCTATGTAGGATCAGTTGCAAAGCCGCCAACATATTTCCCAACCGCCAAACACACTGCACAAGATGACGCCCGTGGTGCAAGCCCTACTTAACAGGAAGGCGCACTAATTGCCGCTTAGCCGTTGTCCTCTGATTAAGCCCACTACCACCCCTCTGCCGATCAATAATTTAGTCCATGTCGGCTAGCCCCACCTTGCGACATTTGTTGCAGTTAATATGCCGGCATCGACAACTGGGCGCACGCGCGCCTCCCCATCCTATCAATTACGTCGCTTCGCTGTCTACCCCACGCACACCTCGTGGACTTGTCCCACTTCTACGCCCACCTAGACCCCAACCGCCTACAGCGGTGACTTTCTACCCATCTACGGCACCAGCATACTGTCTGCCTTCATAGTTGCTTGTTGAGGCCTTTTTGGCACAGACTATCTCCGAGAAAGCGCCGTGCGATAAACGAGACGGAGGGAGTCGCTCTCGTGTGTTTTCTGTGCCCTGTCTCGGGTACAGCCAGGCACTTGGGAGCCGTTAAATCCAAACATCTGGAAGGAGTACCTGAGGCCGGACAGTTGAACATCAACTCCATCAATCGTCAAGTCGACTTATAGCAGGATTCAGTACTAGCCGGGAGGAATGACCAATTGGAAGTCAGTAAGAAAATGGTTTTGTGGTATCAGAGTATCACTCGGTTTTGGTGATCCCTCCGTCGTGTAAGCTCCCGTTACCAAGTTCCGCTTTAAGTCTTCGAAAATCCAGTAATTATTTATGCGGGCCGTAGCACGCCGTTTCAGTAACGACTCACTCTTATGGGCAAATTAATCGGCCGCCTCATTTTCAGGCGGAGTTGAGCGTACGACATTGGTGAAAGTGCCGCTGCCAGACGCTGGCCAGCATCGCAGAAAGCATCTTTCGAAATCTGTTAAAGTTGTTTTCGCTTGGTTTTACACTTTCTTGCATTCACGTTCGTGGCTGTCCATCCTTTATCAGCCAGCGTTGATCTTCAGCGAATCTCGGTTGATAACGATTCTGTTGTCTAGGGATATGACCTCTTTTGGAAAAGCGGTGTTTTCGGTTCCTCTCGGATGGCCCCCGGACCAACTCACTTCTGTCCAACTTAAATGGTTATTCCTACCATTTTTCACCTTTGTCCGTGTATATTTCCACTTTTTACAGTCTAGTCTAGGGCATAATCTACGCTTTTCCCCTTTCAGGCGTATCTTTCGGTTCTGGAGAGGCTGCTCTTCAACCAAGTGAACCGCTCGCCGAGGCTTCTCCCGATGCCCATATGATTGCCGCTGACGAAGAGTCCACCACCCAACACTCGTATTACTCTGAGCAGGCCCAAGTAACTCCTGACTACGAAGAGCAGGAAGAAGATATGGCCGTTTACACGGTAGGAGCACAGGAAAGTACCGATGTACCTACCGTGGAACCGCCCACTGAATCATCCGTTTCCTATTCTGAGGCGGTGGCGCATTTCACTCGCGTACGTTTCCCTCTTGAGCGAGGTCCGTTAAAAAATGCCTACTTTAACTACTTAAGTAATACCTTTGATGTTATTTTGAAGACGCCCTAGCGTGGCAGCCGTCCCATCCCATTCCTGTAAAATTCTCCGAAGATTCACAGATGTCAGTTAAAAAGGTCGACTTTCTACCTTTTGAATGAGGAAGTAGTTTCTTTATTTCATAATGCCTAACATTCCGCCTCATTTTTAATTCACTTCTACCAAGTGTCCTTTCTGTACCGCCCCAGCTAGTCCTTATTTATCCATTCTTGCCACCCCTAGGAGCGGGTGGAGCCGTCGTGTGAGGGAGAGGCCGTCGCGAACACAGGACTTGTCACCTCCTCCAGCGTCGAGATCAATTCATCCATTCAGGACCTCCATACACAGCAGCAGCAGGAACAACAACAACTTGAAGCGGAGGACTACGAGGATCTTGGAGATGAGGAGGAGGCAGCAGAACACCGATTGCGTACTGATGAAGAAGGGGGAGAAGAGTCTCAGCCGATCAAGGGAGAAGATGAGGAAGAGGACCAAGACCAAGGTGAAGAAGAGGAAGGGGAAGGGGATGAGGAGGAAGACGAAGAAGTGACTCATTCGGATGATGCCGTCATTATCCTGAGCAGTACGCCTTGCTTACTTTTCTTTGCCCAAGCGAGCTTTCTTCCAGCCCTGAAATTCCACAGGCTGAGAACTATCCGTTAAATACCCATTGTCATCCGCCCTGTATCTCTTCCCTGCCCGATACGTATCTGCAATTGCTCAACATTTGACCTCTTTTGTCTGTTGTCACAGGTGGTTCTGAAGTAGAAGAAGAAGAGGAAGGTCATGAGTCAGAAAGCGAGGGTGATGAAGAAGCTGGGGATGATGAGGAGGGGGAAGAAGGTGAATATGGTGAAGTGGGTGAAGAAGGAGAAGACGAGGAGGAGGAGGAAGAGGAAGAGGAGGAACACCCTGAGGGTGATGACGAAGAGGCCGGAGTTGCAGACGAGAGCTGTGAACCTGAACTTGACAACCCCGAGTCTACTGACTACGAGCCAGAGCATCCTCGGGGTGATTCAACCTTCAGTGCAGCAACGCCCCCTGTGTCCTCCACTTCCATTTTGACACAAAAGGAAACGCCACCTGCTGCACCGCCATCAAATGCTCCAACAGCCTCCACTATTGCTCAGCCGTCTCTCTTTGGTGGCAGCAGTATACACACGACGCCGCAACCTCTGCCTACTTCGTTTCCCACCGCTGCTTCGGTACGCCCTGCAAGCGGCCTTTTTGCATCTGCCCTCTCCAGTTCCGCCTCTCCGGCACCGACCTCAGGTGGTCTATTTGGAGGCCTGAGACCATCGACACTAACTATGCCAGCAGCCCCTTCTACCAGCGGCACTACACCCTCTCTTTTTGGTTCGATTGGTAGGTGCTAGGGCGCACTCTCTCTCGTTCGTCTTATGAACTCAATGTCTTCACGGTGGTCCTGTTCTTTTTGTAGGCTCCTCGCCAGCCCCCGGTCTCTTTTCCGCTCTGGCCACCGCCTCGGCATCAAGCACGCCGTCAGTGTTCGCCGCTCAACCCCCGCCCCAGCCCTCATCTGCATCGGCTGCCCTTGGTGGACAGCAGCACTCTGAGGGATCGGGTGAGAGACGTTCTTTGTTAGTGGTTTATTCGCCCTGTCGGCACGACACTGTCAGACACCACTCTGCTGCGGCCAGTAACGATCAGTAACGCTTTGACTCACCTCCCTCCGTATTCTGATAATTAATCGTTCTGACCCTGTCAGCCAAGGTTATGGGGATCTGATATAGTCTTTACGAGACGACTCGTCCCAGGATGTGGATGAAATATGAAGCACACTTTGCCGTGATGCCGAAGAGTGCAATCAGCGAAGAAGATGATGATGCTAGTTTGTGTTAATCGCTGTTGTTGATTGGTGATAATCAGTTTCACTGTTGCATAACGCATGCATTAGACATTAGTATGATTCGTTAAACCCCATCCATTCGGAACCGAGAGGTAAAGACACCATCGCCAACAGTAGCGTGGGTGAACAGCCTATAAACAGGTAAACTGTCCTTCCTGGTTCAAATGGGAGCAGTAAGTAGGAAGGATTTTGGAATCATGTGTAAAACCACTAATCAGGTGAGAGCATGCCAGTATCTTCTCAGTACTGGCCTGTAGGGACCAAAAATTTGCGCAAATTGACGCGTACGTTTGAGGAACTTTGTGCGCTTACTTGAGAATGGTGTCACTGCTAGTGGGAGGTTTGAATCTTTAAAATACCCCTGCCTTAAGCACTTTCCGTCACACCAGCAGCTGTCGAACCCCAGCTTTTTTCGTGAGGCGGCTGACTAGATGCCAGCCCTTGCTATTTAGGACACTGTGAGTTTCTTACCCATTGTCCCCGTTTCGGAACCCATCCCTTCCTCGCTGTGAGGAAATCGTCATCGATTTAGCTACCGCTTTGGTTGTGCTAGAACCTTCCTCTTTCTGCCGCGGGTTCAAAGTCCGCTGAGATTAAATCATTCAGATTTGCCAAAAACCTAGTATTTAAGTATTTTTGTGCATACCAGTCACCAGCATTGCCTTCTCCCATCCCTTTCCGGCAGTTGGCACGTCTTTGAAGCAGAAGATTCGACCTATCGTCTGGTCAGAAACCTCCAGTCCAGCGGAACCGCCTGCTTCAGCTTCATCCGCCTCCAAACTGCTCGGCGCCAGTCGCCGCAAGAACTGGGGTGTACCGGGTAGACCAGGCCCTGTGCGCAGGGGTTCCCGTGGACCTACCACTCAGCGCTAAACGATTTTTACACATCTAACCCGAACCCCCACCACCCTACCTCTCCCATATCCGCCCCTTTTGGCCTGACAGACACTGTAGACGTTGGTTCGTCGGTTTGCATTTCTCGTCAATCCTATTGCCCAAACTCCCCGTGGTGCGCAACTGCCCGGAAGTCCCAGATAGTTTTTTTCAGTCCCCAAATCTTGTACATTCCGCTCAAAGTACATAAAGTCCGTTGTTATTTGTTTAGGCTGTTCTTGCCTTTTCGGGCTTTCCAGTTTGTCGACTCATTGCTCTAGCGATTCTTGGGTGTTTCCAAAGTCGCTGGTGCTGGCGCATAAAATACTTTAATATATCGCTACGCTATGGCATCGAGGACGGGGATATGACTGCTGTTCTGCCCAGATGCTCTGTCCTTGGTCTGTCGATCGAGGTATCACCTCTCTCCCTCTCCACTGAAGGCGGTAAAAAGGCAGAACCTCGTGTCTGACGTCGATCGCATCATTTTCCGGAATGCAGAAGCGCCGCCCCTCCGTAAGGGCCGTTCATCATCTCTCTTAGCGAGAAGTGGGCGTTGAGTAGAACCTATGCGGGTGCCGGCATCTGAGCGCAAAAGCCGATTGGTTGCACCCATTTCACGCAATGCGAGTGTGCTGGTGCTATCCGCCGACACGACTCATCTGCATTCAGGATGGAGTTCCTGGCGTTGCCGACTGATCGTGAGGATTCGGCGGATTCTAAGCCGACAGACACTCCAACTCCGAGCGCTTCTTCGCTTGTCCTGTCGAATAATGAGGAGCAGTTGCGAGCTCAACGAAAGCGAGGTAGCCGCTGGTGTGAGATTGCATGACACTTTGTCGTTGCTAGTGCTGAAGGACATTGCCCATATGCTGGACACCGACGGTGACGGATTCATTGACGGCGGCGACCTCCTTTGCGTGATCAGAGGGCTTCAACAAAACCCGACTGAAGCCGAATTTCAAGACATGATATCAGACGTGGAAATGAACAGTTGGTGGCATTTTTTAACCCATTCCCTTTCTCTCTCTCTCCTGCAAGATGATGGATTCTTGAATGTCCATGACTTCTGCGAATTTCTTGAGCAGAAAACCAGTGGATTCGATATCAGGACTAGGATCAAGACCGTGTTCGAAGCATTTGATCACTCAGGTGCGTCCCTTGGTTCTCTGCCCCGCAATCGAGTGATACTACTTCCACCATTGCATGCTGTGTTTGTTCTGCGCCTGAAAGGGAAGTACTGACATATGGCGTTCACACTGTACGCGCTGAGTCTGCCTCCTTGTCTCTGATTGCCCGCAGGCATGCGAAAACATCCGGGAAGTATCGCCAACTGAGGCGGAGGGGGTTTGAATAGCCGTTGGGGACTTATTTGTCGAGCTCTCCGCCTCATCGGGCCGCGGGCTCATGCCCTGTCAATCGCAGTCAGGACTGCGCAAGGTCACGGGGAGGGGGGGTCACTTACACCCCAGTTTCCATCTCCGTCCTGCAGTCCGGATGGAGCAATGAGCGCCACCCTCGTGCGCCCACGCCAAAGTCTGATCTTCCGATCTCCACTGCAGTAGATGTGTTATCTCGTGAAATGTTAGCCCAAGTCCTGGAATATGCTTTCGACCCGAAAAGATTACTTAAGTAGGGTTGTAAGGCTAATCGTCGCGCAGGGTAACCAAAAGGCATTTCAGTCATACCAGGATGGCGACTGTGAATGAGCTTCTTTTAGGCCGTCTGCAGAGACTGCACTGTAAAAGATGGCTTTTTGAGTAGTGTGATTTTTTCCCATTGATTTTTGATGCCCTTATAAATTCGAATATATTTTGTAGAAAACATGCATACAAATATTCGTTACTGTGCTCATTTGGCAGTGAATTAGGTTTTCTTCAAACTTTATCCTAGAAGAAGGGGTGTCTTTGGATTTAAAAGGAAGTTTCTTTTGACATTTTAAGGCTGGGATGTCCATTCGTACAGTATCGTATCTGTGCGTTTATGTCGCTGGTGAAGCACACGACGTCGTCCACATTGACTGTACGCCCATTGTGCAACTTTGTGAGTCATGTGTGACGCAATCCTAACGACAAATGTATGTAGCATGAAGTTTGGAAACCCTGAATGAATATGTAACTACAGGTGGGGCGAAAAGTTATTCGGGAATTGCAACAGTTTTCAAAAACCAAAAGATGAAAGCTGTTCAGGTAGGAAACTTGGGGAAGACGCAGTTTTCCATGAAATGAGTACAAGAGAGAGTATTTTGTGCACGTTCATGATAATAATATAGTTGAATTTATAAGGACAGCGGAAAAGTTGTGCTTCTTAAGTAGTCATCTTCTACAGATATTTGACACCGGAGCTCTTTGCCTCTCTGAGCCGCAAGCTCACTCCCTGTCAAACGCATCCAGGACTACACAAGATCAAGGTGGAGTGGCTTACACCTGCGCAACCATCAAAAAGGACTCACTGGTAAAGGGTGATCGTGCATTTCCGCCTTGCAGTCCGGGTGGAGCAATGAACGTCACTCTCGTACGCCCACGCCGAAGTCCGATCGCCTGTGTTCTACTGGGAAACATTGAAGCTTATTCTCCGGATGAAGCGGTTTCAATCTTCAATCTGTCGTGGAGCATGTATATTTTCAGCAGTCAGCACCACTCTTCAAGTCTCCATTTCTTCCGACTGTTCACTAAGATAACGGAATTAAGTCTCGCGCGCGTTTGTCCAACCCCTTTGTGTGACCGCCCGAATTTCGTGTGCTTGTCCTTAAACAACTCACGAAGATCCCCAAAGGGCCACCCATGGTAAGGCATGCCGGCAAATCCACACTTTCAGCGTTTCTTCATCTGATCTCCACGAGGAAACTGCAACGAATATTGACTCGTGTGAGTATTTTGTCGGGACTAGTGAACGGTTCACACAGTAAGAATCGGAGCTTGGCCAGTGTCCAGACATCGGATGCAGTCATAGGTTCTGACTATCTCATCTCACTACTTTTCTTCAATTATGAGCAGAGGATAGGCCTGGTATAGTATGACATATAGTCAGCGACTGATCTCATGAAATGCTGGCCGAAATTCGTAAATGCGTTTTCGATTAGGAACGATTGCTCAAGTGGGATTGTCAGCAGCGTTCAGCAGTATGCATGCGTTTTTTGGCCTCTCCTCCCGTTGGTGACGTAGTCCAAGAACCGGAATATGAATTCGGGCGATGATAAGCCAGCGCTGTATCTCCGTGGTCTTGTCAACAATAGGAAGTGTTGGTAATAAGAAGATTACATTCTCTGACTGCCTGTAGCAGGAGAAGCTTTCGATGTCCTGACGACCTGACACCTCGATGTTGTTCATTTGAGGACCTTTCGGTCGAGACAGAATACCCATTGCCCATCTTGATTAGAGTAAACCACTATAGCAATGTTATTGTGGTGCACAAGTACCTAACAAAAGCTGCAAATTCTGTTGTCACCGGCCCATACGGTCAGTCAGCCTGGCATGGGTGAAACGGAATGGCTGTCAAAGCGGAAATTCGATCAGCCTGTGCACAAGGTTATCAAAACGGTATTTTTCGTTTCTGCGTTCGCGGGAGGACGACTTCTCGAGCGCCACTGTGTTATTCTGGCCTGTGGGACAAACGCCAGTCCACGAGGATTTGGCAACGGACTTTTTATAATAAAGTTTGAAGATGATCAATGTCAGTGTAGATGCGTTGGACCAAAACAGGTCGGAATTAAGCAGGCGTTGCCGGCAATGGGCATCCACAGCAAGTGGCAACATTTTGGCGTGGTGGCAGGCCCAGTTTCCGATTCACTGCGTGCCAGTTTAGATCTGTGCTGCTCCCTCCCCACCTCCAATTTTGTTGTGGTATAAAATCTTTGTCAGTGTACCTTGTGGACCAGGGGGCGTGGTGGTATGCCTAGGTGCAGGTTTATGTCGTGACAGCCACCTCCGTCCTCTCCCGCCTCCGGTCTTCTTGACTGTCATGACAACAGGTCCAGATGAGGGAGGAGGAGAGAGCGCGGTAAATGCTGCGCAAGTCTGCCATCAATTTAAACTAACCCACGCGCCAGTCACTGTCCGTGCTCCAACCCGGCTGTGGGGCACACGGTGGACATCGTTGGTAACGACGGTCGAATTGTCGAGTTGTTTTCGACCCAAATTAAGTTTTTTTTACAAAAAATTGTCACAACTAAAATTGGGAGGACGTGAATATTCTGCACCGACCCTATCCTAACGGTAAAATTCCTACGCGAGGACGCCTTCCAGTCTGTGCTCCAAATTAGGTAGTTGCCTATACACAACGAGCGCACACATCATTACTTATGTTATTATGCTTTGCTTACTTATTTTATTTAGGTAAACTATATTTGTTGCTTTCAGTTTTCGCCTTATAGAGCTACTGCTTCAAACGAAGATTTGTTGCCCGTTTGGCCTAACGTTCACCGTTTACAGTGCTGTTTCACTTTTGTTACTGCGCTTACTTCACTGCTTGCTCAAACTTCATTTCTGCAAATTGAAGGCACTGGTCTAGTTCGAGCAGCTGACTTGCAGCGAACCATGTTGGCGTTTGATGAGAATATAACTCTCGAAGAATGTCAGCAGCTAATCCAGGAAGTAAGTGATGGCAAGGAGTACTTGACGCTGCAAGGTAAATATTTTGTGCCCATAGTCATCTGACTTATTAGACTTCCGACAACTCGTTGCGTCTTCTCCGTTTGTGACTGTGAATGGACCGGCACAATTATCGACGACCGAAGCTTCATAAATGCCTTTTCAAAATTTCACTATTTCCTTCTCGATCACAGAACTTGCTAAAGACTTGTAGAACCCTACTTCATTTAATTTGTCAACATAATCAACAAAATCTGAAATTCCTTCTTGCTACCCGCCTATTCGGAACTTATTCCTGTGGAAAACTCGGCGAACTCGGTGGGATTCGAGGACACCACTGCAAAGCGAAGGCTTGAGTACAGTCAACGCCCTAACCACCTGAGCTACGTGCCCCCCCCCCCCCCCCCCCCC